CTTTTCCGCCGTACCAAGTTGCACATGGCATAGATCTGTCCCACTTGCGGGAGCAAGGCCGGATTTACAGCGGGTTTTCCAACTTTTGTAGAAACGACTCGCCAGAGTTAAGCGATGCCGAAGTAGTGACATGGCTTCAAAGGTGCCATTCTTTGTAGAATAATACCGAGATGCATCTGCAAGATGCCTTTTACCATCTCGAGTCTTGTCGTAGCAGCCTCATCTCGGCGATCACCAGAAAAGAGGCGTCCCCATGCTAATTGTTAGAGACCGAACTGAACCGTACATCCTCCGGGAAGTACCATCTCCATTTTTGCAGTCTACCGAAGAGAATTCTCCGGCGCATCCGCAAGCCGGACAAGCTTGTCCCATGCCATGTCACCGAATGGTATCATTTCAATGATACAAGGCAAGGAATACCGGTAGGGCATCAGAGAATTGCGAGCTGCCAAGTCAGGCCAAATACCCGCGAGTACCGTAACGTTCTCGCTGATGAGGATTCCGGTATTATCGGCACGGAGATTTCCACAGAAAAACCGTTGCCAGGAGCTAACATTAACGGTCGCCTCGATGGATCTCACATGGCCGGTCCGGCGTGAGAAAGTGATTCGATGAACGGCCGATTGCAACTGTGATCTGTGATCGTGACGGTGACACGATAACGGCCCTGCAGCATTGCCCATCACGGCCAATTCCCTCCGTCGATTCTGACCAGGAGTGCCCAGCCATCCAGGCAATGGCAAGGGCTCCTGGGAGATCTCATTTTACTCATCTGCCGGGGCTCAATGTCGGCCGCTTATCGATTAGAAAGGGGCCCGGAAATTACACTGCGGTGCCGCCTCTCGTACCTAGATAAGATCGACATAAAACCCCCTGAAGCGATGTTTAAGCTTATCGCTGTATCATTTCCATTGCATATCACCGCTGTTGTTCTCGAGTCGCGAATATGGGCATTTCCTATGGCATTTGGAAACCCTTCTCTTAACAACCGTTTTGCCGTCTTTTGAAGGATCGCACTGTCATGGAATTGGCCGATATCGATCAAGCACGTGGATCGGCCTCCCATCAAAAATTTCGACACAAAAAATGGCCCAATTTCTACCGGCGCAGGGGGAGATTACCAAAGGAAGCGGTAGCTCGTGGGGGGCCTTCGCGTAGTCTCACTTTCTAAAGCCGCGAACTTCTGTGTTCTTGGGCCTTCCCCCACAGGTTCCTAGGTACCACTGGCTTAGTTAGCAGTTTTCCCACGAGGTCATCGCCCCATTGAGCGTTGCGCGAGTCACCTCGTGGCTTCTGGGCCATGTGAAAATGGGGCCGGAGAAAGTCGCATCCGAACAACATGTCTCCACGGCCGACTCGGAAGTGCTCTAAAGGCCATAGCTCTCTTGCCGGAGCTTCTTAGGAGCGACAAAGAAGCTCTAGAATTGCACTATCTGGGGGGGAAAGGAAACCGTCGTGCACCGAGGACGTGGTTGCGACCGTTGTTAGTGGCCCATAATTATCTTTCTGTTTCTGCGTTCGCGTTCTTTCGAGAAAAGGAGCTCGCGTCTTGGCCGCCACCACCCCTCTTTCAGCAAAATCAAGCGACTGAAGAGGGCATGAACCCATCGACGACTCATGACAAGGCTGAAATCGGCTCACCGGAAGCGACAGTCTTCTCAAGAAGTCTTGCTTGTACCACCATGAGAACTGTACCTGCGTGATACTTTCTCCGTTGAACCATCCCCTCGGTAATGCGTGATGTTAGCAATTAACGACGCTACACTTAGTTGACTTCATGATGTGACTAGACGAGTAGGCTTAGACGCTTGAACGGCACGTGCCGTGCATAAGTGGGAAGCTCTCATGGCATACCTCCGTTCGGCATCAAGAATGAACGAACGAAGAGCAGGAAGGAAGCGCAGTGATGCTCTGCTCGGACACAGTGGTACGAGCAATGAATAGTTCATGTGCTCAACTTCTATAGCCGACCATACTTCGAAGCCTATAGACTTGAAGAATTGTATAATCAAAGTCAACTCCTTTGGTTCAAAATTTGACTATCATCAACAGACGAATGTAATCAATTTGCATCTCTAATGATAAGATCAATCGAATACTACATATAACTCATAGAACAAGGGCACCAAGTTGCATGTCTATTGATTGATCCGGTGAAACGTGGCATTCGAAGTTCTTTGTGATGTTTAAACTCATATTATGGTGATAGAAGCAATATTGACATGCCCAATGCCGCGAGAAACACAATACTTGGCAGGGTCCGTTTCCTATCCAGAGACATGGATCCGAGGTCGCCTAGATAGGGGCAAGAGACTGTTCTGCAGGCTCTATATCGTATATTGCTATTCTACCGAGCCACGCGGATCGACTGTTCTGAGTTTTGCCTCAATACGACGCTCATGGGTTATATGCACCATATGCACTCGATCGCTTGGCCGTACCGTATCCAAGACGTTTGAAACGGCGCATAAGAAAGCAACCGGGGCATCAGGTTGCAGAATGGGCCCGGTAGTTGCCTTTGCTAGAACGTTGGGCTCAAGGTCGGTGAGGTCTCGCGCGGCTGAAGAAGCTACGCTGATCATCCGGCAAAAGGCATTCTTGGGTTTGATAAGGCGCGAGAGAATCTAGCCGGATTCATGCGCTCCACAAGCCGCGAGGCCCAGGATCGCAGCCAAGGGAACCCTGGCCAGCGATGATAATTCTGCCGTGCTTACTTGGCTCCTCGCCGACATTTCGCTGTTCCCGGATCCTGCTGGTCTGGTGGATATCGGACCGGATCGTGAAAGGAAACGGAACGCCCGTAAGCACAATTCACTAAGGTAAATAAGTAATAGATGATTAGCTAGATAGATAGCGGCGGGACTTGAGAGTCTGAAAGCCTGCAGCAGCGCGGATGCGAGCGACGATTTAGCAAGGCCGCCTATCGCTCAATAGCTGTCATGACGTTACATCGCACGTCTGAAAAGGGGACCCTGTCTCCTGTCTCTGGCCTTCAACTGCATGAAGCCCAACAACATGACACTGGACCACCGCAGACCACCGCCGCTAGGCGCAGAGAATGCCTGTTTCGAACTTTCGGGGGTCCCCAACAGCTGCAATAGAGTCTCGACATCCAGAATTATTGATTCCGGGCAAGAAAGAAGAGGCTGGCAACTTGGCGGGAGGCGAGACCCTCCTTCGAACGCAACCCCCACTCCAAAATGGGCAATAAGCCGATGCCGTGCTTCCGCAGTCTGTGGAATTACTGGCCTTCGCCGCACAGTCGCTTGCGCAAATGTTTCGATAGCGGCTTGTATCCGCATCTTCGACCCTGGCAGTCAGTCAGCCTCACGATATTTCCTTCAGATGGCGGCGTGCAGTGCGATATCGTCAACCCAGACTTCCACGGACTTGGCTATGCAGGTGGAGCTCGCTTGCATGCCTGTATCGTCCGACACAGTCAGCACCTCTCGCTGTCAAGCAAGTGGTGCTTAGTCTGCGACATCGTGAGTTTCGATCAGTATTGACAATGACTGAGGCCTCTTCCCACATTCACACAGTGTGAGCTCTGCGGAAGGTGGTCCAGCATCGCAACCGCAATTCTTGTGCTGTTGGCCCCAGTGCTGTGCCTTCTGTTCCGCCGTCCGACCAAAGGAGCATCGTAGACATTCCATTCGTTTCAGTCCGGGGGCCTGAGTGTATTCCTCGCAGCATCGCTCTAAGTCATTTGCACATTTTCCACGATGGTGTTGCTACCCACTCACTGTTCCGTCCCGCCGAACAATGCTGCAACCGAGTAGACGAGGACGATCTTCAATGCCGCCTTTCCCTTCGGCGACCCTTCCATCAGGCCAAAACGGGTTGAATCTGAATCTCGTTTTCTCAAACCAGGAGCCTTGTCGGATAAATAGGAACCTTGGTAAGAGCGCGCCATGTTGTCGTTCCGACTTCTCATAAGTGACTTCTCGATGCGAAACGTTTCAACAGCGCCGCTTTTGCAACCCAAGAAGAGGTTTCGCCATGGCTGATGCTCTGACCTTGTCTTCGAAATTGCTTTCTGCGCTGTATTCGCAACCGTTGGACGGACAGCTTTGTACCTCGTTCCGACACATTTCGAGGGTTGATATCTGACTGAAATTTGAATTTGCAATCATGAAGCATCCTAACTTCACACAATGGAATAAAACAAGAATAGAAAGCGAAATGCGTCAACAAATGCCCTCGAAAATATCCGTACTCTCGAGTGTAGGTATGGCCGGACGTCCGATGTGGCGAAGGCACGAAGCCGCGCTGACTAGACCCCGTGAGGATGGCTGTGATGTTGTCCTATTGGCTGCAGACTACACACCCATTGTTGTATAAGGGTTTGTAAGATGATAACATCACAACAGAGACACAGATATGGTCTCCAAATGCATGGATTGCAAAACTGTGCTAGAGTGACGTAGAATCTTTGTCGTTCAACCCGAGGAGCAGAGCCTCAAATTTGGTGTCAAAGATATTAGCGGTGGCCTCGTTACTGTGGCTGAATACGTGTCAAGGGAGGACCGAGAAACCAGAATTGGAAAGCGTGACACAAAGTGCGCAGCTGAGGTAGCCTTCATTCCAACGGCCACAGTCAAGAGGAAGTCAAGAACATTTAGAGCTTGAGTCAAATTTCGTCTATGTATCAATATTCATTAGATCCCCTGAACACCTCGATATCCGCAACACTCGTCATGCCAAATAGGTAGGACAAAAGAAGAATTAAGTTGCCTTGCATGTTTTCCGACAAGGAAAATAGTGCAACACACCACTGTGTCGCCATATCCGATGAGTGTTCGGCTTGAAAACCCCCTCATCACAAGAAAATCTCTCTTCGCCATTGGTAATCCGTTCAACCAATCCATCCATTCCAGGCTCTATGTATCCTCTCCCTGCATCCCAACAATAAGATAGTACCCAAACAGCAAGATAAAATGACCAGTCTATATCATAAGGTATATTTATGTCCCCAAATGCTTCGAACTTTGCGCCAACATTTACAGCTCCTCATTGCCATCGCATTGCTGCTGGATGAGGACTCGGCTAATCTCCATGGCAGGTTGCGTCCAAGTGGGATACCAGCTGTCGCGAGCTTGCCAGAAGTCCTTCTTGGCATTGTCGCTCCCATCCAGCCATGGCTTGCCACTCTTGCCATCCTCGAACCAACCGTTGGTTCCGCCGACGGCGACGTTGAGGATCAAGTAAAATTGCTCGTCAAATGGCGTATTGTCTCGGCCGGTCTGTGACCAGAGACTAGTTACGTTGTTGGTGGATAGAGGGAAATCGCCGCGCTTCCACAGAGGCTTGTCGAAGTTGGTGTACAGAACTTGAAGCAGGCGGGAGTTGATATATGTGAAAAGGTATTTCTGCGACCACTCGACGCCAAAGGTGTTGAAACCAGCAGAGTACGTGGTGTGGAGAGCGGAGCGCTTGACATTGGTCTTCCACCACGCATCGTTGGCTGGGTTAGGACCCCAGTGAAGAGCGGATGATGCAATGTTGTTGCCGCCTTGGGCATAAGTCCAGTTGTTACCACGGGACTCCATGATGTCGATCTCGCCAGACGCGGGCCATGCACCATAAGTATCCTTGACGGGCATCATCCAGATAGCGGGCCACAGCCAGTCACCTACGGGCAGCTTGGCAGTGACCTCGACACGGCCATACTTGATGGTGGCTCCATTCTTGGTGGTGATGCGACCCGACTTGGTCGGCGGGACAATGGTAGCATTACCAGACGTGGTATTAGTGACAGCAATGCAGTCGCTGGCGGTAGTACCCGTGCAGCCTTGCTTCGTCAGATCGATGACGCTGTCCTTCTCGATGAGAGCAGAATCCTGCAGAGTGGGCTTGATGAACAGGTGACCATTCTCAACATAGACGTTCTCCTCCGAGTTAGTGGTCTGCTCGAACTCGCCATTGCTACAAACAATTGGTTAGGTAACTTGCGCAGTTATTTATATGGAAAAGGTCTGTGTGTGCATACCCGAAGCCGCCAACCTGGATCTCGTGCGTCCAAACCGACGTGTCGAGACCATTGCCAAAGGAATCATCGAGGACCAGACAATATTTGTGCTTGACGACACTGCTGATACCGTCCCAGACAAGGAAGCCGGACAGGCCCAGACCAATGAAGATACCAATAATGGGCAGGATCGTGACCCACTTCTCCTTGGGGTCTCTCCTCTTCAACCACGGCTTCTCTACCTCACCCTTACGCACTCGGCGAGAGTGGAAATACCGTTGTCCCCGCTCTTCGTAGCGTTGGCCGACAGCTGAGGAAGAGCCGAAGCTAGAAGCAGGGCGAGATGCCGAGGGAGAGGCGAAGGGATTCGGTCCTGTGTTGCCAGTTCGGTGCGAGGCTTGGGACTCGACACCGTCGCTGAAGGGATTGCGGCCAACATCGTTGGGTGTGCTAGGCCGGTGGGTGGGAGTTGGCACTGCGGTGCTCGCAGCAGAGGGCATGTGCCGGCCACCACCGTAGTAGCCTTGTTGGTAAGAGTCGTTCTCCATTGCGGTGGATGTGAGACGGGGTTGTGTGGTGGAAGCCGGAGGATTGGAGCGGCGCACCGGTAGCGAGGACCGCGAGATGGCGGTTCTTGCTGTGAGGGCGATTACGGATTAAGGTATTATGCCACGCAGGACAGGATCCGTGGAGGGATTGTCGCTGTGGGAAGAGAGAATGCGGTTGTCGACAACACGGTCAGGCGACTGTGGTTGCTGTCTCTGGCGATCTCGAGGAAGAGAGTTGCGTCGAGGGTTCGACTTACACGAAGAGGCCGGAGACGGAAGCGAATGGAGGGAAGAAAACGATTGTAGGATGACCTGATGGAGAGAAAGGCACGTCAAGACCAGGCCAATTTGGGACGAGAGTCAGTCAGGCCAGAGAAGCGAGAGTCTGTCTGGTCTGTCTGCTTGTCTTCAGTCTCCAAAGCAGAACGAGGGTAGAGAGTAGTAGTAATGGCGGCGAAGGTGGTGGTGGGAGAAAGTGGGCGGATTTGAACGAACTGGTTAAAGTGGATGGATGCACGCCGCCAGCAAGCACCAAGCAGGAATAGAATACCTAGATACATACACACATACATACATACTCACATACAACTGACAACCCGTAAATTGATTGATGACTTACCTAAAGCAGGGGTGTGTTGTTGGGCTAGTCGCTACTTCCTTCTGGGCTCCCCTCGGCTGCTCCAGGTCGGGCAAGTACCTCCAATTGCTCTGTTACAAGATTGTACCTTCCTCGGCTGAGGTACTTCCCTCTCACTTCCAGGGGGTAACCTAATGTTCCAATCCAGGCCAGACCAGGCTGCTGCTGGTTCCGGGGATCCGCTGGAGACCAGTGCGGCAACCAGCCTGCTTTGGGAGCCCATTTGAATTTAGCGCCTATTTTCAGGCTTTGTTAGGCCACTGGCCATGCTGCTTTGCAGCCACTATCTCTGCTTTTCGTCGCTGCCATTTCCACCATCTGTGCAACCCGTCATTCAGCTGCTCAATAGTCGCCCATGACGTGAAAAAGAGCTTCCAGATGTCCGTGACGCATCAATATTGTCTGTCTATTTTGCAAATCGGAACGGGAATCGGAACAGCCGTTGGCCGCCCAGGACCTAGGCAAACAGCTCTGGCCCTATCTCTTTGTCTGCGACGATGGACCTCCCCGAGCTGAGGCTGATCGACGGCCGGCCTGTCGTCACAGCATGGCGATAACTCAACTTTTCCTTGTGGAGCTCATCGATAAGTCAATTGCTCGACACGACTAAGAGTGTCTTAGGCCGGGCCTTTCCCGTCGATCATGAGCGGACCACGAGAGACCCAGACCTACCCAGCTGGGCGGTTCAGTACACGGCTGAATCCACAGTAGGCGACAAGCCGAAGCACGGCGCAATTTCCACATATCTCAAATCGGTCATGGTTGAAGCGCCCGGCTAGAGGACCTCTTTGTGTGCCAAACCCGTCCTATCGCGACACCATCGCCCGCACGCACTCTGGTCGTCAATCAATGCAGCTGTGGCCAAAAGGAGAGTTTCAGCCACAGCTCGATTGACTGATTGGGGATGGAGTCTAGTCCTCAATACATACCTGGACGGATGGGACAGGCTGGAAAGAGCGCTGCACAAGTCTGCAAATCCTCTGCCTACAGTGCGAATGATACTTCGACTTGCAGCATCTCAACGCAGTCATCGTCGTTGGTCTTTACGACGGCGGGGTTACCTGAGTGAGCATAGCGAGGACTGAGCAGCAACTTTGCCATTATTGACGCATGGGAATCGCAGGTGCAGACACGAGGAAAAGCTGGCCGGAGCGCAACCTTGCAACCCCACTGTGACGGCTCTGTCAATAGTGTCCTGGATGGTGCTGGCCCCCTGCCTTAGTCCAGAATACCCATCAATGGCCATCCATGTAGGCTCTTTAATGGGGCTTCAATCGGTACTTTACACACTGGCCGTTCTTCCTAGCAGGCACGCATTGTGGCAATCAGCGCCTGAAAAGTTGGAGAGACTGCAATTTACTCCGATCAACGACCTGCCGCACTGCCGAGATCTCGATGTCGACAAAGGGGTTGGGACTTGGTGAGAGGGTTACCCTTCTGCTGAATCTGACCTCAGCAAAGGCTACTTCCACGGAATGCAGAGACTGGCCGAATGCCGTGGCCGGCTTATTCGATGACTTTGTTACATGGGGGATGCAAAGTTCTCGAAGCTTACAACGCCGTGCTCTAGAAAGACTGGTCTCCGGTCATTAAGGTGCTTACAGCTTACACTTTTTTCTGCCCCTTGCCCAGTGCGCTCCTGTGCTCACAACTGCTGAGAGAAGCAATTGACCAACAATATTACAGTTGAGCACTGTGGGGGCATACGGCACAGTGCGATCGGATGATAGCATCCGCCACGACACACTGCATTGTGCTGCGATTCCTGAGCATACAACGTGACAGCACAGTTCGAGCAGCGTATTCTGCTACAGAGAGGGCCTGCGAGGAAATGAAAAAGCAGCGAGGGGCGCCATTACCCAGATTAGGATGGTGTTAGTGGCTGGCATCCCGTTCAACGGTCGGCCCCTGTTCCTGCAGGAGAGCTCCATCGCTGTGCACCACTAGCGAACGTGCACTTGGTCGAATTGGGCATTAATTGATGCAATGGCGTGGCGAGACAGTTCTGATTGGATTTTGAGGTACTGCTCTTCACGGTTAGCCGAGAAACAACAACTTAACCCAAAGAGGCAGTGGCTTCCAATGTTGATCCCAGAAGTACCGGCCAGACAAAAACGTGGGTGGTGGTGCGTGCGGCCATTTTGACGCTTGGAGACCTCTTTAAGATCCGTAATTTCCACATTGACCGGATAGCGTGTTTTTGGCGCGCGCTGGGATGGCCAGGAGTCGAGGTTTGAGCGCGCGCCTTTCCAAGTTTCTGTGTGCCAAATCAGGGAGCTGGTCCCAGTGCGAAAGGACTCCATTACCAGATCTGCCACGGCGTTCAGGCCATGGTCCAGCCGCAAAAGGGGTCAATACGAGCACCAGAAACATCCACTGAAGCAGACATCACCGCCAAGACCTCGTGATCCTGCCCCTGATGCGAACCTGGACGCGGGATCCCGAAAACACAGGACCACAGACCGTAGATGGTAACTTACGGCGCAAGAACAGCAAGACGGGAAAGAATGGAGACGTGTAGGGCCTGTACTGTATGATTCCGGATGGGGCTTGGTCACCAGCAGGGGCAGGCCTTACACCCAAACTACCCAGTCCACTCCCTAAAGAGTTCGCCGTATCTTTCCACTACCGTGCCGATTCTCCTTCGCCACGCCTTGGCCAGTTCATGTCCGTTCAGTTCCATGTCCATCTGTATGTACCCACTTGCGGCTGTCCCTGATCACCTCCGGAGCGGGTCTGATAGCATTTATCAATCTTGGATTTGCCTCATTGGATATCTCCAACATCTCAGCTCTTTAGTCCGGCCGAGCTTCTTGCCGGTTCTCGCAGTGGAGAATCAAAAAATTTTCTCCGTCGAGATCTTGCAAGTTGTTGTTCATCAACAAGTCATTGGGTTTAGTGAGAAGAAGGCCTGGTTATTCGACAGAAGTACCTGTTCCACATACAACGGGCTATTCATCGGGTCGAGAAAAGTACCGGCAGCGGACCGTCCTGGACTGGAGTATTGACCAGGCTGACCTTGTCATAGAAACCTACCTGCTCTGGGTTGGGTAAATTCTCGCTCTATCTAGTTGTCCTTCCAGCGTTGCTGGCCATGGCACTTTCAGCCACGGCATGGGACCAGTCCTAGTGGGCTTTCGGCCAGCATGCCACTCGAAGCTGTCATGGCGTGAGGTCCTAAGCAGATCCTGCAAGTGGTTGTTGTCGTTGATGGCTGGCGGGATAGACTCACCGCGCTTTTGTGAACAGGTTTGTCAGACAGTCAGCTCTGCAAGCTTCCTTGATATCCATCGAGTTTGGCACTATGGCGTATTATTGCTTTCTTATCAGTGATAAGCACTGCATATCAAGCTCTTACAGGTCTGCATGGTGTTCTGACGGCCGCAAGCGGTGAACGACGTCAAGCTATTGCCAGCCTGCAGCCTGGCCATGCGGGTCATACAGAAGGCGAGATCCTTCATGCTTCTTGGCTCTCGAAGGGACACCACCACGATATTGTCCAACAAGTGTTGGGTTTGTCTTACACCGACATATACCCAATTGTGCCTCCAGTGATTAGTACAACCACTTGCAGTCTTTATTGCATACTCAGCTTGTCCCACGATGCGACATGAGTCGGGAACCCACCGTCTTGGTAGCCATCTGCGTCTTATATGCATCTAGGATGCCAAGTGCTAAGTACCCTTCAGGGTCCAGTATTCCCGTGTTAGCCTGGATTTGCTTCTCCAGATGCATTCGGACTGAGTGGTTCTGGTGTCACAGGTTACTCCTGCACACCTCGGGCTGTGTTACCATTACCTGAAGAAAGCGGTCGGAATGAGTTGTCGCCCCATAATGAGTATAATGACAGACACGCAAAAGCTGTGGTCCCAGATTGCGGGTTAGTACCTAGCTCAGATGTTGTGTAGCCCATTGCCCGAGGCGGTCGGCATCAGGCAAGACCTTCCGGCAGAAGATGGTGTCCAGCTGGTCAGAACCCTGATTTTCTGCATGCCACAGTGCCTTACACCGATCTAGTTCTCGAAGTCATCCCACCGTGGGGGTACGCAGGCATTGCAATCGGCGCCCACGATAACATTGGCTCGCTACTTTGCGATGGTGCAGAAGCTGCCCTATCAATGTCGTTGCGCATCGACTACTCCATCAGCCCGCTGAACGCATGTCAGCCATCGGATTAATCTATTGACGGCGAGAACGGCCACAATGAGTCTATCAGGAGCCACCATCGTGCAAACGCAGGTCGGTGAATGTCGCCGGCGCTCCGAAAACCGAGACTTCTGCGTCCTCCTTCTATGTGTTCTGGCCCTGCAGTGATCTCATGCAGCCAGCGCCTTCACTTCCAGGTTTTTCCGATACCAGAGCGTTGGCTTCCGGGCGCGCGACAGCCAATACTCGACTCCCCAACAGACCACCCAAGCTTTGCGGCTTGCCCATCCGGCCCAACCACCGCTTCCGCAACGCCATCAGAACTATTTTTAAAGGCCTTCTGTGCAGGCTGCTAGGCTAGCTCCCGCCCAACGGGCTCGACCAACTGGCGGCCAACCATCCACGTCACTGTCCACTAGGGACATGTGCTTGCAGAAAGCCCAGCAGTAGTGCCGAAATGTGGCGTCAATACGATGCAATGCGATACACACGACATGCCTACAGTACGGCCGACAGGTTCAGGATTTCAAAAGCAAAAATGGCGTATCGAGTATCTCCATCTGCAGAACGCCAATCGACCTCTCGCAAGCTAGAACGCCTTGGCCGCGAGGATGCTCGCTGGCGGTACATGGTTTCGCCCTACTAACTCAGCTGATGTGCCCCGATCTCGACATCCAGGCATAGATCTGGCGCAAAAGCGGCGGGTGTACTGTGGTCTGGAAGCTGCACACTCCCAATGTTCCTTAACGGCTTGCGTGCGCCTCTACCATGCTCGCGTGACCGGAAGATCCTGGCGTATCGTCCTCAGCTCCTGTGATGCCCTGTCAGCCATATCGGCCAACTTTATACGCCGTCATTGCGTGCGTATCAAGATACCTGCACCGACTCTGCATGCAAGAAAAAGGAAGTTTCCATAGTGTGCGCCAACTGACCGTCCAATACGTGTAGTGGGAAGGTCACGCAAAGTTCTCCTATGTCCCACAACCGCTGCCGTCTTGCTTGGATTGCATGTCCCTGGCGGGCTCTGTGCAAGCGGGCAATGTCACGAACTCCTGTTGCACGACGGAAGTACGGGATGTCTCTTCTTTCGTAAGTACAGTCCTTTTGCTGTAGGAGGTGTTTGTCTGCATTCAGTCTCTTGAGTGTTACCTTACTGCTAGTATTGCGACGCTCGTTGCCAGCGTTCTGCGCCGTGTCCATAGTTATAACCTGCAAGATAGCACGAGCACAGGTACCGAGACTCTGTAGCTTAGTGGTATTGTTGTTATTTTTGTTCAACTGTGTTGGTGTAATAAATGCTTTTACTGTGCGAATTGGGCCTTCTCCTGAAGGCTTTCCGGCAAGTAAACGTCGTGTAGATGGTAAGCCAGAGCACGAAGCGAAGACAAAGTGGACTGTCCGTGATCCAAACCTATGAAGCCTATTGCGGCGCTTACGGCAAGGAGCTTCCCTCAAAATGATCCTTTATTAGAGTGAAAAGTATGTCACGATAGTTTGTGCAGTGACATGTTGGTCCGGGCGGGAAAACCGGCGCCGGCTCCGTGAGCGGACGACAACCGGACTGTAACGTTCCGGGATACGGGATTGTCGCCGGAAACCAGAAGTCTACTTACTTAAAGTCCCCAGGGCAAACATTCCCATGTTCCGGTTGAGTTCGGCAGTGACGATACACCTGCTATGGCGCCATTACCGATCTCTCTGATCTCCGTATGCCCTGCTCTTCCTTTTCTCTCAACACGTTGGCGAGCCGCGGTGATGTGGATAGACTACAAGTCTACCTCTTCACGTACAGATTACTTATGCATCAATCCCCACGATATAGCTGTGATCACTAATCTGTAGGTGAAGTAAACGCCAATCATCAGGAAATGGGCCCCTATCTGACCGGGGAATCCAGCGCTGCCAGGTCTCCGTACCTTGCAGAAGGAATATTGCATACAGAGTGACAGCGAAACGTAGCTCAAATGACTCCTTGAAGTGCAGTAAATACAGTCAGTATATCGTTCGTGTCAAGCGCCCGGTGGTGCTAAGCAGTAGATAACATCTTCTCAAAGTGACTCGGGGCGTCGTCTCAAAGAGTGTTGAAATATACGAACCACGGCCTTCGCACAACAGTCTAATTGATACAGATGTAGTCATGTATCTCTAATACCACGAGCTTGGCAATCGCTACTTTGAGGCCATGCACGATGTAAGTGAGATGTAGTCCAGGCACACAGCCTGCACACACTGCGTGCATGACAATTCAGGGGTATGGGTGAGAACCCTGTACAGCCTACATACATTCTGCAGATGCACTGGAGATCCGCAAAGTAGCCATCGGAACGATCCGAGTGAAGTGAACAATTGTATATTACCCTCCTCTTCCACTCCCCGTAATAGTCTATACTCAATACTTGGAGCAGTGGAGCCTCGAGTGTTCTCAAGGTATGACGCCAACATCCATTATCGCGAGAAGAGAGATGCAAAGTCACTTTCTACCACAATCGTTGCGACTGAGAGTTTGACTATAATGTTTTGTCATAACATTACTCCCGTGGACAATGTTGGATCAGACGGATTCCCTAAACAAGCACTCAGATACTAGACAAACATTTGCATAGCGGCCGATCAACAAGACGACCCTTCTAGATTCCCAGTCCCGTAACGCCTTGATGCATATTCCTCATCATATTTATGGGATTACGTGGTGAATCCTCGTTCAACAAACTATATGGAGTCTCTGGGTAGGCTTCAGGCTTAAGAAAGGAAGTCATATATCACGAAGTATCGAAACGCTCCTTCGATGACGTCCACCGCATAGGTTTTGGGACGCAAGGCAGTATTGAATCGGACATTTGTTAGATCTCACCTCTGCTGTTCGATGCCGTGATTCATAGTAATGTTTGCATGTCATGTTGCATATTGTTCAAGATGTGGATTACACAGATTCATTAAGGACAAGCTGGAAGAATGGCAGAGAGATCGAATCAGATCTTTCACAAAAATGTAATCAAATTCAACACTATGATGGCACAAGACACTTCCGCATCTCATTGCTTCAACAACTAGACTCATAAGTTGTATAATGTATAATGGTATAGAGTGTCTGGCACCAGTTCTGAAATTTGCTGTTTTCGTACTCAATTTGCTTGCGATTTAGCTGTAGATGACGATCTCAGACAAATTGCCTGAGGAGAGGAGTTTCCCGCCGTGCAAGCTGGTATATCGTCAACAAATAGTTCAGACTTTCCTCATCTGAGTTCCAGATCCGCCAAGACCTTGGAAAGATGTTATCTTGATCCCTGGCGCGAGAGCCCTGTCGCGATGTTGAAGCCGGCGCTCTGCCGCACCGGGATGTTGCTGCCGAGGCGATTTCCGAGGCGCAAAGCCGGCCAGTCCCATACATGGGAGAGCAGCCCGCAGGGTTGCACTCTTCCTAGAGACCCTTGGCCCTGCAGGTTACCACGCAACGTCGATCGTTATTCTCGTATTTCACGTCTCCTATCACCTTAGCTCATGCACTCGCTCCCTGAGGCGTCGTCAAAGCGACGATTATGCCTGTCTGCTCTCCTCTCTTAATGGCATGTTCCGAGTACTCAGCGGTACAGTGCCTATCTGGGCTACCTAATCTGCCGCATGGCATGATATTCTCAATGGCCTTTTTCTCGGCGATATAGGCCATTTGTTGGAGTGACTCCTTCCTTATCCTTGGCTCCTTGAGCTCAAATATCGCCAAGATGGGGACATGCAGGAGATTACTCTTGTATTTACTATTTACAGGGGAAGAGTTTCCGCACGCTCGGTGCAGGCTGATTGATGGTGATCCTCTCCCGATGCATTTGTGCTCTTGTCACTCTATTGAAAGTGCGGTAATAAGATAGAATGATATGGGCCGGCCAGCTCTGCTATACAGCGGCAATAAAGATGTCTCAATCTCCACAACGCCCATCCGTCATGCCGAAAACGTTGAAGCCACCGGGCGTTTTTTTTCTTCTCGTAGTGCATCACAGCCTAAACCCGCCTCATCGTATTTTCCCTAAGTGCTCGATATGGGCTTTATTCCGCGCTCCATCCCCACTCTCTGTCTCAGTTTCTCTCTCCATTCACCGCTAAGATAGACCTAAATCACTAAGAGTCACTAAGATACTGGGAACCTTGCTCTGCTTGCCTGCGGCGTAACTCCACTGTGCCGAGTCCCGCGTGCTGGTGTCTCAAGACACAAGAATTGGATGCATTGGCTCGTCTCCAATCAACGTGCTCTTGACTCTTGACTCTTGACTCTTGCGCCGTCGTTCCCAGGCGAGAGGGCCCAGTGGCGGTCGCCAAGCCGTTCCACTAGCAGCCACGAGAAAGCCCGCTATCTTGGTGCCAACGAGAACAGTTGATGATCTACATCAGGGGTCCTGGTCCTGCCGTGTCCCCTGTAGTCGGCCGGTGGCCTACGTGTACAGCATCCGAATTGACCTGACTTGTGCTGGACGACTGGCTATGGTGTGCTAAGGTGAGATTCTGGAGACCTTGGAACTTGCAGCTGTGCGCGCGCGCGGGTCAATTCACCCATCCACTGCACTGATCCATCCTCCTATACCACTGCCGTTGTCTGGGTGGCCGGCCGGCACTGTACCGTATAATGCAAGGCACCTCGTAATCTTTTCTTGTCTGCATCTGGCGCATCGTTCTCGCGTTTTACTCTCTCCCCTTCTCTTCAGAATTCTGAGCCCGTTCAGACTCCAGGACGCTCATCGTCTTTCGTTTTCTGAGGAGTGGAGGAAGAGAAGTGAAGAGAGTTGAAGACTGTCGGACTGTCACTCGCTTGAGTCCGTCTCCAACTTTTACGCTCGCTGCTCGACCCGCAATTGACGCGGGAGCTTGAACCTTGAAAAGTGGTGATCGGCGGAAGGATCTCAACACCGGAAAAAAATCTCACGATGTTTGCTTTGAAGTCTCTTGGCCTGCCTGCGGCGTTGCTGGGTTTGCTCGCCGTCTTGGCGAGCGTTCCTGTCTTTGCTGCGACCGATTCCAAGGACCTGGGAGAAATCTTGGCGTCCAATAAGAACTTGTCAACCTACTACGATCTGATCCAGGTATGTCTACGCCCCGAGAGACCTTCAGATCGCAATTGATTGATGGACTAACATGGCTTGCAGAAATACCCCGAGATTCTGCTTCAATTGCCGAACTACGCTGGCGTCACGGTGAGCTTATTCCACTTATACGTCTTACATTGCACATCGTGGCCAAACTACCGCAGTGGCGGCCCACCAAGCGAGACTGGGGGCGGCCGCTCGTCAACCCTGGGTGCCATGTGCGCCACCGTTGTCGCGCATCTGATAGCCTTCTTGAACGAATTAGTAATCGCCTTGAGCTGTGCTGACTATGAGGTTAGATCGTCGCGCCTAGCAATGAGGCATTCGACAAGTATCAGGGTTGGTCGAACGACAACAAGACGCTCGTCACCAACATCCTCGAGTATCACATCCTGCAGGGGACCGTGGCCGCCGGCGCCATCCAGGAGGGCGTCCCGGTCTTTCCCTCTACCCTGCTGAAGGATACCAAGTTCACGAATGTGACCGGCGGCCAGAAGCTGCGCATTGACAAGCAGGCCGGGGATGTGGTAGTCTTCACATCTGGAGAGGGCTCGCGCAGCACCTTGCTGGAGCCCGACATCACCTTCACTGGCGGTCTGGTGCAGATGGTCGACACGCTGCTCGTTCCGCCTGCTCGCCTCGAGCCCACTGCTCGCGACTCTTACCAGGACCTGCGCGCCTTTCTCGGCGCTCTCTACGCCGCCGATCTGGTGCCCGAGTTCGCCAACTCGCCTAATGTCACAATCTTCGCGCCGCGGAACGCCGCCTTCCAGCTTCTGTCAGGCACGCTCTCCGGGCTGACCGACGACGAGCTCAAGCGCGTGCTCTCCTACCATCTCGTGCCCGACCTCCTGGTGGTTTCGACCGACCTGAAGAACGGGACCAACCTCACGAGCGCCGCGACCGACGCCGCCGGCAGCGCCATCGACATCCACGTCACGTCCGCCGGCAACAACCGGTACATCGACTCGGCGCAGCTGCTGGTGCCGGACATCCTCGTTGCCAACGGCGTCGTGCACATGATCGACAATGTGCTGAACCCAGACGCGGCCGCCGTCAAGCCCAACCCGGACATTGGCACGCAGCCACCTGTCTTCCCCCTGACCGGCGCCACGGCCACGGGCTCGCGCGTCGCCGTCCCCTTCACCACCGACCTGCCGTGCACGCAGGACTGCCCCGTCACGACGAGCGCCAGCAACAACGCAACTGAGGAGGCCACCGCGACCTCGACGAGCAGTCTGCGGAGCAGCTCGAGCCGCGGCGGGGGCGCGGGCCTGCCGCGCTGCACGGGGCTGGTGGGCGCCGCCGCAGGTGCGATCGGGATGGGTGTGTTGGGCATGGCTGCTGTGATCTGATCAGATCTGAGCTGCAATATTTTTGCTGCTGGGAGTTTCAGAGGATCTGCTGGCCGTGGAAAACGAGCCCCCGAGTCGCACAGGAGGACAGGCATACACACACACACACACACACACACACGGAATCAACGGATATACCCTGGATTATTTTGCATATAGCCTCGCGCTGTCCGAAACAAGACCCAGCACAGGCGGGCGCGGCCTCTGAACGGCATTCATGACCTGCAATTCGTGTATTTACTTGGCCCAAATATACTGTTATGATAATCTTTACGAACTAGATAGATAAATTAGGGGGCAATACGGCAAACCCAAGGGTGGGAACTAATCACATACGTACGTACATAGAGATGTGGCAATCATATGCTTTCGAATTGCCTATCGATCAATGCTTGCCCCCCGTTCGTGTAATGAAAATGACTTGTGTGTGAGAGTAAGTCCGTGACGCAAGCTCGGGTATCCAAAGACGATAAACGAAGATGGCTGGTTCTAGGTCTGTGGCTCGCACTCTCTCCCGCGCGGTCAAGAGTCATACGCAAAGAGAAGTGTGTCAAATCACGAATCGGTGCTGTGGCTGACGACGATTCGCAGGAAGCACTGCCACGCAGAGGCGGCCGCTGTGCGTGGGTGAGGCGTTGGTGGTTTTTGTGGGGTTTCATGGTTTTGGTTTTGACAATTGTTGGCGGTACGGTACGGACAGTTACGTGTGTAACACATTGGCGAGCGGCTAAGATAGATAAGGTAGGTAAGGCAGGCAAGGTAAGCGGGCGAAAGACGGTCGATCAGTCGGTATAGCCGCTTGTTGGTCCCAGCCCTCCAGCGGATTTATGGTTCGTTCACATCGGCGATTTGTACGACGCGTCATTTTACGGACTGCCGACTCCGTCCCAAATGTCCGGTTTGCATTCTTTTTCCTGTTTTCGGTGTAGATTTGCAAGTCGAATGTCTTCTCTGCTCGTACATCCTTCACAAGGTACACCGATGCCGAGAAAACCGCAGGCATCAACGGGGGGCGTGTAAGTGGAGAATTCCAACCGCGGTTCTGCGTTTAGCGACGTCGAGTTACGATGTTGAACTCATCCTGTATGCAACCAGGTGACACAATGAGAGATGGGGAACTAATTCCAATGCTTCTCCTGTGCCGCACGTTGTTTACTTGACACGGGAAGGTCAACGTTACCAAAAGCACTCCGAAGGATTTCAATGTCACATATATGCCTAAGGAATAGATTATAAACGACTATACGAGGCCAGCCCGGGGACCAACCACAGCCAAGAACGGAGTAGTATAGAATCTTGTCCTACATCTTTATCATGGCATTTCTACCCATATCTCGATCTACATGCACACACAACACTAGATACTGTACGCCCCCTATAGCAGAAAGGGGTCATCTGCCTCAATGACTTGTGGAAAAGACATGTATTAAAAAGACCGTGGTACCAGCCAACCGGCGAATGAAATGGAGTAGAGTACAGATAGGAGAAGAAACAACAAGCCTTGACTCACTCCAACCGTGTCCTTTCTATGCTGCCATCATTCCCCCTTGCACACCTGCGGTTCCGCGAGGAACATCATACTCTAAGTCCGGAATGCTATAATGGAGCCCACCACGCTATGCTCGCTTTAGGAAACAAGAAATCGTAAAGAAATCCTCTTTCCTGACCTGCAGGAAAGTCACCTATCGAACACACCTGTCAACACCTCTAGATGATCATCCATATACCCTCCCCAGTCAGCCCTACGACACCCATCACAGCCCTAAACCCCGGGAAGAAAATGTGACGACTTGTCATCCACATTGCCACTCTGATTGATCGGTTCGGACGTATAGTCGGCCAACTTTTCCAATTCCATCAGACCTCAGTTCATTGGTCCGAGCGGATCGCTTTCCGAAAGCTATCTAGTGCAAGCCGTATTTGATGTCGCCAATGAAAAACCCTAACCGTCTAGAACAAGTCAACGCTCAAACAGCACTGACAACGGCCCTTGAGAACAGTTCAGAGTCATTGATGGCCACGTATCCGGGAGTTGATTGCGTAGGCAGCGGCGTGGCATGACGCTAAGTCGGAGTCAATGGCCACCGGACCAAGAGCGGTGGCTGTCCGTCTTAAGAGGAACTATAGCGCACCGAGGCTTCCGAGTAGACTGAGAGAAAGGAAATGTGGAATTAATATAATAGCCAATGGAGGTTTCCAGCTCATGAGTGGTCCCAATGAGTTTGCAGGGGTTGATGACCATGTGGCGATGGGTCGAGAACCGGCTTCAGCTCTCCAGGGAACTTTGCCGTACTGCTGCGGACAAAGGCAACAGGTGCGTATCGATGCTATCCGTCGGGTCCGCCTCGAAGGCATGGGGGCGTAGTTGCTAGTTCCGGGCCGGAGGGATCAGGTGGGTCTCCGGTGTGGCGGAGGGTGCCTGAGTTGGGGGCCGCAGGAAGGGGTTGAGCTGGGACATTCCAATTTACCGCCAGGCACGAAGATTCGCTTAAAACAGCTTCCCACACTTCTGGATAGGTCTTCGAGGCGTTTGTGGGGGAGTGGGAACATCCGGAGGCGGGCGAGGTACAGGCCCTGGGCGAGGACGCGGGCCGGGACTAGGTGGAGGCTGGGGACGTGGACAGGCATTTGGAGTGACTAACACGTCTCCAAGGAGATTGAGAACAGGCGAATGTTGCAACAATCTCTTGTTGAGAGGCAAGTTGTGCAATTTGTAAGAACCGTGTGGCTTGCATGGCGAAACTTCATGAACTTCAGAAGGAACAGGAGCCACGAGAACAAAGTTGTAGATACCCATGGCTAGATGTTCCGTAGCAAGGGAAAAGAAGAATAATAGGCTTGCAGGGGAAACAAGGTAGTATTTTGTGGTATTTCAAAATCACGTTGGAAAGAGAGAGAGTTGCTTATATGCTTGCTACAGATTCAAAGGAGAGTGAATCTGAAAGAGACTGAGAGAACGGGTAGACAGCAGATGAGGCCCTCAACCCTCCTGGAGGATTCTGAAGCTTTATAGTGTCTGTCTCGATCAGGGAAACAGGTAGCCAAGTAGACTACTCTGTTTGAACTCTGAAGTTGGTCTTGGACTTTGGCAACACCAGGACAACGCTTGTGTCACCACGTCCAAAGCTTGTGTAACCGCCAACAAGCGCGGGCCATTTTGGACTGTCACCATGCCTCAGCCCAGCGTGAGGCAGACGCGAAGTCTATTCATCCCACAGGATCAAGCGCAAACTTCAGTCACAGTACCTTGAAGGGTGCTGCCCGCGGGCAAGAGTTGACGGAAGGAGCCACTTAGCTGGTCGCCAAGTAAGGAAGCACTAGCGTCCTTTGAGATGCAGACGTCAACCCGGTGAGTCGGGTCTGTTTACTGGAAAGACATTCGTTACGCGAGATACCGGCCGGGACATCCAATTGTTACAGCGCGGAGTGACAATGACGTCTCCGTCGTTGAAACAAGCCGCACCCACGAACTTGTGATGCCAATGCAGCCCTATCGAAAGCTGAAGATAGATTGGGATGCGGCGCAAACATGAGGCTTAGATGCCGTTTCGATCTGGGCTGTTGCCTATCCTTATGTCATGTGAAACGAGCCAGAGCGGTCGTGGAGGGTTCACCTGCCGCGCCCGGCTTGGGCTGATTCAAAATGCGGGACGGTATAAGCGAACTAACACGTGGAGTTGACGGCCGTCAGCATGGGGGCCCAAAGCTCTGGCAAGCGGGCGGGTATGGATTGGGCTTTTGGTGTTCGTGTATGTATTGTCACGAAGAACAGATTCAAGGAAACTTAGATTAACCGCTTCGCCGGCCGAGTCGTCGCCGATGGGCCTCTGGGGGGTTTCCAGGCTTCACTTTTCTGTGTGGCAAAGTCGGGAACGGCTCAGCCCTCGTAATGGGACCCAATCTCAACTTTGAGAGGCACGGCGTGCTCCACGCGGCCGGAAAAGCCATCTCACCGAATTCGTCTCCGATCTCACTTGCATCAGATCTGAAACGAAACCTCCGTGCAATTCGCCGGAACCGACGAGTTTAACATGATGATTTGCAGCAAAGATCACGAAATGCGGCTCATGAGGGCAGGCTTGGCACAGCGGCCGAGATGTGGGAGTCAATATAATTGACGTTTGCCTTTTTCCAATCCCCGCGTACTTTGACGGTGCTTGATAGGTAACACAGCATGCCAGCTCGGCCTTATGGAAAAATTAAGAGTACTGCTATTACTGCAGCCACGATTCTTCGAGCAGTCTCGTCTCTGATTTCCCCTCGACAACTGCTCGTGACGGGCTTGCTCCCAGAACAACACAAAGGAGGCGGACCCACGACTCGGTCCGATTCGCCCACCTGCAAGCAAGTCAATTAGAATCGCTCAACGCACTGGATTTGGACTAGGCTACCATGGTAGCGAAGTGGGCAGAGTCGGTGGTGACTTCGGTGAACCAGGGGCCAAACGTACGCGTGCATTGCTCCTCGCTGAACAACAACATCACCTTGGCGGCAAAGCGTCTCGGCGGCCTCGGCATACGTGCCCTTGCCATCGACAACATCGAAAGGAGCCGGTGGCGTCAAGACCGTCAAAACTCCTTCCAATACAATCACATAATCGGTCGACGACGTACGATGCTATTAAATTAATGTCAGCAGAGCTGCAGGACAGCGCAGGATTAAACGATTATGCACCCAACTAGCACTAACAGGATAAAAGCTGGGAAAGTTATCAGAGGTGCAACAACGTACCATTGGAACTTGACTACCCGGAGCAAAGTCAAGGTAGTAGATATTGGCACCTCCGGGAAGGACAATGCCGGACCCAGGGACCGCATCCAACTGAATCCTGCCGCTGACCGGCGGTTAGCTACATGACTGCGACCAAAGATAACCGCCCGTTCCGCCTAACCGCGCCGCTACAGAGAGGACACAGGCGACATGTTAAGCCGGAAAGGAGAATATAATAATTAGACTTACGGTCCATCGTTCGACGTGGGTATCGAAATGTGATTGGCAATTGGCGCTCTATCTAGGATTCCTTCCATGATCGTTGCCGGCTTCAATGGATCGACAATGACCTCCACCGCAGGTTCCATACTGTCCTTGCCACTAGGGGAAGACGGTATGGAGTGGTTAGATACCACAACTCGGCTTGGAGGAGGCAGGGGCGATGCCATCGTTGCGATGAATGACTCCGGAATTGGGCTAGTGAGGAATGTGTGATAGAGACCAGTGTGATCCAGAGTGCTGGGAAGGGCTAGAGGATGCAATAGCCTTCCAATGAGGCCTCGAGACGCGGGTTTCCAGCATTTTATGCGAAGGAGAGCTGAATCTCCAAGTACGGGACGAGGTTGCACGTGATATAGAATTGGGTGTGGTCGACACGGGAAAGAAGCTTATTATGTGAGCAGCGATGACAAATGAGAGGCTTGGTCAGCTCCGTGGGGCAACTGGAGGATCGCAGCTTGCCTATAATGGTCAAGCTTTAGAAGGTGATTGGAGCTTTCCAAATCGAAGGAATTAGCGTTAAACCGGCTTGGGCATGGTAACAGTGTATTGGAATCGATCCCATACATTGGATGACCGGAGACGACATCAACGGACTTGGTGATTGGATATTGTTGAGTTGCCCTCTGTCAAGCCCACATTGTGAGCGATGAGATGTCACAAAAGCGAAGTCGCGAGATGCCTGGCGAAGGATGTAGTGTAATCAAGGAAACAAAGCAGTGCAAAGTGGGCCAAGGCACAATTTTCACCAAAGCCCACTCACTCAAGAGATGCTCAGAACATGGCGTTTAGCACCGGTGGAGTATTTGATCGCATACATCATAGAATTCATGTCTATTTCGGGTGGTTGAACGTCTGAGCCCAAGAGGCGCATTGCACGCCTCAATGACCGATGAGCGCAGATTCCTGAGGTTCATCAGCCGGGCGTTCACACGCGGGTAGGGCTGAGATGGAGTGGTGGTGGTCAGCAGTGCTGACGTACATGCTCCTGACTTCCTATTCTTACCAGTCTTTCCTGGCACGACGTCCCGTTTTGGGGTATCATTTCCCTCGCTAACCGTTCACATAGAGTTATTGCTTCGTCGCAGGGCATGGCTGTCGGACGTGTCTCATCGTCTCAGAATTCGTGAGGTGAGGATTAAGTGGTAGTACGGGTTGTGAGCCACTGACGCCTTCAGCGATATCCACGACCACGACTCCGACTGCGACTGCGATAACTGTTATAGCTCTCGCGGCTCGGGCTGCGGCGTCTCGTGTCGTAATCGTCGTCGTTGCGTGCCGCGACCCGGCCGCCCCGTGCTCTGAAGGGAGGAGACCGTGATCGACTGGAATACGAAGCTGAGCGGCTGCGATATCTTCCCCTAGCCGCAGATGCGACGGGTGACCGAGATCTGGACCTGGATACTGACCGCGGGCGATAAGTATCTGATCTAGGACCATACCGGCCTGCGCCTGGTGGAGGCAGAGGGGATCGCCGGCCCCTGGGCCCGCCCATCCCGCCACCGAAGCCAGCTCCGGGAGGACCGCGTCCACGGAAGTTGGGAGGAGGATTCGTAGGGTCGAAGTTGGCGCCGCGGCGAGCAACAGGTGGAGAGGGTGAGAACTTCCGGCGCGGCAGTACAATAGATACGTTGATGACCGCCCCATCCAACTGAGCCTCGTGCATGTGCGCAATAGCCGACTCGGCATCCGTTTCATTGACGTAAAGTATGTAGGCAGTACCGCGGTTTGTGTTGACTGCAAAACACACTGGTTAGTGCTGGACAAGAATAGTCGCAAGGGTAGAGGGGCTGACATACACTGACGGTTCATCGGCAAATCCAAATCTCTGATTGTGCCATACTGGCCGAAGATTTCACGTAGATGATCCTCGTTCACATTCTTTGTGAGTCTCTCGACAACAATCTGGATACAAAATTCAGTCACTTGTTCGTAAATTCGCTGTCAATGGCCACTCACCTTGGTGCTCCTCAAGGGAGTCTCGCTCCTGCTCCTGCTCCTGCTGCGAGCTCTGCTTTCTCGATCACGGCTCCAGCTGCGACTGTCCCGATATCTACCATTTCGACGTGGGGACAGCGATCGAGAATCCCGAGAGTGACTACGACTCAAAGACCGGCGGCCGCGCGAAGGAGATCGAGAGTACTCAGAGCGCGCCGCAGCGGGGAATTGAGGATCCCGCGAGCGCGATCGAGAGGCCATCGGGGCAAGCTGTACTCGAGAGCAAAGCTGTTAGAGAGAGAACCAAGGTCAAATGAATGGGAGGATTGGTCGCTCAATTGCGGCTCTGTTGTTGCCTCGGACAGATGACGAATTTGTTCTCGGTGTTGAGGGAGGGCAAGAGTGAACGAAGCTTGAAAGCTGGGGTACACCTGCAGTGCGGCTCGGCTGAGATAAACGCGGGTCAGAAAAGGCTGCAGCGCGCTAGACAGTACCGACTTACCACTGTGAGAGCTAAATTTCTAGCATATGAGCACGTGATAGCATTCACCAGAAAGAGCTATGAATTTTCTCTACCTCAAGTAAAAAAAGGTGAAGCATTCATATCTGACAGGCAGGTCCTTCCTTCGCTTACCTTATATACTACAAAGCCAACAGAGCGACATGGTTTATTCGGACAGGAGTTCACGAAGGCCACAAGTCTTCCCAGACTCTTCGTGTCAACACTAAAGTACCTGCAGACTTCGCTTTGGTAAGGCGACAATGACGAACAGCCTTTCTGAAGCTATGTTCAGCTTTGAAGTTGATTTAGACAATCTGGAAACACCTGGTTTGTCATTGTGTTAAGGCTTTATCATAACATGGCGTTGGCATGAATGCCATAAGACATTCTCATCTGCGATAAAAGCCACTGTCTTATACCAAAGTGATCAGGCGTCGAAGACTTGTCCTCTGGGGGTTTTTGGGTCCAGAAACGTCACCTGTTCATTTAGGAAAATGCATCATATAGCAGTGCTCAATTGAACAGATTTTGATATTTCCATTACTGTAAATGTTGTATCAAGTATGGCCAATGACTGTCAACTGTTAAAGTGTTGAGGCGGGGGCTGCCGGGCCCGGTGTGTCAAGGTGAGAGCTGTCAAGTCTGGGACTCGAGCAAGTAAGCTTTCTTCGGCGGCCCTTACCGACGACGGCACAGCTCAAAGAACCTTGGAATACTCCTGACAGCAAAACCACAGGCGGAGCAAGGCAAACCTAACCTTAAAAATAGCCTAGGCAGGGGCTATGTGGAAACCCCAAGTCACCCAAGTAGTCCTTCTGTTGCGCAAGTCATCCTCGCAAACTACACCTTCTTGCCTTCGAGTGATGGGCGCGAAGGATGTTGTACTGCGGGCCACTTCAAAGTCCATTCGTGACAATCCCATGCAATATCGTCGTATTGCTGAGCATTTGATCTCAGGTCTTTCCCTGCTGCCTGCGTCTCGGCACTTACTGTCGGCCATCTGCCATCTGCCATCTGTATCCCACACTGCGCATCTCGTTCTCTTTCTGGGTAAAAGTGGCAACTGCTCAGCCCTGCCCGTGTCCTCGCAATCTAACAACCGCCCTACCAGACGCTCTTGGCACTTCAATCATCTGCTCGCATTGGGTTTGGCTGGAGAGCTTCAGTGTATTGTAAATTGCCTCTTTTGTAGGGGAAGCGAGACTAGCCCGCCGCCAGAAGCAGGTACGCCTACGAGGCCTAGCAAAAAATCTATCTAGGTATCTCGTGGCATGTTGATCGTGGCTCGAAACAGCCATGTCTCTCCCTTTGGTCCCTTAATACCTCTATCTTCCATAGGCACCTTGACTTTGACACTTGCAAGCGTAACGCGTTCGGGCAACGGTGGCCATGGCCTGGCCTTTCCAGCAACGCCAATACAATAAACCGACGCAAGGGCGGACATCGCCTAGCCAGTGAGCCCTTGCACGTAGGACGGCGCTCCGAACCGCGTTCTACCACAGCGCATCGCCTCCTCACGCATCATTGCCCCCATTACGGTCCATGGACTTTCACTACACTGGCACTGCAGCCCATCCATGGATGTGTGTTTCTGGCGCCGATCTCTCAAGACCCTGCGGTGAGGTGCGTTGGGTCTTGGGGCTGGGACGAGGTGCTGTCCACGGTATTCAGAGACCTCGAAGTAGGTATTATTTGCGCACGTTCTGTCGTGCCTACCTCATTCGTTCGGGATGGCTTGAACTTGACCCAATGGATCCATGCATGTCAGGAACACTCTGGGGAAGGCACGCCGGCACACCTGCTCATCGTTGCTTCCCAATTCCTCTCTTCAGGTATTTGCGGGGGCGAGTCTTAGTATATCTGCTCTGGCTCCCCAGAGTTGAAGATTCCATACATGCTCCCTTCTGCATTCCCTTTCAGGACCATCACCAGTCTAGTTGCTGGGTTCCCTCCCTTTTGTGACGTTTTCCATGTGGCCCTCCTAATATTCTCCGTTTCTCGTCCCTGTCTCGAGTCTCTCCTTCACCTCGGGGTACTCCCTGTCACTCATTACTGCCATTTTCTGATATTCAGTCCCATCTCGTTCCAAGTTCCTTCTGGTTCTTCTTCCTGTTCTCTTTCAGTCTCGTCACTCGATCAATCATCGTCGACATGCATGCCCCGGCCCTTCTTCTGGGAGTGGCCTCGGCCGTCCACACAGCTGCTGCCTTCTGGATGGGAGATATCGCACACCAAGGACTGTCTCCATTCAACACCGACGCGAGTTACACCGTCTTCCGAAACGTGAAGGATTTTGGTGCAAAAGGAGATGGAGGTATGCTCGTAGAGACTGGTACAATCGATCTGGACCTGTTTGACTGATGTGCTCCTGGCTGGTAGTTACCGACGATACTGCTGCCATCAATGCGGCCATTAGCCAAGGAAACCGCTGTGCTATGGGCACCTGCAAAGGTTCAACAACGACGCCTGCCGTGGTTTACTTTCCTGCCGGGTAAGTGTTGCGTACTGGATACTTGTACAAAGCCACAACAACGTCTGACAAATTTATAAAGAACATACATCGTCTCGGACTCGATTCTCCAGTTCTATTACACACAATTAATCGGCGACCCTACTGCAATGCCCGTCATCAAAGGCTCCCCGTCCTTTCCCGCAGAGGGCAGGCTGGGCCTAGTGGATGCTGATCAGTACCAGTCCTCAGGGGCTCTTGCCTACCAGGCCACGAACGTTTTCTTCCGCCAAATTCGTAATCTTGTCCTTGACACCACGAGTATGCCTGGCAAGGCTACTGCCCTTCATTGGCCGTCGTCACAGGCAACCACAATTCAGAATTGTGTATTCAAGCTTGGCAATGGGCATACAGGAATATTTATGGAGGAGGGCAGCGGTGGTTTCATTGGCGACCTCGTCTTCTACGGCGGTCAGTATGGTGCCCAATTCGGCAACCAACAGTACACGGCGCGCAACCTGACATTTTACAATGCGGATACTGCTATCTTGCAGGTAAGTCCAGTTTGACCAAGACGAGTCTCGGTGCCTCGATAACACATGACTTGTAGCTGTGGGACTGGGGATGGACTTATAAGACTATCAATGTGGTCAACTGTCGAGTTGGAATCAACATGAGCGCCACTACTGTTGGGTCTGTTACCCTTCTAGACAGCCTTATGATTGACACCACTGTCGGTGTCGTTACTGGCCGTGATCCTGACACCACACGTCTGCCTGGTCAAGGCTCTTTTGTAATGGAAAATGTGATCTTCAAGAATGTGGGGACAGTCTACCAGGGAATTGACGGTGTTATTATCGAAGGGAACAGCGGTGGCTCTATAATTCAAAGAGGCTATGTTATGGTGAGTCAGCTAATGCCTTGCGGTCACATCTGGTTTACTAAATCGCCTCAAGGGCAATGTGTATGTGCCAGATGGCCCCACCTTCTTCCAAGGCTCGAATATCGATTATTTCCCTGTTCCGACGACTCTCCTGCTGGGCAACAAATATTATGAGCAGTCGAAGCCACAGTATGAGAAGACGCCCGTAGAGTCGTTCTTATCGGCACGATCACAGGGGGCGAGGGGAGATGGACAGACCGATGATACCGCAGCACTCAATGCTCTGTTCCAGGCCGCATCTGATGGCTATGACAGCGGCGTCGTTGCTTTCGTGGACGCTGGCTATTACAAAGTCACTGATACCATTTTTATCCCGCCCAACACTCGCATTGTTGGCGAAGCTCTATCGTCTGTCATCATGGGCGCTGGGTCAAAATTCTCCAACATAGACTCTCCTTACCCCGTTGTGCAAGTTGGCAAGGCGGGTGATGAAGGCCGGATTGAATGGAGTGACATGATAGTCTCGACGCAAGGTGCCACTGCCGGTGCGGTTCTGATCGAATATAATCTCGCAACGCCACGCGGCACCAAATGCGGCACTGGAAATTACCCTTCAGGCATGTGGGATGTCCATGTCAGAGTTGGTGGCTTTGCCGGCTCCGATTTGCAGGTTGCACAGTGTTTGAAGACGCCCCAGAGGCAGGATTATGTGAACCCGAACTGCATTTGCGCCTATATGAGTATGCACATTACCTCAAGTGCTGGTAATTTGTACATGGAGAACAATTGGCTCTGGGTCGCCGAGTAAGTCTACCAAACTATGTTTACACGTGGAAAGGGCGGATGGAGAATATGTGCTAAAATCGCTCTAGTCATGACATTGAAGACTGGAACAACACCCAGATCTCCCTTTTTGCCGGACGAGGTCTGCTAGTAGAGTCGACCGCCGGTCCCCTCTGGCTACTTGGCACAGGGGTTGAGCATCACGTTTTGTACCAGTACCAATTTGTCAACACCGCAAATGTGTTCATGACCCAGATTCAGACAGAGTCTCCCTACTATCAACCTAACCCGCCTGCTCCTATTCCATTCACCACTGTCAACGCCGAATTGTACGATCCAGACTTCGCTGGCGACTGCGCGAATGTTAATGGTCATACCATTGGGGGGACTAATGAGACTGCCCCTTGCGAGATGGCATGGGGCTTGCGCATCATCAACAGCAAGAATATCAAAGCCTTCGGTGCCGGCCACTACAGCTTCTTCAACAATTATTCCACGGACTGTAGCGCCCAAGGCAACGGGGAGGTTTGCCAGGCCCGTATTGTCTCGGTCCAGGGTGCTCAAGGTGTAGAGATCTACAATCTTGACACAATTGGCAGTGTTTCGATGATCACGCGAGAAGGCGCAGATGTCGCCGTCTATGAGGACAATGTTGCTGGCTTCGCTGATACGGCAGCTCTATTCAAATACTAATGTTGCAAGCGGGTGTTGAACGATTTGGTAGATGTTCTTTTTATTTCTGAAGCGAGCCCTATTACCATGTTGATGATACCTTTGGACGTTATAATAGTTGGAGCTTGAGCCAAATCAGCGGAGGGCTTTCTCACGAGGAGATTGGGAGCATCTTAAGCAACCTTGGTCAAAGAAGACTAATTACACCTAATATAAAAAAATCAATGATAAAGCCATCTCATAACCTTAGTGGAACCTCAGTCCGTGCACCTACAAGACTGACTTGTCATTCATATCATGAGCTCTGCTAACCAGTCACCAAGTAGCAATTGTATGGGCAAGTCTTCGTTTTCACTTCTGTCATACTCTGTCGATGGAGGAAACTCCGTGTATTTATAGCCCTGATCGACGATTCCGATCTAAGGGGGTATTATGCTGTTCCCGATATCCCCGTCTATAGAAACAAAGAAAAAACAACCCATGAAGATGACCTCTAAATAAGATATGGCCTCTGCTATTCGATGAGAAGGCGCACTCTATCGAGGATTCTTGGCCGTGCTCTCCCTCTGGTCTCAACCGTCTCGGCCTCAGACGAAGGGCCGCATCAAAACTTTTTGGGTAACGGGCCAGTCGCTGAGGTCGCGCCATCCCCCCTTCTATCGGGGTCTCGTGTATGTGGATGTGTCTCCTGCAGCACCGTTCCCGAATTTCCTCGTACGAGACGCCAATTCTGTAGATCTAAAGTGGTGCGAAATGCCCGCCCTCCTGAGGGGGGAGCTAGCGAAACACCAAGTGACCCAAGAGGCCTCGAGGCTACACTGCGCTGCGCTCACTCGACCTGTTTCTCGCATCCAATGCGCCCGAGCAACTCCTTGCGGTCGCTGTGGCCCGGCAGGCTGACGCCGCTGGTCGACGCCTGCCTCTTGACGCCGGTCCTCCGCTCCCAGTTCTTCAGGTCGATCTCCTCGACGCCGACCTCCTCCTCGAGCGGCTGCGCCTCCTCGTAGATGAACTCCTCCTCGTCCTCCGAGTCGCCCGCCTCGTCGTCGCTGCGGACGTCGTCGGCGCCGGTGCCGTTGATGACGCGCACGGCGACCTTGACGATCATGAAGAACCAGACGATCATGATCAGCTGCAGGGAGACGAGGCAGGCGAGGAAGCCCTTCATGACCTTGTCGTCGTAGCAGAGCAGGCCGTCGGAGCGCCGGATCGCCTCGCTCAGGTAGGAGCGTGTGCCCTCGGGGATCTCGAAGGGCCCGGTCAGGTTGTTGTAGGCGCCCCTGAAGCAGCCGGTGGGCATGATCTTCGGGGTGTCCTCCCACACCGACCAGCAGATCAGGTTGTAGATGATGTGGCGGTTCACGAACCACGAGAGCATGAACAGCCCGAAGAGGGCATCGCACACTCTGGTGAAGCCGAGGTATTTGGTGCACTTGGCGACCTTAGGACGTGTTTGTTAGTGTATAATCCAAATGGGAATAGGGGACCAATAGATGACGTACAACAAGGACCACGTCAACGGTATCCATGAGCACCAGGATGACATTCCCGACGCGGGTGTGTCCAAAGCGGTATGAGCCGTAGATCAGAACAATGGTGATGAGGTGGTGCGAGAACATCTGCCAATGGTCCTTGCGCCGCTCCTCAATGTTGAGAATGAGGCACTGCTGCGTGTAGTACACCAACTCCCACAGCAGGTAGGCCTTCATAAGACCACCAAGCTCCCTGTTCGGCCAATCGGTCCAAAGCTCCTTCATATTCAACCAGTATGGCGAAGTGTAGTAGAGATACTGAAGTGCAGTGTTAGCAGATAGCACTATGCGGGCAATGACACCCCATCCCGGTGCTCTGGAGCGCTGAACTTACAACCCCAAGTGCGGATGAACCTCCGTACCAGACAATGTTCCATGCCTGCTCACTGAACCGGGTGACCTCTTTCTTCTTGGAGATGCCCCATCTCTTCGCGAGGGGAGCGAACATGTACTCCATGGTGACAGCCCTCAGGCCGGTGAGAAGGACAATGAAGAAGGCGATGAAGTAGCCATCATCGCTGCCAATGCCATATTTGCCCGTGTCTGCGTGGTAGTAGGACAATGTGAAATACTTGACGGTATGCGACTGAGCCTTGGGCAGGAGGAAGTGTGTGCAGAACAGAAGGGCGAGAATGTTGAAGCAAAAGCCTGGGGACGTCGATAGTTAGCGCGAGGACCTGCGACAATTCAAATGGCAATTAATCCATGTGTTGGGGCTGAAACCAAGTTGGTGGTACAGGAGATGCCGTGGAATGTCCTCCCAGTCAGGCATGCGAGATGTGATAAATCTGGGCAGACATGCCCCATGGATTAAAGGTCAGAGGAAGAGCATACCGATCTGATTCTCAATGAACCACCGAGCCAATTGCTTCATGGGGCCATCGCCCTTTCGTTTTAGACGGCGGACGAGGACTGTGTTGTTGGCTGTCTGCATGTACAGAGGGCCGTTCATCGACTCCTTCTTGCTGGAATACTGCCGGTGCGCGGCCGGTCTAGGAGACGCATTCTGAGCTCTTTGATTGGTGTAATTCACGCCGCCATCGCTGCTGGAGCTGGCCATGTTCGCCTGCAAACCGCCGATATGTCCGTCAATTGGAAGCTGCGAGGGGGGTTTAATCGTCGGCGACGTCGTCGACAGAGAGGAAAAGCGAGGGAGAGAGGCAGGCTGGCCGCCAAGGAGGAGAGGGGGAGGAGATTGCGACCGTTCGACTTTTGGTATTGTGAAGTAGGTAGATATCGCCGGGGGCCGAGGGTGTTTCAGCGGTGCACCGAAGGAAAGCTCAAGCTCGTTGTTCTAGATTCTAGGGCTGAAACAAAGACGACCTCGAGGGCGCGACTGGTCTCCTGGACTGGAGAGACAAACGAGCGACTGCGGAGAGAGTTGTGAAGCAGAAAAGAAGAAGGTCCCAAGTCCCAATCTTGCCTGAGGTCTGCTCGGTCCCTTTTTCGAGGTGATGGGCAGGTTGAGATTGATCTGGGGTGGGTCACCCTGTGGACTGTGGACTGTGGGCTTGGTTCCGTCCCAGCGCCCGCTCCAGGTAGTTTGCAGTGCGTACTGCGTAGTAGTGTCAGTAAAAGCCAAGCAAGAATACCTCCAAAGGTACAACACGCAGCAGCCGAACGGACGGGATGGCAAAGGCGGTGTGGTTTAGGGGCTTTTCCAGGGTTCTCCTACAGCGAATCGAGATGGCGGGGAAGGTCAGTGGAGGCAGGGATCTGCCACTTTAGCTTGTGACCTGCTGTTCCCCTTGCTTGCTTTGGTCTTGGGGACTCAACAGTCTCAGCTTCTTTTTTGCTGAGGGCTGGATGCTGGATGGAGCACTCCGTGTATCTCCAGCACTCCTTGAATGCCGTGAATAGATACAATATAGAAGGGGTAGAAACGGGCGCAATAAACCAAGTCAAGTCATCGACAGCATATAATTGGTTGTAAATAAGAACACGTAATACTTGTCCTTGTATCTTGTCTGTTTAAAAGAGAGAGAAACAGAGAAAGAGAGGCTCCGTGCATATGGGGCCAGAGAGTCAGAGACACATAGAGTACGCACACGGCAAGTTCCCCTCACTCCACCATGCAACATGCAACCAAGCTATCCATATTCCATTGTACTGCATAGTATCTCCTCTCTTTTTTCAGCGCTAGACCGCCAAAAGCGCGGCAGTAGGAGACTCAAGCGAGCCAAGCCACTCTGATGTACGTCAATACCAGTATGAGAGTTGACCAAAAACAGGCCAAGAGCGCGGGCGGGAAACTGAACGCGGTCTGGATCTTCAGCATCTGACTGCCCCGTCCATGTCCATTCTGAAGTGTCTGTGACTCTGTGCTGGCCTGGCTCGGTGCCCCGCGGGTTGCAGACTGCGAGGCTGGAGACTGGTGACAAGACACAGTTGGACAAGGAGGGGAACTCTTTGGGTCAGTTGCTAACGTTACCTGCAAAGAATATCGCATCCCAGCAAACAAACCAATCAAAGTCCTCAAATGAAACATGTCGCCCACACTTCTGCAGTTCTTTCACCACATGCTCGGCCAGATCACGCATGCAAAACATGTCGCTAACTGTCAAAAACTGAATAGTCAAAAAGCACCCGGCTGGAAAGGGGCATCATTGTAACGGCATGCTACAAACAATGCTACTGACCGTTTTTTCAATTCGACCCCCCAAGCCGAAGTCTCAAAAGAAACACACAAACACACGAACACCGACAACAGACTGCATTAGACCGCTTACTGACAAAAGATGCTGAACCACCAGCAGGAGAACGCTAATACAAATTAAGCTTTGAGCATCTGCCAGTATAGCAATCCGGGTAGATCCAGAAGAGAGCTGATAGTATAGCGAGATGTGTATGAGTGGGAGGGCACTTGTAATAGTGTATTGGTTGTCTGCTCAAAACTTCTCTTCACTTTTCTAGGTGAACCTCTAGGAGACTCTCCTTAGGCAATTGGAGCACTATCCTAACAAACGCTATTTAATCAATACATCTGATATGATCGCAATGTCTTCCAGTTGTCAACTTTAATATGTTTAACCATACAGACCACCACCGCCTTGTTAACAGTCCTGGAATTAATATGAAGAGTGTGTTGAAGAGACTCAAGCCACGAACCCAGTCAGGTGACCGGATGTGAGTTTACTGCTCTGGTGGCGCAGCATACGTTTGCCTGGGCTCCACCTTCCCCACATGCTCTCTCGGTGATGTGCTCATCCATCCGCCGACATCCTCACCCAGTCAGGTGTTCTATGATTCGACTGCTTTCTTTGCGCCTTCGACCTGTTTCCTCCGTGTCCTACCGGTATAAACACCTGCGCTTCCCCTGAACAGAAACATCGTCAACCTCAGCGCCCTACGACTTCCTACGTACGCCAGCAAAGATGTCCAACGCTAAGTATACTGCCGCTCCTCAGGAGGATCCCGAGGCCGCCACCTACAGCCAGGCGCCACCCGCATACCAGGAACCCAGTGCTGCCGACGACCAGGAGCGCCTCTTTGGAGCTCCACGAAGCAGCGAGGACAATGTGCCCGATGATTTCAAGGTAAGCGGGTCTATTGAGCGTCGCAGAGGCTGTATTACATAGGATGACTTGGCTGACTAAAATAACTACAGTTCGGCGGCTCTGTAGCTGAAGCCACCATCGACATCCGCAACCAATTTGTTCGCAAGGTTTACACCATCCTGACTGTCCAGCTCATTGCTACGGCTGCCGTGAGCGCCCTCAGCTTCTTCAGCGATGACTACAAGAGTTGGATCCAAGGCCATCCGGCACTCGTCTGGGTTTCGGTAAGTGACACTTCACCTTCCTCCCAACTGCTATTATCGCAATCATAGCTGGTGACATACATGCTGACTTGTTCCTCTCCTCCAGCTCTTCGGTTCCCTGGCTTTTATGATCCTGACCTTCTGGAAACGCCACTCCTACCCGACCAACCTGATCTTCCTCTCCGGCTTCACCCTCCTCGAGGCGTACACCATCTCCGTGATCGTCTCCTTCTACCAGACGCAGATCGTGCTCAACGCCGTCGTCCTGACCGCCGGCATCTTCGTCTTCCTGACCCTGTTCGCCTGCCAGACAAAGTACGACTTCACCTCGTGGATGCCCTACCTGTTCGGCGGGCTGTGGGCGCTGATCCTCTTCGGCTTCATGGCCGCCTTCCTCCCCTACAGCAGCACCGGCGAGCTCATCTACGGCGGCGCCGCCGCCCTCATCTTTAGCGCCTACATCCTCGTCGACACCCAGCTCGTCCTGCGCAAGCACCACGTCGAGGAGGAGATCGCCGCCGCCGTCAGCCTGTACCTCGACATCATCAACCTGTTCCTCGCCATCCTGCGCATCCTGAACAGCCAGCAGAACAACTAAGGGGCTTACGTGAGGAGAGTGGGATGGTCGTGAGGAGCTGAGGACATGGGAAATGTTGTGTCGGTGAAGTGCGATCTGCAGCATTGACTGGGAAGTTGATTGATGGGACGGGTTTGTGATGGATCACGAATTGGTATATCTTCTGGCTTCTCCGGGAAGCTTGTTTTAGGCTAGGGATGATTATGAGATTCACGGGAGTTTCTGCGTTGCTTGTACATCTAATTAGGAGTTTAAATAAACATGAATGATTTCCCCAGTCAAGATATGCCACTACGTGATGGAGAAATGCTACGCCACAATGTCAGCTCTGGGTCATGAGTTCGTTAGAAAACGACAGTTGATGAAGCGGGCTTCTGTCTTGCAACCAGAGGCCTAACACAAAGTCTCATCCGGTGTGAATCTCGAGGGTAGGATTATGGGTAAGACTCGATAACTACACAACGGTCACGCGAAAACACATAGCCCGGTGGTAGAAGCGTCGAATTTAGGTGATATCTGCATTAGAAGTTCACTAATAGAAATAAGGAAAAAAAGAGGCGTGAGAAAGGGGGCTTGACACAAGCTACAACCAACGGCCAGTAAAAAGAAGCCTATGACACGTTCCAGGGATTTTCTCTTCTCGGAATTCCTCCACCGACTCCTCTTTGGCGCCCCCCTTTTTGTGCCAGACATTAGCCCTCAAGCTGACTTTTCCGGGGGTAACTATGTTCTTTTCGTCGCAATTCATGTGCTCTTCCAGAGGATCGATTTCGTTCAAGTAGAAAAAGCAGTAGCAGCGGGGGAATATATCTCGACTTCAACAACAACTCGTAACAAGTCCAAACGCCTGGGGTGCAGGGACCTTGGGTCGTACTTTTCCAGTATCGGTACAATGGCCGTAGATAAGGCATATAATCAGTGGCGCAGCATGCGTGCCGCTTAGTTGCCGTCGTGCTCGCCGTTCGCCTCAGCGTGGCTGTTAAGCTGCTGTTGCTGAGCGGCGGCGGCGGCAGCTTCTCGTTGCATGCGGGCCTCGATCTCACGCAGCTGGGACTCGCGGGCAAGAAGCTCCTGTCGCTTCTCGTTGATCTCACGCTGCACCTTGACCTCAATCTCGCGAAGCTTCTCCTCCTCACGACGAAGCTGCTCCTCCTTGAGACGGACGGACTGGGATGCGAGGTCCTCAGGGTTCATGGACGAGTCACTATGAAAATTTCAGAGTCAGTTCTGCGTACCAACATTCAAGCAACAGAAATGGGTAGCAACTTACACTCCAGCACCACCCTCAACGCTCTTGCTAAGCTTCTCGGTACGGTAGTTCTCGTACAAGAAGTCGTGGGTAATCTCCTTCAAGTCGGCAAGATGGCTGTGTAGCAGGGCAGAGCGAATAGCCAAGAAATCGGAGTGGCGCGGGTTGTCAACCTCAACCACACCCCAAGGATACTGACGAGCGCGGACTTTGCGACCACCAATCTCAACGATGTCCTCCGATCCGACAATAGCGAATGGCATGAGGCCCCGCAGCTCAGCGTTTTCCTCGACGGTGTCCTCGTCATCCTCCTCGATGTCATACGGGAAGTTGTAAACGGGGATCCGGTAGTGCTCGATATCCTCCATAACCAGCTTCTTCGACTCAGCAAGCTCGGCGGGCGTGAGGGAGTCGGCGCGGCCGATGACGGGGATGACGTTGACACGGGGTGCAAGACGCTTCATGAGCTCAATGTCAAGCTCGCGGAGGCTACATGGCAGATCAGCGTATGTTTTTTTACGGACAAGCTATGGAGCTTCGACTTACCCGTGACCGGTTGGGGTGATAAAGTAGAGAAGGGCGTGAACACGGTTGTCCCTGAAGCGGGGGTTACGCTTGATACGGGACTCCTCGGCCAGAATATCATCGTATTGTCTCTCAAGGTACCCAACAATCTCTGAAAAGCTGCAGGATGAAAGGCATCAGTAAGGTTCGGATCAAAGGCGATGCAGCTGGGAACGCATACCTGGCCTCGTTGTCAACTTGGTCTCCGAAGCCCGGGGTGTCAACAATGGTCAGCGAGATACGAGTTCCCTCCTCGTCGAGCTCAAGCTCTGTTGCAAACCGTCAGTGACTTTCCATTTCCAATCGAGATCTCTATGTATCCATACCAACTGTGATGGGCTTGATCTTGACGCCTTCCTCGATGTGTGCGGCGTTTGCGTCGTCAGATTCCTTGTGAGCAAGAACGGACTTGCCGCAGAGCGTGTTCACGAAAGTGGTTCTACCTGCAAAGGGAGCGAGGACGCCATCAGCAAGCTTTTCTCTACCATGTCAAGATGCATAGTATGCCATTGACAGGGCGATGATAGCACTTACCAGTCCCTGATGCTCCGCAGACCATCAAGCAGAACTGGATACCCTTCTTGACATTCTTCTTCCGGCGGATCATCTTCTATTGAGACGAACAAGGTCAGTATCGGTCAGTAGATGGTGAGGAGGAGATACAATGGCGCATGCGACACGAGATGGGGGCGGTGGGTGAAGCTCGCGAGACCAGCTGGAAGCAGGTTACGGAAAGGAGGTGTAGCAGAGACGTACAGCAGGAGAAGACATGGCGGATCACGGAGTCGGGAAGAGGGAAATGAATGGATAGATGCGATCGATAATTAGAAGATGAAGGCAATTCTATCGCGGCGGTCGAGTGGGAAAAAAGAATACTCCCGATTGAGGTGCAATCGAGGTAAGATGAGGCTCGAAAATGTTTCGAAAGGAGGTGAGCGGAAGATTCCAAGGGTTCGGCTGCTGTTGACGGGGGATGTGCCAAAATGCAATTTCACACAAAATGTTGCGGTGACCTTCTGCTTGCTGGGCTTGCTGCAGGAGCAACTCAGGGGACGCACTTACCCTTCGGGGAGAGGACGGGGGTTCTTTCCACTGCCAGGGTGGAGAGACAGCAAGCCAGCAGGCGGGGCACGGGCCACTTCCCTCACCCAAAAGCTGCGCAACACGGCAGGACCGTTGCTGGCCAATCTGTCAATCTGTCCCTGTCTGTCAGGCTGGCCAACCCAATCGTCGCAAGCCTTTCTTCAGGGGCTGGGGCCACTCTGCTCTGCACTACCTCCATATCCCGACCTAATTCAGGGGCTTCCATTCACTTCACTTCCCGAACCACCTTGATTCACGCCTCCAGCCGGCCGGAAACTGGAAAAGGGAAAGTCCGACCCTCACTCACCAGAAACATCGTACTGGGCAGGCGGTGAACAGCTGCCACTGGATAAGAACAGGTCTGGCAGTGGCCTACCTTTTGCCGGGCTCTCCTTCCCCAGGTAAGGATTCGGTGGTCCGTGCACGGCAAGCTCTCAAGCGGAACAGGCAAGAGCTATGCGATTTACATCAAGCTAATAATAAGGTACCAAGACACACTGATCAGCTGCAGCCATCTGGCGGGGGTTTTACTGCCTTGGAGGTTCCAATTTCCAAGACTACCTACGTCAAACAACAGCTGAAGTATCTTGCGATGAGAACGTTGCGTCGCAGAACTTGAAGCTGGAATGACTTGTTTTGGCTCCGCTCAAAGAATCCAATTCGTTGCTTGTTTCAGGGCTCTTGGTGATAAGTTATGATTCAGGCAGGCTATCAGAGACAATCTTCTCTTTGCTTGCATCGGCTCACCACGGCAAGTTGAGAGCCGCGCAGCCACACCCACGAGCCCCCGTCCAACCCGGAGCACCATGATTCTATAACACATGCCGCAACTGTTCTATCTATCTGCCTGCGCGAGTTTCGTCTCAGAAACAGTGAATGACGTCGGCCGTTTACTCCCTTAACATCAACCTGGAGCTGCTAAAGCGCAGTTGTCCTTTCCTAACAGCTTCATCGGACTTAAGCTTACGCAGCGCCATCTCACCATGAATACACGGCCGCCCATCGAAAGCCCCAACACCACGGCGGTGTTGTCAGTTGCTTTCAACGATGACTGCAGCTATTTTACCGTGGCCCTTGACACTGGTTTCTGCAGTAAGTTATAAAAGCTCCAGGACATTCTCAGCTTATAAGTTGACACGTCTCCAGTATTCCTTTCAGAAGAGTGCCAGATGAAGACATCTCGGGGTAGGTCAGGCCTCCCTCCATTAAAATCCGCACACTAATGTTGTCAGAAGACTTTAATGGCGGAATTGGTCTTGTGCAGATGATGGGTAAGGCCAATATCATGGCATTAGTCGGGGGTGGGAGGCAGCCCAAGTTCGCACAGAACAAGGTATGAGGTGTCCATCCTAGTCCACTCCCTAGACTTACATAAAGATAGGTCATATTATGGGATGACTCGAAAAGTAAAGGTGTTTTGGAAATTACCGCGATGACAGCCGTTCGTGGTGCTCGACTCGCTCGAAACCGCATCGTGATCGTACTTCAAAACAGTGTGCGAGTCTATTCCTTCGCCAAGCCACCCGATCTCGTTGCGAGCTATGAGACAGCCGACAATCTTCTCGGCCTGTGTTGTCTATCCGAGAAGATGATTGCTTTCCCTGGGAGAACACCTGGCCAGGTCCAGCTCGTTGAGATCGCAACTGGTAATGTCAGCATTATCCCAGCCCATTCATCGGCTCTCAAAGCTATCACCTTTAGCCCAGACGGCGAGCTACTCGCCACAGCTAGCGAGACCGTAAGACCTTCCCATCTATTCATGTCTTGATAAATACTGATATAGATAGGGAACTCTCATCCGAGTGTTTAGCACAAGCAATACGGCCCGCGTGGCCGAACTTCGACGCGGTGTTGACCCAGCGACTATCTTTTCTCTCGGCTTCAGCCCATCGGGGACACTGCTTGCTTGTACATCAGATAAATCGACATTGCATATATTCGATGTTCCTCATCCAAAGAAACCCGCACGCCAGCCTGCTTCACCGAGAAGTCCCGGTTTCCCATCTGCTGGCGCAGACGGGGCGGGTAATACTCCGCCAGATGATGGCAAGGGGAAATGGGGTGTTTTGGGCAAGATCCCATTCATGCCGCGTGTCTTCTCAGACACTTACTCCTTTGCTACTGTTCCATTCGAGGCTGGTGAGGAGCCATTAGGTGCTCTGAACGAGAGCGCCACCATTGGAACTACTCGGCCGCCCAAGGGAGCCATCGGCTGGCTCAAAGAGGATATCCTCTTAGTGGTCGGCGCCGGCAGAGATGCTCGTTGGGAGAAGTTCCGAATTGTGGAGGGCGAGGATGGCCGCCGTATATGCTACAGGGAAGGTTGGAAGCGGTATCTTGGGAATAATTGAAGGATGATTCACTTGGAGGGTATCACATGTGGCGTTTTGGGCGTTGATGTATCGGTATACTCCCTTCTATGGATTACGACGCTTATGAGGAAGGCTTAGGCAATGTGATAGGACGACACCCACGCTCCAAGGAAGCATTTGGGACATAAATGAAGTATGACAATCATATGGGTATTTCAAATCCTAGTGTCTCAAGGCGATCTGCTGCGACTTCTCCGATACCAGCGGTCTCGATCGTCCGCGTCTCTATGACGCCCGTTGGCGTAATCGTCACTGCCTTCTCGGTGATGACGTCTCCGTTCCTTCTCATTGCCTCGTCTGCTGTCACGATCATTGCGATCTCTATCTCTCCCACTGTCGCGCTCACGGGAATCGTCGCGGCGCCTTGTTCTCCTAGAGTCATGATCTCCATCCTCTCTGTCACCGAGCACAGGAGTGTCCTCTCTTTGCGATCTCTTCCTGTCCTGATCACGCTCGTCACGGTCCCTCCTCCTATGGCCATGTCGATCCTCCGCCTCGCTGCCATCACGCCGCGACCGATGCGATCTCTCGTGCCTATGTCTATGTCTGTGTTCGCGCTTGAGCTTTTCTGACCTCTTCTTCTCCTTTCGCAGAGCTTCAGCGACCTCCCTCTCCTTCTCTTCAATCAAATATGCCTTCATCGGATCATCGTCGTCGTGATTCTGCTTCAGCAGAAGCAGCTCCCTCTCCTCCTTCAGCATTGGCCGACTGGGCTCATCCTCAGACTCCTCGTCGGTATCAGCTGCCTCTCCATCAGCAGCGCGCTGCGCCCGCTCTCTCTTTTGTATGTCCTCCCAGCCGACCTTGCCCTCCTCGGGATCGTCATCGTCGCGTGGCTTGTACCGCGCATGGTCCACGCTGATCATGCGGCCACTAATGGTGGCGCCGCCCAGGTTGTCGACAGCGAGGTCGGTGCTACGCTGGTCCTCGTACTTTAGCCAGCCGAAGCCGCGGCTCTTGCCCGTCTCCTTGTCACGCGCAAGCTTGAGGAATGTAGGCTCGCCGAACTGCGAAAATATCGTAATCACATCGCCCTCGGAGAGCTCGAATGGTAGGCCACCGAAGTAGACGAAGGCCGTGTCACGGTAGTCGACGTGCCATGAGGCGGAGGGAGATATGCCATTCTCTATCTCCCGCTTATTGAGCTCCTGGATTGCGCGGATCTTGTTCATTGTGGCTGTGATTTCATGGAGAAAAGTGGTCCTGGAGCACTCAGAAGAGCTGAGGCTGATGATGTTGGCTTGTGACGACTGCAAGGCTGAATCGCCTAAAACAAAATAAAATCTAGGCGGGCTGTTATACATCAACGCCCTATAGAGCGCAGCCACCAGTGTAATTCCCCATTAAGCTTGGACTGTTTGGCGGCACCTGGCTGCCATTATGCGGAAGAATTAGCGGGCCGCGTAGTAACATTAAGGTCGACGAATGGGTACCGATCCCTGCAGCAGCGGACATGAAGCGCCCCCTGCAGGGTTGCTGCACTGAAATGGGAGCCGCCCCAGACATTTTACGGCAGTGAGCACAAAGGATCAAACAGATCACCTACCTACTTACCTAACATGAGAGCTTCCTCCTGACTTCGTGATAAATCAACGCCAAACGGGCCTGTGATACTGGAAAATCTGAACGATAATCAACAAGCCAAAGCATGCAATCCACCCACCTTGCTCTCACGCGTCTGCCGTCATAAGTCCGTATCGTATCGCGTCACTGCGAACGCCCAACGACCGCGGAGACGTCACCAGGGATGCTTCGCAACCTGCGCCGAAGCTGATCCGTGCTATCGATGAAGACGAGGCAGAATGACGGCTAATACCAACCGATTCTCTACCTACACCTCCGCCTCAGGCGGCTCCGAGGGCAAGAATGGCGAGTCCAAGAAGGACATGTGGAGCTCCATGCTCGACTCCGTCGCCAGTGGGAAGCGCTTGCCGGAGAAGAACATCCTCGTTATGGGTATGCTGCATGGATACAGCTCCAGCATCTGCTAGGAATCAGTACTGATCTTGTCTCCAGGCGGGACTGTCGATTCTCAGCGTGACTTCTTAGAAGCGCTCTCAAACAACGAGCTGCGACGGAACCTCGATAGGCAGAATAAGATACCGCCTGTCGCCAACCAATTTGCGCTCGGCTATACCTACTACGACCTCCTCGACGCTGATCATGAAGGTCTGTGCCATCGCATGTTGATATGAGGGCTACTGATACTGATTTCCTATAGATATTCTTGCTCGAATCTCCCTTTACCTCCTTACAAGCCCGTCCCCGTCCTTCGCTTCCCTAATAAAACCACTTCTCACACCTCAGTCGATACCAAACACTCTATTAGTCGTGCTCTTGGATTGGTCAGAACCCTGGCTATGGCTAAGGCAGCTACGGGAATGGATGCTTCTCCTGCGGACTGTTCTAATGGCTTTACCTGACGAGAGCAAGGTCGTTATGGAAGAAGTCATAAGCCAATGGAAAGATAGGGGCCGAGGTGGCGGTACAAACCTGGATGGCACAATTGCGGTGACCTCGGGGGAAGGTGATGTTGCCTTACCGTTAGGTCCTGGAGAATGGGAAGACGCTCTAGGACTACCACTATGCGTTGTCTGCCAGAATGTGAGCTTTGTACCGACCAACATAATTTTTATTTTTACTGACAAGGGGCTCAGGCCGAGAAAATGGAGGTTCTGGAGAAGATGCAAAGCTGGAAAGAGGAGGAATTCGACCAAGTTCTTCAATACATGCGAACTATTCTGCTCAAGCGTATGGTTAGACCTCCCTATTACTGGCGTTTATGCTAATATATTGGATAAAGACGGCGCATCACTCATCTATACCACGCCCTCTTCACCATCGCAACTACCTACTCTCGTACATTCAAGTCTTGGAATCCACTCGCTTCTCAAAAAGCAGCCGCTCAAGCATAATACTATCGATAGGGACAGGGTGACGGTGCCGCCGAACTGGGACTCATGGGGCAAAATCCGGGTTTTGCGAGAAGGATTTGACGTCGAAGCTGTGAGCCAAGGATGGACTGTTGACCTAGCTTACCCCTTCCCTCCCCCCGGAAGGCAAGCAACTCTGGAGAATGGCGAAACTGTGCTGGGGGATAAGGATGTCGACGCGGACGGATATGAAGTGGTTGATAACTCAGCAGTCACAATGTTCGAAAATACGATCAGAAACCCCAGCATGGATGCTCTGCAAATGGCGGGGAGAGATACACATTCAACAAAGCTGGAGATCGAAACAGTCGATACGCAAGCATTCCTTGGGGGCCAAGTCAAGGTTCTTGAGGCCTACCGCCAAAAGTTCGAGGAGGAGAACAAGGAAGATGACCGGAAGATCCGGAGCAGGAAGCCAGCTGCAGACGAGTTGGACAATGGTCGCATCAACGGCACGGAAGGCAGAGTCAACGAGCACATCGGTCCGGTCCAATTCAACATGGGTGGCATCCAGGTGGATGCTGATGACATGCTGCAACGTCTGAAGGTGAGATCTGTTACCAGAATTGACATGGTTCCTTATGCTGACCCCCTGGTAGGACCGTCAAACATACGGGTCCTCCCCTGAGCCTACTAGTCCAGATCTTGAGCCCAGCGCGGAAGAAGCTCCTCAGGAGATGAATAACGAGAATCTGCAGGCGTTCTTCGCTGGTCTGATGAATCGCAAAGGAGGCGCAAAGGCCGGTGCCTCTTGAGAGCATTTGATCGAACAACCCCTGAGACCCTCACCTGCATCCTTTCAATCCTATCAAGATGCCCGAAATGAGTGCAGGTTGGGCATTCAAGGGGGGGGGGAAACGACTAGAGGTGGAGATTCGGAGTTCAACCGAGAGGCTTAGCTCCCACGAGCCATGTCACGTACGACTGTTTCATTTGTACAATAGTATCTGCCGACAACCATCTTAGCCCGTGATGGGCCAGACAGATTTGTTGAGACTGGTGAGAGCTCGTCCAGAGTGACGGCAAAGTATCTGGCAAACAGTGTAGATAAGATACCCAATGAGAGGAAAAGAAGAACAAATGACTGCTCCCTCTGTGTGCTCTGGCCATGCCTACGACCAGATGCTGTCAATTTTGCAAGACTGCTTGTCATGCCCAGTTCTCTGACACATGTTCATGAATCAGCAAGAGGCTCACCGTAGGTTGGCATCATAGGGATTTGCAAGTTGACAGAGGCCTGGTATGAATTGTCTTGAAGTTCTCGAGTGATACATAAGCTAATTTGACCTGATACAGATGACACTGGAAGCAAAAAATACCGATGGGCCCATCATCCACCTGTTCCAGGACCGAGAGCCACTCAGTCCATGACAAGATTCAGCTACTCTGAACAGGTATTGCTTTTGAAGAAGCGTGGTCCTCCAAACTCAAATGCATCAAGCCCTCGAGTGGAGGGATATTTGAGAAGCACAGACCCTATGGATGAGAGCATATTGTGTTCTTGGACTTGTTTCGCAAGATTCTGATCTGCTTCTGTCCATAGATGTCGAGAGTGTTTCAACCCAGTCCACAGTACTTGGACTCGACCCAGTGAACGTCGAATGAAATGCATCTTGAGTTTAGGTATATTAACCGTGGAAACGAGGCGAGCCCTAATCTCTTGACCGATGCGAAATTCCTGAAGCATTTCAGTCTCGTCAAAGCATGCGGGACAGCCTGTTAGACGACGCCCACATTCCCAGTATGATCTCAACTAAAGAAAGACCAGCTCGGGGCAAACATTAGCAAGAAATTCTCCAGTCCGTTGGCGTAAAAGCCGATTCTCGTCATCCATATCACCGGTTCCTAAGGGCTTCTCCATACATCTGTCGCGCGCCTGTTCATTCCAGGATATTCGTGCGCTGTCATCTGGATAGCCGGCTGGGATAGTAACAGACTTAAGTTTGGCAAGCTGCGATGGCGGGGCCACAAGACTCAGGTTGACATGTGAAGTCACCTCAAGATTATCCAGGCTGAAGTTGAAGTAGACATGGCTTTCATTGCCCCAGAGAGCAAAGGCTAACTGGTAATGCTTCAGGGTCTCAGTTCGGGCTTCTGAGTTGATGAACAGGGTAACCGGCAGCTTTGCTGTAGTGGAGGTGATAGTCTTGACAAGCTTGTACCCTTGGGGAGCCGCTTCAATAACCAAACCTCCTCCTTCCAATGTTGACAGTGCATCACGCTGAACTTGCTCCGAGAGGTCTTCTGCATACCGCTGAAGAAGGACCATGCTGGGTCGCTCGCCAACGATGGACCGGGTGATGCAGACACGTCGGTACTGCCATGTGGCGCGCCAGATTGCCAGGCGGATCTCAGCGGGAAGAGAGTTAATGGTAGTAGGCTTAGAGCTCTCCATGATTTGCCGTAGCTCTAGGATGATCTCATTTAGGGGTTACTGGTCATGCTGGTAAGCAGATGGTATGTGACAATGATCCAAGAACATACTCACCAGATTATTTGGTAGGATCAAAGAGTCACAACAATCTGCAACAATAGCAGAAAGAGACAAAAAACAGTTGTCTTCGTGTGGGCAAAGGGTGTAGAGGCAAAGAGGACATCGTTATTTCGAAAAGGGGTGACGTGTCCCGTGACCAGTTCTTTCCTATTGTGGTTGCAGCACACCTTTTCTAAGGTTCAAGAAAATCTCGAGAATGTCGGCGCTTTTTCTTTATTTCTTCATCTGGAAGTGGATTGAGGTAGCACATGAGGCCTTTGAATACCCACTGGATCCAGATGTTGAGGACAAGAGCACTATGGTGTTGGATGTGGAGGAGGATATTTGAGGCCACCTGTGTGGAGGCAGAAACTGGGCGTGATGCTGCTTCGATGGGTTCCATGCCAGCAGCTTTGCGCTGGGTATCTGATGCCATCATGGCTTGTAAGGTACTCTACCTAGCTTACCCAACCGCCTTCGCACTGTCTCTAATTGTCGATAGGCAGTGAGTGTACTCGATACCATCACCTTCTACACAATACCCTACCCGTTATCCGAATCCCTATATCAGCACCACCTGGTTCATGAGATGCTGGACGTCTGATGCCACCATGTTGATCCAGGACGCTATATAGCTGGCCCAATTCCATACACAACTTCACCTACTTGTACATTATTTGTATATATTTCAATACACCCAATCTCCCCTTGAAAACTTGAGCTTTATGACCAAGTGAATGGCGTGCCACAGAACATGCTTACTGGGAAGGACGCCACTGAGAAGAGTTTTTGTGATATAACCAAACACATTCCCATGTGGACATGCCTCGACGAACCGGCCAATAGAAGCACACAGCCAATGTAGTTGATCCAAGACTACCAGATAAACCAATCTTAGCACTACTATGGCCCAACTGTTCCACCATAGACTTTATGTTTTCTAAGACCGCCTTGGTCTAGATATTTCTGTTGACTTCTCCAATCATCCTGACGTACTTTATATCATGGCGACTTTGTCTGCTTGATATCTTCTATAGCAATGTCGTTGGACACTGCTCCTGTCGTACTCCCTGTGATACTTAATGATGTCATTGAGTTGTTTCTGATAATCGGTATAGTGTTCCTCAATGTCTACAACTCTGCTGCCGCTCTTCTAGAATACTTCTCAGAGACAGTCAGTCACGCTTGCTGAAGGCTGCATGGCGGTAGAGCTGATAAGCAATGCTGTGGGTCAGGTACCTACACCTCCGCCAGGGTATTTAATGTTAATTAGACGAGGGATCACAACTCTTCAAACAAGGGGATTGCTACTTTTGTCGAGATCAGTGGGGCTATAGAAATAAACAGAAGCTTCGAAACTCAATCAGGTATTCTCAACCTGGTTTTCTGGTATATTCAACTTGCTAAAATAACGTTTATTACCCTGGCGGAGGTGTAATAATCAAGCAACCAATGGTAGAGTGGCGCCCCTGAAGCCGCTATCCGGGGCAGCTACGAGTGCCGTCTTGGCGAGCCCCTAGGGTGAACCTAAGCGTAGAAACGTCAAAAGCCGAGATACCTTGCAACATCATGCTGATGGTCATGGCCTTTGCTTTTCAAAGGCTGTGGTGGAGCATCATGATCAGAGTATACCGATCGTAAGTGCCCATGTTCAAGTGATCTGCGCGCAACTGGTGGCAACCTGGTTAACTTTCCATGACAAGCAAATTCGAAGCGCACGAACCGCAGTGCAGGACACTTAGAGCTGCATCGGGGGGGATCAGGTCTGCTTTGATGGGCATTTAGCCATGATTTCTCCGTGAATGCCCGGCCGTCATTGGGGACATTGCCATTGTAGGTAGGTAGTATGAGCGACCCCTCTCATCCGCATTACTACCTCCCGATATCCTCAGAGCTCATCCCCGCCTCCTTCGGCACCGATCGCCCCGCCGGCCAGAGCGACCCCGTTATCAATGGAGCATCGCGAGTTGCGATGCGATCTTGGGCGCCAGACGGACTTTCGGGCCAAGGCTGTTCCGAGGGTCTTTGGCTTAACATGACATCGTCGTCGACGAGTATGGAGTATGGACTCTCGCCCAGACTGGTCTCTCGAAAAGCGCCGACGTGAAGATGTTGAAGCCAAATCTGGTGCTTGCCCTTATCTGGCTCTTCGTGCCCTTCAGTCTCGGCCAAGGAGACACTCTGGGACTTCGCAATGGCTATACCAAACTTCAAACCGCCAACTTCGACATACAATTAGTTCATGATGCTCAGGTGCTGGCATCATTACGACCCCTTGGGCAGACGTTCGACTTTCTGCCTTCGGATTACTTATCCCAACGAGCAGGAAATGGGCAGTATCACTGGGGAGACATCACCTTCCGGTACAGGTCCGCCGGCAGTACGGCTTGGATCAATGGCGACTCGGCGGCTTCTCGTCATGCAGTCAGCGCCGTACCAAGCAACGAGTCGCTGGCTGCATCAAATCTCAAGCCGACTCTTCCTTCGGGGATTGCCTTGAACGTAACTAGGGAGTGGCTCGATGTCGAAGGCGACCTCGGCCTCACCTTCACTGTCTTGAACTCGGGCACCACAGCATTGGAAATCGGCAGCCTCGGATTCCCCGCCGAGTTCAACAGCATCTTCACGAATCGTACAGCTGAAGAAGCTCAGGCGAAATGTTCACTCTCGGACCCGTACATTGGCATGCATGGAGGCTTCATTAGAGTATCCCGTCTTAATGGCGAAAATCCAGCTCTGGTGGTGACGCCGCTTGGAGATACGCCCCTGGAAGCCTACAGAAATCTTGACGAACCTTACTACGACGCCACGGCATACGAGAGTCAAACGTTTGAGGGCTTCTACGAATGGCAAATGCTCACTAAAGCCTGGGCGGAGAAAGAGTGGAACAATACAGATCCTTGGAATCAGCCGTCTTCTCGGATTTTACAGCCGGGAAAGTCTCTGAAGGCTGGTCTGAGGTTCTCTATTGCCAAGAACGGTATCCGAGCGATCGAAGACACAGTTCAAAGTACAGGGACACCATATGCTCGTTGTGTTCCTGGGTATATCATCCCTCAAGATATGCCTGCGCAGCTTCTAGTGCGACCTGGGCCTGGAGCAGAGGTAGCTGGATTTTCAGCCGAACCAGCTGGCTCTCTTAAGACATCCGAGGGCTCCAATGGTGTCTACAAGATCACTCCATCCGCTTCTTCCTTTGGCCGAGCACGTCTGACGATTACGTACTCGGACAACAAAATTCAGACTGTCCACTACTTCATCACCAAACCGGCCCCTGATACCATCAAAGGCCTCGGCCAGTTTCTCACGACCAAGCAATACTTCACCAACACTAGCGACCCATTTGGCCGAGCGCCCTCTGTCATGACCTACGATTATGATGTCAAAGCCATCGTGACTCAAGATGATCGCGTCTGGATAGCAGGGCTGAGTGACGAAGCTGGCGCGGGTTCATTTCTGGCTGCGGCGATGAAGCAGGCTGCCCAGCCTGATGCTGAGGAGATCACCAAGCTAGAAGCTTTTGTGAGCAAGGTGATGTGGGGACACATTCAGACATCAAACTACGCTGTACGCAAAAGCATCTTCTACTACGACCAGGCTGCGTTGCCAAACTACACGTACAGTCCCAGTATTGACTGGACAGGCTGGCAAAGCTGGAACAAGCAAGCGGCTTATAGCACGGATCGAGCGTATGATTACGTCCATGTAGCAGCCAGCTATTGGGCCATGTATCGCGCTGCACGGGCTTACCCGCAGCTTTTCAAAGAGCATGACTGGGCGTGGTATCTAAACCAATCATACAGCACGGTCATGGCATGCATGGCTACTGACTCGTCTGGCAATCCGACTGTGGGATATTCTCGTGTGGGTCTGATGGGCGAGACCGTCTTTGGAGAGCTTCTCAAGGACCTGGGACGAGAAGGACTGGCCGAGGAGGCAGAATCGTTAGAGGAGAAGATGCGTGTCCGCGCAGCTCTCTGGGATACCGAGCCTGTGCCCTTTGGGAGTGAAATGGCGTGGGATTCCACAGGACAGGAAGGTGTATACTACTGGTCGAAGTACTTTGGGTACAATGACACCGCATTGAAGGCATTGGGCACAGTCTTGGGTTTCCAACCTACCGTTCCTCACTGGGGATGGAACGGCAATGCGAGACGGTATTGGGACAATATGTTAGTGCTACCCGTGGGCTCCTAGATGCAACTTCCTGGTACATTTGCGCTGACACACATAGATACGGAGGCAAGCTCCGTCGAATCGAAAGACAGATCCATCATTACGGCTCAGGGCTCAATAGCCTCGTAGCTCTGTCAGCGTTCCGCAGTAACCCAGACGACCTATATCTCTTGCGCATCGGCTATGGAGGGATGAACGGACCACTCTCGAACATTAACGCTGAAGGTTTTGCGGCGGCATCCTTTCATTCGTGGCCTGAAACACTCGCCTGGGATGGCTATAGTGGTGACTACGGCCCTAACTTCTTGGGCCTTACGCTTGGCTCAGCTTCTTACTTGGTCGAGGACCCTGATATCGGCATGGTTGCATACGGCGGTGTCGTTACGTCAGCCACGGCCGATTCTGTGACCTTGGAGCCTCGGGACGCGATTCGCAAGAAGGTCTTCATTGGACCTGTCGCGGTCCTGATTGAAGTTGACGCAGGAAGAATCTTTGAGGTCACATATCAGCCTAAAGATGAGATTGTCTTAGTAAAGCTTGGTCAGGACATAGTCAGCCCACAGGAAGAGTCTGCATTGTTGTGGATTGAAACGGAAGGGCAGGATCTCGATTTCACGATAACACCTTATTCAGCTAGAGATACACGGGGCGGTTGGCAGATTGCTCTCAACGCCGATCCAGTTGTGATTAAGATAAACTGGACGAGGGTTGCAGGCTTCCACTAAGTTTTGTGCTATTCTACCGACGACCTTCATGCCTCTTTCCTCCAGCGTTCTTGATATTGACGTTCACTAGCTTTGAAGTATGGCAAATGAACCCAGGCATTCCAAGTGCTTTCCAGTTCCAAATTAAACAAGCCGTTGTCCTGGAGAGGAGTGTTCGTAGACAGTGGATCCTCCAAGTGCCAAGATAGTGTCATGATCCAGATGAACTCCTGCCATTCCTCGGCATCTCGCATCACGGTTCGACCGAGTTGCATCCAATCATCAAATGTCCCCTCGTCGGTTATTGTAGGGGTGATAACCGTCCAGCCTTCTTGGACAAGTGCTTGATGTACTTCATGCCTATCGATCCGAATCCTTGTGAGATCCCGCAGCTCACGAGTGTATTTATCAACCAATAAAGGACGTAGAAACTTGGACATGGCACGTCCTTCCTTCTCGTGCTGTCTTCGGTAGGCGTGCCCGTTGGAGGTGGAATATAGAAAATCATAGGTATTTATGAAATCATAGCCCTCCTGTAGACCAGGTTGTTCCACTTCGTACCAGTAAGTGTACTCATTGTAAATCTGGACAACCAGAAGCTCACGTAGTGATGGAAAGGCTAGAGCGATCTCCTGGAAAACACTGGGTCTGCCTAAGCATTTGAGAGACCAGGGACTAGCAGGGTGGAAGTTTTCATATCCCTCTATGTAGATTCCTAGAGGATGACGGGTAGCGACTGATTGAAGTCGCATGAGGTCCCGATGGTGGTACTGCAGTCGTACAGATATGTGCCTCACCTCTAAGGTGTCCAGGTCGAAGTTGAAGTAGATACGTGATTCGCCTCCGTCCAATCCCCAGCAGATCTCATAGCATTTGAGTGTTGCAGTTCTGGACTCCTGGCTGACCCAAAGAGTCACCGGAGACTTTGCCGCTGCTGCTGTGATTGTTTGGAAGGCCCCACGGTTTTCTTGAAGATCAGGGTCACGCTTGCTGTAGAGTATTTTGCCACTCTCATCGTGCACATCTCCCCAGTCGCTGAGGAATGCAGCTGTTTGACTGCGACGCAAACCCCAGCAGGGTTGACCATGCTTTACAAAACAGTGATCAAGCCGCAATGAGTGCTCACAGCATTTCTCTTTGAGTATTCGAAAAGGCTCGACAAGTCTGGGCTCCCAGGTGGACTTCCAGATCTTCAGGCGGAGTTCGGCTGGAAGTCGGGGGAACAGGTAGAATGATCCATGATTATCCTTATTCTGAACTCGGCTGGATGACATCTTCTGTATATTCAGTCCTGGGGCTTTTATTGGATGAGTATGACACTGGTAATCAAAGGCCAACGACGTGGGAGAGGGGAATGTAGGAGATATGTAAGGAATAAACAACGCGACTTTGTGATCGCAGTTGCGTATAAAAGGAAAACCAGTTGTGACTGACTACGTGAGCGTTCCGGAAGAAAGAAGGAAGAGCTCACGTGCAGGTCTTTGAGGATGAGTAATGGCTTGTCGTTCCTTCCTCACGGGTATGAGATTGTGGAATGTTGCCAGCTGGAGGGTAGAAAGGGTAAACACATCGACGAAGCTGTCCGGGAGGAAGGTGCAGCTTCAGCAACAGCTCCACAAAGCTGTCTGCATCTTTTGTTTCCTGTCCTATGTAAAGCAACCATATAATGCCAGATAGAAGCCAGACTGTAAATGAGACTTAATTCAATTTCTTTTTCATCTTAATTGATGAGCTTATACTGACCATTCGTCCTTATCTCCACCACAAGAAGGGGATCAACACCTACAAGCATTATGTATCATTGATACCAAGACAGGCTCATGATGAGTATACAAATCAGTTTTGACAAACCATAAGTAGTTGGAAGCGAACAAGTATCAGGGATCTTTTGATTCGGTCTTGAGAATCTATCGTGGCTCATTGTGTCTACTGCTTTCCGGTTACTTGTAGTAGCCTATTGCCGGCTCACATCCTATCACACCAAATGACCTATTGGTCTTTGGCAGGGAACGCATTAGCAATGCCACACTTTTGATCGCTTAATTCTATTTCTAGCTTCTCGGGTAATCGTATAAATTGTGTGAGACTGGATTGTGCCTGTCGGTTGGCGCCTGTTCCGCGAATAGCCTCACACCTGTCTAAGCCAAGCTGCCATGAACACACAGCCTCAATTATCTCTACCTCAACGTTCTCACAATGAAGGACTTTAATTCAGAGGTAAAAAGACCTCCGAGGTCTATCCCTTCAGTGAAATCTGAAATCGGGATCATTTCAAAGTACAAGATCATTGAGACAGACATCGCAAGTCTTTCGGTCACTGAAACAACACCACCTTTCGCCTCTCAATCCACAAAATGCTTATAAATCTTGCCATATTTATTCTCCTCGCTGGCTCTGCTATTGCCAGTGATGACATCTTAGATTTGGAGGAGAAGGAGGTCATAACCGATGGATACGACTTTGGTGCTATGGACAAACAACTCTTGGAGTATCTGCCGACGAAAAGTTACACTCAATATCAGCGGCACCCAGGATATATCCCAGGAGGTTGCAAAAACTCCACCAAAACCTACCACTATAACCCTCAGGATATCGAGGTCTACACGGTGACATACGAGGACTGCGAGGACCCATGGGTCATTTGCCGGCACAAGGACTCTCCTGTTGCAGCGGATGATATCTTCACTGTACGCTCTCTCCGGGTATTATAGATCACCCAGATGGCTAACTTCATTATCTAGATGGTATCACGAGTACCCGTTGGCATGCGTCAATACGTGAAGAATCTCGTAGCATACCCTAAACTATGTGACAACAACGGCAACAACTGCAACTACGCCATCACAACCGAAGGATCCATCGTCAACGTCTGGGACACACATTGGACAATCGGCATCCTCATCCACGAGATGTCACACGTGCTAGACTCACTTGCCCTGCGCCGCTTCACCCCGGCCTCGCTACCTTGGTTCAGCAACACGAGTCTGTGGCAGAACGCCGAGGGAAAGGACTTTGCCGTCCCAACCAACTATGCCAAGAGGAGCTGGCAGGAAGACATTGCGGAAATTGGCAGAGTGGCCATGTCTGACATGGTGGTCCCCGGGGGTCTGCCATCGATCAACAAGAACAGCCCCGAGATCAGCTGGCAAGTCAACACGTACAAGATGTACCTCCGCGACATCATTTTCCCCGACTCGGGACGCTGCAACGCGAAGAACCCGAGCGGGAATCCCGTACCAGTTCTTGATGGGGTGAAGTTCAACCCGGATTCGTTCGGCCCTGTTCCCAACACTACTCTGAGCGGCGCTGTGCCGGAGATTGTTGTGCCAGATGTCGTGGTCTCCGCAGTGTTGTTAGGCTATCATGAGCACTAATGTGCATACTTCGGGACTGTCCTTTACAAAGCGGGGGAGTACAGAGCGTATTTTGTATAGAGAGCTAATATTTGCATGTTTTGGAGTTGGTATGGGAAACTTGAACATGTCATAGCGGGTAGCGTTTGGGGGTGTTGCAATTCAAGAGTGCATGCTTTACTTCGATGTTACATAATGACGAATGGATTAAGTTTTGAGTATCTCATTGCTTTTAATATCATGTAGATGTACGTGTGTTTGAGAAAGTAAAATCTTTCCACTCCCGGGCACAAGAGGACTGGAAGTGAACTGCCAACTAGTAGTACTACAGTATCATCGAGCTGTGCAGTTTCTTCGCACAGATCAAGGCATGCAAGATCCTCATGACATTGTCTGGCGAGTCCGAGCATGAGAAATGACTCCTACAAAGACCAGTACTCGCTGATGCCATGTAAATGTCAAAGCATCTATCGAGGAACACAAGGGGACGGCCATGAATTCGTCGCGGGCGGTAGTTTGTATGGCGAAACGTCACGGCCGCCTGCTTAGCCTTGCCTGTCTAACGACCAATGGACTTGAGGTCTGTGTGAAGACAATTGATGGAAACAACCTCGCAATAATGAACATAAAGCGTTGAAGTAAGACTACCGAGACAACTTCTCTTTTGCATAAGAAGACTCTAAGCTTACGCTTAATAGTCACCTTCTCTCTCAAGACTACAATGGGAGAATCAATTGTGAGTAGTGTAGTCTCCAGTTGCAGAAACATACTAAAGACTTCAAGGCTGAAGAGCAGGTCCTTCCATGGATGGCTCAACAACCGAGGAAGATTCAAAAACAGGCGTCTCAACTGAGCCACTAATTTAGTCTGTCAGACAAGCCAGACAAGTGAGAATATGGGGGAATTGGGGAAGAGAGGGGGAGAGGAATTGAGTGGCTTCGGCCCACCGCGGTAAAGCATTTCCCCTTCCGTAGGAGCGATGCCAGACTCGGTTGAGTTGCCCCCACCAGAAATGCTGCAAAGCCGAGCTCCCCTGGCTGCAAGACGAATAAAACCATGGTCAGACCCTACTTAGCTGCTTGACGCTCCAAGCAACATCATTGTTCCTCGCCCGTTGATCGCGTGCATTCAGTCTTTCGTCTTTAGAACTCTGTATCAGCGGCTGAAGAAGAGCAGGATTGAAGAGCCTCGCCGGGGGATCGAATACTGCTCCCCAAGTTAGACGAGAAGAGACGAGACGAGAGAGAGAAAGATGTCGGCATCAGTCCATCGGGGTCTCCGAACCGCCTCCAAGTCGCTGCGTCTGCAACAGACCTGTCTCCAGGCTGCTCGCCCGCTGGTAGCTTCACGAGCTGCTGCACTCCTCGCTGCCCCTCGCTCTTCACCCTCCTCCTCCTCCTCCTCTTCCCACATCACCAACTTCCACACCATGGCCTCGCTACAGTCCAATGCGCCTGCTGCACCTTCTGAGGGCAGAGGCTACGATCCCGAGATCAAGGACATTGCCGATTACATCCACAACAAGCCAATTGACTCGGAGCTGGCTGTAAGTCCTTATCGACCCGCCCAAATCTTTTACCCCGCGCACTTTTTTTCAGTTTCTTGTGAGAACCGCGGCTAACCGAATGCCCCCCTTCAACTCCAACAGTTCGACACTGCACGATGGGTCTTTCTCGACACAATCGGCTGCGGTCTCGAGGGTCTGCGCTTCAAGGAGTGCACCAAGCTGCTGGGTCCCATTGTCGAGGGCACTGTAGTCCCCAATGGCACAAAGGTCTTCGGTACTCCCTTCCAGCTCGACCCCGTCAATGGCGCCTTTAACATTGGTGCCATGATCCGGTGGCTCGACTACAATGATTGCTGGCTGGCTGCCGAGTGGGGACATCCCTCCGACAACATGGGTGCCATCCTCGCCGTCGCCGACTGGATCAACCGGACCAACAAGGCCGGCGGCAACCTCGCGGGCGGCAAGACCTTCACCGTCCGCGATGTGCTCGAGGGCATGATCAAGGCCCACGAGATCCAGGGATGCCTGGCCCTGCTCAACTCTTACAACAAGGTCGGCCTGGACCACGTTGTGCTCGTCAAGGTCGCCAGCACAGCTGTGGTCTCCAAGATGCTCGGCCTGAACGAGAGGCAGACCGCCGATGCCGTTACCCAGGCCTGGGTGGATGGCCAGAGCCTGCGCACCTACAGACACTCCCCCAACACCATGTCCCGAAAGTCATGGGCTGCTGGTGATGCCTGCCAGCGTGCCGTCAACTTGGCCCTGAAGGTCCTCAAGGGCGAGCCCGGTGTGCCCACCGTTCTCTCTGCCCCCGTCTGGGGCTTCTACGATGTCCTGTTCAAGGGCAAGAAGTTCGAGTTCCAGCGCCCCTATGGCAGCTACGTCATGGAGAATGTTCTGTTCAAGGTCTCGTACCCAGGTAAGTCTCTTCAAGAAATTCTGGAGCTACTCAGAAGCACGGAACTAACGCTGCGCAGCCGAATTCCATTCCCAGACCGCCGTTGAGGCTTCCCAGAAGATCTTCAACCAGCTCAAGTCTATGGGCAAGAGCGCCGCCGACATCAAGGGTGTCACTTGCCGGACACACGAAGCCTGCATCCGCATCATCGACAAGCAGTTTAAGCCCATGGACAACTTCGCCGACCGTGACCACTGTATCCAGTACATGTGCTCGGTCATGCTGACCTTCGGCCGCCTGCAGGCCACCGACTACACTGATGGCTCGGAGGCAGCCACCTCGGAGCTGGTCGAGTCGCTTCGCAAGAAGATCAAGTGCGTCGAGGATCCCCAGTTCACCAAGGACTACCACAACCCCGAGCTGCGCACCATCTCCAACGCCCTGACCGTTGAGCTGAACGACGGCACTGTCCTCGAGGAGGTCGTTGTCGAGGCTCCTCTTGGCCACCGCCTTAGACGCGAGGAGGCCAAGCCTGAGATCCTCGCAAAGTACAAGAGGCATCTTGAGCCTCACTTCGACAGCTCCAAGGTTCAGCAGCTCGTCGACCTTGGTCTGGATGCCAAGAAGCTCGAGTCCACACCTGTGGATGAGTACGTCGACCTGTACGTAGTCAAGGAGAGCAAGTTCGTGTAGGTTTTGGTTAGTAGGGAAGCGAGCAGCGGAGGAAATAAGGATGCATAGACAACCATTTAGAAGTACGGTATAGCATGAATATTCTTTTTGAATAAAATTAGGAGTTCAAAACACACTTGAAGGTCTCTCGTGCGATTGTAAACTGTCAAGATATTCTCTATTTGCATTCCTTACTCGCCCAAGTTAACAGTGGGTGCTTACGGCGCATGATGCCTGTAAGAGCACACCGTAGTGACGAACACCTGGTGCCATGATTTTGCCCGCCAACGTCTGTCAGCGTGATAACAAGACATGTGAAGCCGTCGGCGAAGGAATTGAATATCCCTAGTGTAGAGCTTGACCGGTAGAGTGTTCCTGTAGTTTTGTTCGCCGTTATCGGTGCTCCGTTCGGTGATCGGAGGCCCGCCGAGCCCGTGTTGCCGGGACCTGGAGACCCTGAGCCAAAGCTGGGGACAGCCGCCAGTGGTCGTTCACTAGCCCCAGAACACCCCTCGGGATTTTTTTTAGGTTAATATAAGGGTGAGGTGTCAAGCACAGCCTCACTGCGCCACTGCTAACGCCTTAAGGTCCCTGGGCGGCCGCCCCTGCTCAGGTGTTAAACGACATCTCTATCACCAAATTCCTCGACGCTGATTAGGCAGCTCCAAGATACTCCTTCAACGACAATAACTGTATCTGATCCTCTCGATATCGAACTCTCTCGTCCGATCTTGTGCTGAGAGTTGTTCTGGCCCATTGCGACCATGGCTGAACGCCAGAAGATCATCGAGTCGAACCGGTCTCTCCGGCTCATTAAGAATGTGCGTATTGGGGACTATCACAGGATGTCCATCCTTCCCGGACGATCATTGCTAACGCCAGCCTCAGGAGCTGGAAAGCCTCCTAGAAAAGGGCGTCATCGGCGACGATGTGTTCGACAGCATCTCCCGCCTCCTGCCCGCCGAGTCCTCGCTCTCCAGCGCCGGCACGCCCGCTACACGCACCGCGGGTTTCCCTACCCCAGCATCCACCGCCAGCGCAACGCCGGCCTCGCCGCAGCCTCCCGCCGCCGGCTTTGCCAACCTCAACCTGAACAACAATAGCAGCAGCCACGAGCCCCCCTCCTACACCCAGTCCACCGGCACGCCGTCCGTCCAGGCCCAGGCCCAGGCCGCGCACCCGCCGCCGCCGCCTCCGCCCGCAGGCAAGCCGGTGATCGCGCACGCCCGCGCGCTGTACAAGTATGCCGCCTCGGACGCGCGCGACTGCTCGTTCGAGCGCGACGACCGCATCGCCGTGCACGAGTACATGAACGCGGACTGGTGGATGGGGCGCAACCTGCGGACGGGCTCCGAGGGCATCTTCCCCAAGAACTACGTCGAGCTCGACGTCGCGCCGCCGCCGGGCCCTCCCCCGCCGCAGATGACGCCCGCGGGCTACCCCGTGGACGAGAAGGCCGGGTACAACGGGTACCAGCCGCCCGCGCAGCCGCAGTACGGCGGGTATCCGCCACCCCCGGGACAGCAGAACCCGTACAATAGCAACGTCCCCCCTATGGCGGTGGCGGAGCAGGGGTCCGGGTCTGGCCAGGGCGGCGATGGCAAGGTGGGCGAGTACGGCAAGAAGTTTGGCAAGAAGTTGGGGAATGCGGCCATCTTTGGTGCGGGTGCGACGATTGGTGGAAACATTGTCAACTCGATCTTCTAAGGCTGGTATGTGTCTTTGTGGGCTGGCTTGGACCGAGAGAGCAGGCTACGTGGAGGTGTAATGATTCAGACAATGAGCCAGGTTGGAAGGCCGAATGGGAATAGAGCACCGGGATTGACAAGTTGCATGAACCTTTGGGCGTTAGGGAACTGATATATAGGCCTCTTAATGACAAGCATTTTCATCATTTGTCTTTACCATGCTTGACATTGAATGTACGAGCAGGAATCTTTTCACTTGCAATTCTTCCACCCCAGTCAGCAAAGAAAGGGCAGTGATCGAAGTCGTGATTTTTGGTATATTCTTGGTATCATGGATACAGTGATTATTATACAGTCAGGGTTGATACCGCTTGATCCAGTCTAAATCCCCATGCCGATTCCAGTGAGCCCCGAGGAGCTGGTACTGCCCCTATTGCCCTGACTATTTGCCATAATGTACTAGGTCGTATCGTAACATCACATCGCATCACATCGGTTGTAGATGTTTGCTTTAGAAGATCTTCCAGGCGGCGTCGACGACGAAGGGAGCTGAAACAGCCATACGAGATTAGCCCATATTTGCGTCAAGCTGCGCATCCAACAGGAGACAGCCAAGATACCTAAAGAAATAGAGAGCAGAGGGAGCGTACATAGATAGAGCATGACGGCCGAAGCAACGACGCGCTGGACTGTGAAAGAAGCCTCGGCCTCAGCGGCCTTGATCTCCTCCGGGGAGGCTTGAGGGGGTGCGACTAGAGATGGGCCATTAGCATTGACTGGGGGAGGCTAGCAAGCGTGATTGGTAGGGCTGTATCGTAGCTTACATCCTCCGAACATTGTGAGAGTTGTTGATTGTCTTTTGTGGTTGTGATGCGGTGTCGGTGGTTGCAGAAGCTATGGCGGACAATGACCTCCGTTTTGGATGTTCACCTAAAGAGTGAGGTCGAAATTTTTGGAGGAGCTAACGCACCTAGCGATAAGTGACTGCTAAGAGCCGCCTGCCGCGCAGTAACTAAGGACAATCGGTGACGCTATCTTTTTCCTGCTTTACTGGTCAATGTTAGGGGGGACAGCTTCCTGCACCGTGCGCGGACTGCAGCTGGCCAATGGGGATTCTCACATGTCTCCCTTTTCGCCGGTCCGAAAATAACCGATCTCTTATCGTGCGTGGTGGGCTTCACTCGAGTCTCGTCGCGTGCCTTGTCGGTGGCCATGGCCGATCGCGCTCCTGGTCTTTTTGCCCAGCAACTTGACCAGGTATTAGGTATTAGATATTAGGTATTAGATATTAGAAAGGCAGGCGCATAGGAATGCTGCGTACTGTGCTGTACTGTGCATTGTACCTGCGGGAGCTATCAAACATCTAACATCTAACTGAGCGACTGTTTGCTCTGTTGCTAGCTCCATCGTCCCACGGCGGTGCCCAGGGGTCCCTGTTCCTGACTCTCTCTTACACCCAGTGCCGCTTCCTCACCGCGTGAATCTTCCCTCACCGTCTTCTCTTCCTCTTCTTCTTTTGCTGTAAATCAATTCCTCAAGCTGTCAATTGCTTAGGATTCGGTGCGTGGCTGCCAGATCTCGCGAGCTTATCAGGCATTGGAGCTCCTCCATCACTTACATACAAGCGCCCTTCATTCCCCGTGGCAAAATGCTGGCTTAGAGCTTTGGACAATTGCCCCTCCATCCACCACGACCTCAGAATCGATCATCTCTTGACCTGTTGAAGGGGGAGAAGACTGCTTGACTTGTTGGAACACAGTCGCAGTTTCTCATCATTATTATTAGCCTACCCTCACGCCCTTGCCCGGCCTCTCGATAAGATGGCATCAAAGGGCCTGGCTATCTCCCGGCACCTGGGCCGTATGGCCCGCCCATCTGCCCGAACGCCCATGAGCGCTCGAGCTGCCATGACGGCATCACAGCCATGGGTTTGCCAGTCTTGTACTCGCATTGCCACTCTGGGCGCAAAAACCATTGTACGGACTAAAGCGACGGTCGCCTCTAGCCATTATCACATGCTGGACACGTTCCCTCGCCGTCACATTGGCCCCGATGACAATGACACGGCCGACATGCTCAAGGCCCTGGATCCACCCGTCCAATCCCTAGACGAGTTCGTCGCTCAGGTCATACCACCTGATGTTCTGTCGTCACGGGAGCTCTTTCCAGCTTCCATCTCGCCCGATAGACAGCCGGGTGACAAAGCTGTCAAGGAAGCCCTCCCCGAGCATGAGGTCCTGGCCATAGGAAGTAAATTGGCGAATTCAGTAGTGACAGGAAAGACTTACATCGGTGCTGGTTACTACGGTACTCTTACTCCCGAAGTCATCAAGCGCAACGTTCTGGAGAATCCAGCTTGGTATACGAGTTATACCCCTTACCAGCCCGAAATCAGCCAGGGCCGTCTCGAATCACTGCTGAACTACCAGACGCTTGTCTCCGACTTGACCGCGCTGCCCATCTCCAATGCCAGTCTTTTGGACGAGGGAACTGCCGCTGCCGAGGCCCTGACGCTTTCCATGAATGCCCTGTCATCTTCGAGGGCCAAAAGGGAGGGAAAGACCTTCCTCATCTCTGACTTGCTTCACCCCCAGACCGCTGCTGTTCTGCGTAGCCGAGCTGAGGGTTTCGGAATCAAGATTGAGCGCGCCAACGTGCTTTCTCCGGAGTTCCAGTCGCGTCTAGACGAGCTCGGTGACGACCTGGTAGGAGTCATGGTGCAGTATCCCGATACCAAGGGTGGCGTAGAAGACTTTAGCAGCCTGGCCGAGGCAGTTCACGGCAAAGGAGCACTGTTGAGTGTTGCTACTGACCTGCTGGCACTGACGGTACTCACTCCGCCTGGAGAATGGGGCGCAGATATTGCTTTCGGTAACGCTCAGCGCTTTGGTGTCCCAATGGGCTTCGGAGGGCCCCATGCTGCCTTCTTCGCCGTCACCGAGAAGCATAAGCGGAAGATTCCTGGACGCCTCATTGGTGTCTCGAAGGACCGTCTGAACGGAAGAGCGCTCCGACTGGCGCTGCAGACACGAGAACAACACATCCGCAGAGAGAAGGCCACGAGCAATGTGTGCACCGCCCAGGCGTTGCTTGCAAATATAAGTGCACTCTATGCCATTTACCATGGCCCCGAGGGCCTAAAGGCCATCGCTGAGAAGATCATCAAGGGTGCTAGAATTGTACAAGCCGGAGCACAGCAGCTAGGCTACAAGACAAGATCTAGCGGTACCGATGCGGATGGGCGAGTGATTTTTGATACTGTTGTCATTGAGGCCCCGGGCGAAGCCCAATCCATCGTTGAGCAAGCGCAGCACGATTTGGTCTATTTCCGCCAACTGGGTGCGGATGAGTTTGGCATCAGCATTGATGAGACCACGTCTGAAAGGGATCTTATCCGGATCTTAGGCATCTTGCGAGATGCTAAAAACCTGGGATCGGGAGACAAAATCAGTGCTGTTGTCTTGTTCAAGAGCCTCGCCAAGCAGCAGATCACATCTGCTGAGCTTCCTGAGAAGTTCGCCAGGACTTCAAGCTATCTTACCCATCCTGTCTTCAACACGCACCATTCCGAGACCGAAATTCTGCGCTATATCTACCACCTGCAGTCAAAGGATCTCTCACTCGTTCACTCGATGATCCCCCTTGGTTCGTGTACTATGAAACTCAACGGAACGGTCGAGATGGCTTTGATTACACAGCCCGGGTTCGCTAATGCCCACCCATATCAGCCACTTAGCCGGTCTACTGGATACTTACGGATGCTTGGCTCTCTGGAAGACCAGCTGAAGCGCATCACAGCCATGGATGCTGTCTCTCTGCAGCCCAACTCTGGTGCCCAGGGTGAGTTCGCCGGCTTGCGCACCATTCGCAAGTACCACGAGAGCAACGGCCAGAGCAAGCGTGACATTTGTCTGATCCCTGTTTCCGCCCACGGCACCAACCCGGCATCAGCTGCGATGGCAGGCATGCGAGTTGTGCCTATCAAATGCGACACCAAGACCGGCAACCTGGATCTGGCAGACCTAGAAGCCAAGTGCGAGAAGCATGCCGACCAGATTGGCGCCATGATGATCACCTACCCCAGCACATTCGGCGTCTTTGAGCCGCAAATCAAGAAGGTCTGCGAGATCGTGCACTCGCATGGCGGCCAGGTGTACATGGATGGCGCCAACATGAACGCGCAGATCGGTCTGTGCTCTCCCGGCGAGATTGGTGCCGATGTCTGCCATTTGAACCTTCACAAGACCTTCTGCATCCCTCACGGTGGTGGTGGTCCCGGAGCCGGCCCCATCTGCGTTAAGGAGCACCTGGCACCTCACCTTGCACCCAAGGAGCTGGCGTTGTTTGATAAGCAGGACCCCATCAGCAGCGCGCCATATGGCAGTGCTAGCATCTTGCCAATCAGTTGGGCCTACAATCTGTTGATGGGCTCTGAGGGCCTCAAGAAGGCAACGGAGATTACCCTTCTCAACGCAAACTACATCCTTAGCCGGCTCAAGCCTCACTACCAGATCGTCTACACGAATGAGCATGGCCGCTGCGCGCACGAATTCATTTTGGATGCTCGCCCCTTCCACAACACCGCCGGCATCGAAGCCATTGACATTGCCAAGCGTCTGCAGGATTACGGCTTCCATGCACCCACTATGAGCTGGCCGGTCGCCAACACACTCATGATCGAGCCTACGGAGAGTGAGAGCAAGGAGGAGCTGGATCGCTTCATCGATGCCCTGATCAGCATTCGTGAGGAGATTCGTGAGATTGAGGAAGGCAAGGCGCCGCGCGAGGGCAACGTGCTCAAGATGTCGCCCCACCCAATCCAAGATATCATCCTGGGAGACGCAGGCGAGAAGTGGGATAGGCCGTACTCGCGAGAGAAAGCGGCGTACCCGCTACCGTGGCTCAAGGAGAAGAAGTTCTGGCCCACTGTGGCTAGAGTAGATGATAGTAAGTTCACCCCTTCAGCGTGGACAACAAAAGACGCGTGCTAATATCTTGGCAGCATATGGAGACCTGAACCTCTTCTGTACATGCCCTCCCGTGGAGGATACCACCGGCGGAAATCTATCTTCTGTGCACTAAGCATTGATGGTTATTGGCTGTAATCCATACCAAACTAAAAGCTTTGGCCTCTAAGAAAGGCAATCACATGGATTGCCTCGGCGTTATCGACTCCAGTCGAAGGCGTAATGGTCCATAATTACCTCCTTTTCAACACATCAACTAGATACCAGACGACGTGGATTGGTCTTCACACGCAATCCAAGGGACGGAGTTTCAACAATATGACTCAGGGTCTTACTTAACGTAATGAATGGATATTTCGCTTATTTAGACTGGTTCAGGGCTGCTCGGGTGGCCTCAACTGCTGCTTCGCAAGTAAGGGTTGGCAGTGATGTGGTTAGCTTTTGTGATCATATAAAAGATGGACAGAGTACATTCGAACTGGCCCGACTTCAACATATCAAAAATGACCGCATAGGCGAATCTGTATTGATCATGAACCCTTGAGTATATTTGTAGCTTGCTGAGTTTCCAGCAGCATTATCATCTATCGCTTTTCCGCGCAGCCCAAATCATCGCAGATGCACACGTTAATATGCCTATGCCTCAAAGACCAACACCACACCGTCATCACCAGCCGTCACGACCCGCTCGCCTGTCTCCCCCTGAACGAAACCCAGCACGCCGCCGCCCTCGCCATCTCCCCTGTGGCCGCGCCATTCCTTAACGAGCCCAGACGCGTCTGAGCTGCTGACGTGCTGGCTCGCCGTTGCACCGCGTAGATCCCATCGCTTCACCACGCCGTCCATGCCGCAGCTTGTCAGCGCCCAGCCGTTCTGCTTCACAAACTCCACCTTGACCACGGAGAACTCGTCGTGGGCACCCTGTGTATGCCTCCTCAAACCGAAGGACCTTGATGTGTCGAAGATCGCTATACTGCCGTCCACTGACCCCGAAGCCAGGAGTGTCTGTGGCGCAGGTGAGAAAGATAGCGTCTCAATACCATCTGACTGTACTTGTATCGCCGCCAGGATCTGTCCCGCTTGTGTACTGCTGTCTGCACCTCCCGCGCCCGCTGAGCGTCCTGCTTTGCCGGCGCGAGCTTTTGACTTGGTCTGCCCTTGGGGAGCCTGTGCCTGTTCTGAGAGCCGTGGTAGGCCAACGATCCTGATCGAGCCGCCCGCTCCGCCAACTGCGAGAAAACCGCCTCTTGGCTCTATGGCTACTGAGTATAGGCCACCTTCGACTTCAAACCGCTGATCCTCGCCAGTCAGTGACACGACGGTCATCCCGTTCGAGTCGATGCTGCCCTTCGCCGCAGCAATACCCCATACATCGTAAACGTATAGACTGCTATCCTCTGAAACAGTGGCAAGCAGTGCGCCATCTGATGTCCAAGCGCCGGCCGTTGCAGAGCCTGTGTGAAGGAAATAACTCTGGACGATCTGTAGGGGGTTCGAAGCATCTGAGGAATCGATGGTATACACCCATACTGAGCCGTCGGATGCGCCGAGAGCAATGGTATTCGGGTGAGACGGGTCGGGGCATGCCGAAAGCCAGTTGATCTCGGGCACCTCTTGCGACTCAGCAACAAACTTGAACTTTGCGCTGGCCGGCGCACTGGGCGAAGCCGCGACGGCGTACACGCGCAGCCGCCCGTCCATGCCGCCCGACAGGAGGAACTCGCCCCGCGGCAGCGTGAACGCCAGCGCATTGATGCTGTCCGTGTGGCCCTCGATGGTGAAAACCGGGCTGATCTCCGTGCTCCTCTGCGCGCCGCCGCCCTCGCCGCCGCCGCTGCTCCAGCTCGCCGGCAGCACGGGCCGCTCCCTGACGCCCGAGATATCAATCACGTAGCCGCGGCCGGGGGCGTCATCCGCCTCGCCCTCGCTGCCGCCCGTCGCAATCAGCGAGGGGACGGTGGGGTGTTGCGCGATGGCGAAGACCGAGTCCTTGTGTGCGTCGAAGTAGGCAATCGAGTCGTTCTGAAGTGTGATTTCCTCCTGCTGCTCGTCGCCCTCGTCACCCGAGTCCATCGCCACATCGCCCTCGTCGGCGACGACTTCCTCGAGGGCGTCGTCGGCGTCGAGCATGTCCGGGTCCGAGTCGACATCGTCGGGATGTTGGTGGGGGTTGGCAGACATGGTTTCTGGCAGTCTTTCGGAAATGAGCTAACTGATAAAGAGTCAATGATCTGTTCTGTTCCTCTACCTAGGTAGCTGAAGACTCGATGCCATATTTATGTGTTGTTGTGAACGAAATTTCTTGCTTGATAAGCGTATCGGACGGCGGGGCAAAAATGCCCCTCCAAGCACCTACCGTCATCACTGCCCCACGTTTGGGGTGCCCCTAGCCCCTGAGCCTACTGATGTGCGCCTCCGCCAGAGTAATGTATGTTAGTACGGCAAGAGTATCATTACCTCCTCATTAAGGGATTACTATCTTTAGAGAAGTTGACAGACCCACAGCAATAAACAGAACCTTCGAGATCTTGATGAGTATTATGACTCTCAGCATTGAGTATCTCATACTTTAAGAATTAATGTTTATTAGCCTGGTGGAGGATTAAGAGAAAAGGGCATGGATTCAGAGAAGCGTAGCCAAAAATGCCCAAGATGAAGCAACATTTAACGTCATGCGAATGCATGAGAATCTTGATCATTCAAGTAGAGACATTCATTCCGTCTATTCTCTAGATGTTGCCTTCCTTTACCTTAATTCCAAGCCAGGAGTTAGATGCAAAATAATGGATATCTTCACAAAGCAACCATCCAGCCAACTCCCCTGAGAGCTAAGCTTCAAAATTCTCTCTTTCATCACAGCCGTATCCACATCTCAGTAACATTCTCGAATCCAGAATTGTTGTCCCTGTCGCTCTATCCCTCACTCAAAGATCCTTCAGCCACCACAGCTGAATAATAGAAGGCGTGTCCGCGTCATGGATTTACATCATGAAGTCCTCAGTTATGAACTCGGGTCCCACGTACCGCCTGGCCGGGGCATTGCTGATGCTGAGGAATAGTCGTTCAATGAATCCAGCTATACGCAACTAGTCGAGCTTGGTTTCTTCATACTCCTGGTAAGACCCATTGTTGAACTGAAAAGCCTTGCCGACCTTGTCTTTCAGCCCATCCAGTAGCGGGTTTCGCTTGAGCAACCAGTCGTCGCCTCCAAGCGGCTGTACAAATATCAAGCTGCGCAGCCCAGCACGAGGTAGCAGATGGTATTTGTGCCATGTATCACCCTCAAATATTTCTGAGGCGCTCGAGGTCCTGTGAACTAACCAGCACTTGCCTCCTAGCCGAGCAGTCACTACACTTCCAAGGAGGCCGACAAAGAGCCACGGATACTGGAGCATCTCGACTTCAAAGGCATTGATTGTCTCTCGAGCCAGCTTGGTGTACTTGGAATCCCCGAAGATGGCTCCGAGGCGGAACAGGTTGGATGTTGACACAGAGTTTGTTGATGGCTGTGCTGTGTCCATACCATCCTTGAGACGCAAAATAGCTTGAGGTGCATCATCAGTTGTGGAATAAAATCCACCACAAGATGATTGTTGTCCACCAGGGGTTGCTGGTCGACTTGCGGTGCTGACGGAGTCGTAGAATAGCTTGATTTGAACACCTGAAGTTTTGTTAGCCCACCGTCTAGTTATCGAATCGCAAGAAGTCCTTACTTTGTAATTCATCTGCCCACTCCAGCCAGCTCTCCACGCCCGTCGCACTATAAAGCTCCAGAAGGGCTTCGATCAGGAAAGCATAGTCCTCCGAGAAGCCCTTGGTTGATCCTCGCCCATCGTAGTATGTCCGGTACAGGACCTTAGACGCTGAGTCCCACAACTTCTCTTGAATGAAGGACGTAGCTTTCTTGGCGGCTGTCAAATACTTCTCAGCCCTCTCTCCGTCAACGCTCTTGATGGCCACAGCGGTTCTAGCAAGAGCAGCTATCACCATGGAATTGATGCTTGTGACCGCTTTGGCATCGATTTCCGGGTGAACGCGCTCTTTCTCTCGATGCGCCAATAGCTTCTCACGCGCGGACGCAATCAGCTTTCCCACTTCCTCTGTCGCAATGCCAAACTGTCTACCCAATTCCTCGGCATTCTTGACAACACGTAGGACATTTTGGTTCAAGAACTCGTCATTCGGATCCTGATCCCGCTCGATATTTCCATGCTGAAGCACGTCCCAATGCGCTGCAGCGACAGCACTTGTCTGACCGTCTCCAACGACATTCTCGAACTCCCTGCGAGTCCATAGGTAATAAGCGCCTTCGCGCATTTGCTTGTCGCCCTTTCTGTAGAAGGAATCAGCAGCCTCGCTCGTCGCGAATCCGCTGTCCTGTTCAGTAGATCCAGCCAGGGATTTTGACGTCAGATAGTCTGCAAGCTCGACCACGATGTCGGCAAACTCGTCCTCCTTCTTCAGCTGCCCCTGTTTGGCTGTAGTCAACCAGGCGTCCAGATACACTCCCAGTAGCAGAGCGTTGTCCAACACCATCTTCTCGAAATGGGGCATCGTCCAGTCGACCGTAGCGCTGTAACGGAAGAATCCAGCACCAATATGATCTCGTAGCCCACCATCTCGTAGCTTTCGCAGTGTGTGCAGAGCGATGTGAGTAGCTTGTTCGACTTCCTTCTCTCCAACGACATCGTGCACCTCTGTGGGGAAATGAGCTAGGCGGAGGAGGAAAGATAGCTTGGCAGGTGTAGGGAATTTGGGAGCAAGTCCAAAGCCACCGTTGACAGAGTCGAATGTGCCTGCAATGTGAGTAAACGCCTCTTCGACTTGGTCCAGGTCCACCTCCAGATCAGTGCCTGGAGTAGAGGCGGTTGCACCGCCAGACAGATCTGTGGGCACCGCCGCACTCGATGTAGCTGGTTTAGCTGGTGTGCTAATGCCCTTTGTCCCGAGAGTCCCCTCCGCAGCAAACTCACGCAACTGGGAGAGGATCTGCTTTGCCTCTTGCCGGCATCGCGCCTCCTGCTCCTCCCAGACATTCTTCATCTTTTGCAGAATGACAAGAAAGTCCAGCCGCTCATCGTCCGGAATCCTCTCTCCGTCAAGCCCCAGCAGCTCTGTACCTGGGCCGGGCCAGTATGTGCCGCCAAAGACAGGCTCAAGTTCAGGCGTCAGGAACACGTTCAGTGGCCAGCCACCGGCGCCGTTGACGGCCTGAATATAGTTCATGTAGATAGTGTCGACATCTGGGCGTTCTTCACGGTCCACCATGATAGGAATGAAGGATGAGTTGAGGAGGCTGGCGACAGAGGAATTGGAGAAGGAGTCTTGTGTGGTGAGTTTGCAGTCTATGAGAATGTGGTCAGCCTCGTCAATCTCCAGTATAGTTTAGGTGAGGCGGCACGCGATCACTGACAATGGCAGGCCCGAAATCCTATGTTTAGGAAGATGAGCTTGTTCTCGCTCTTGGCTTTCTGAATAGCCTCATCGTCGAGTAGCTGCCAGGCGACGGGAGACTCGGTATGGGCGCGCAGGTACGGGCTGGTGCTCTCTGCAGCTCTGTTCTTCAGAGGGACGGCGTCCGATAAGGTCGCCTTGTCCAACTGCTCAGAAAGTTCAGCTTCGTTAGACGGATCGGCGGGAGGATTTGATTGAGGAGGAGTCGAGCCCGTGGGCTTCTGCAGCTGAGCGGCCATCATTTTTGCTGGCGATATCTAGTATCGCATGCGACAGAGAGGTGGCTCGTGAAGCTGGCTGAAGGGTGAGGAGGCTGTCGGGGAAGTTCGGCAGAGGGAAAGACTCTGGAAAGCTGAAGGCGACTTTGTTCCTGGCAAAAGTGAAGACAGGTCTGAGATGCTTATGCCATGTATGAGGTATGACTCGGGTGGAGAAGGCGCTGTAGATGGAGCGACGGAAGAGGTAACGTGCGGTGGATGGGAGATGATGCAGTGAAGCTCCAGAGAGCGAGTCATGCACTCAGAGGTCTCTAGGTAGGTAGGTAGGTGGGCATTCACGATAAGTTCACTGTAGCAAACAGAAAGGCCGTTAATTCATGAATTACCCCTCCATTGCCAGGCTTATCGCTGTCAGCCCCGGCCCCACTGTTTAAAGCTGTCCCGCCTCGACTACCACATCACGTCACTGAAGCGCATGGCAGGCATCTTGCATGCTCAGCATGGATGACACACAGCAAGCTACCTACCCTACCCTACCCTAATTCACATGTTTCTCAGATCAAATCATATCACTTTAGCTTTAACCAGCTGAGAAGGAGTCTTTGCTTGGCTATGTTATGCCCAAGACTGACATTGTCTCAAAGGGCAGGTTTCGAATTGAGCCCATTTGACTTGTCATTTTTGTGAAGCCGCAAGTATTACAAAAGGCACTTTAGGGCCGAATGAAAGATCAACATCTAAAATGCAGGATGAGCCACTGCAGAAGACAGCAGAGATCGAGAGAGCTCTGGTAGAGTCACGCCGGTGAGTTGTCTTTTCAATTCAGTTGGTAGGCTAGCGCCCGTTGGATGATATTACCAGGGTTCTCTTAAACTCTCATCACTCTGTCCAACGGAGCCGTCCTTCTCAATTCTACCAGTCTTGAGTAACAAGAAGATGCGGCTCATGCCTGGCTCTAAAGTTTGTTTCGGTGAGCTATTCTAGTTAGTAGAATATCCCATGCCTTCCATATTATTTTGTCCCGTTGTCTTTCTCGTTATGGTATAGACCAGACATAACAGAATTTGGCTCTCTGGTCGGAGGAAGGTGTGAGACACAGACGACGAAGTTTTCATCCGCCACATATCGGAGAAAGGTCATCGTGATTTTTATTTAGCATCCTATAAATACATATTTCTTGGCTCTTAATAGCCAAATGGGTTGAAATTTTACAACTTCGTCATATCTCGTTCTCTCAAAATTGCACATCACAGCAAACTTGTTGGATGACCTCCCGTTGAGCCTCACCCTCTCAAGGAATCATACACTACCAAATCGCGTACAATAATTGTCTTGTACCATGGAGGGCCTGTCTTACTATGAGGCAGCTGACCGGCTTATACACAAGTATCACACCACCTACTTGTCCGCTGCACGAAATCGCTGTCGCCTAATGAGGGCACTCTTGCAATTGAATGAACACAAGTCGCTCGACGATGACGCACGCAAACGGCTGGGACAGATACTCTCTGGCATTCACGCCGACAGCAACCGTGACAAATCACTCTGTGATGAACTTGAGGATGACCGAGAGAAACTCGATGCCAAGATGCATGGCGAGACTCTAGGCATCAAGGTTGAACAAAGCGACGCTAATGCTGAGATCGAAGGTCTCTCAGAGCGCCTGGAAGACGAGCAGTGGAACTGCAAGGAGGCATGGAAGCAGATCGAAGGGCTGAACCAGCTCATCTCTGGACTTGCAGGGTCAGTCACGATGCTCGAAACCCAACTGAGCAAGGCCAAGGCAGATGCGGAAAGGGACAAGCAAGAAGATGTTCCTCAACTGAGGAGAAGAATCACCGACCTGGAAGCACAGCTGCATGTTTCAAGCGTTCAAGTTCGCGATCTGAATCAGAGAAATTACACCCTCCAGGTTTCTCAATATCAGAACAACAGCGTGCTTCACACACAGTATAGCTATATTCACACCGCCAACCAGAACATTCAGTTGGTCAATTTTCGATATAGTGAGGCCGTTCGCGAGCTCCAGGAGAAAACAAAAACGCTAGCAGAAAAGGATTCACAGCTGAAGGCGGAACAAGAAACCGTGGCGGAGCTGCGCAAAGAGCTTGACATGGCAAAGTCGAGGCAGGAAAAGGTGGTGCCCTTTATTCCTGTGCGGATTATAAACTCTGAAGAGTCCAGTCACAGTCTTCCATTCATCGACGAGGAATTTGAGCTTGTTGGTGAACGAACTGACGAATGATGTGGACGAAGCCACTAAGACCATCCGTTTACTGTTACACGATATTGAAAAGGAGTGCAATGCATATTAGCATGCATCGGCGTCTATTGAGAAATAAAGTTTTTGGGCCATGAGATGTTGCTGGATAATGGTGTCTCATCAGGGGTTGTCGGGATTAAAGGAGGAGTTCATAGAGTATTTTAGAGCAAAAGAGAGTGTATCGACTAAATAAGACTATTGTAATAGAATACACAAGAAGTCGGAATGTCGAATCGTGTTCATTCGGTGTAGGTCAACATCAGCCCCTCTCAATCTCATTGTAGAGCGCCACTTCCTGCATATGACCATCTGCTGAGCATTCAAGCCGCCAATGTGATTTCACTGTGGTCCATAATTACTGATCCTAGAATCCCTATATGATGAGACCTCATATGCTTGTGACTGTGGGCTGACAGATCTATGATGATCTGGTGACGGAGATGGTGAGCCATAGCTTGGCACTGGACTCCCAGACATTTCACTCGCGGCAATTGGCACAGGCAGCTCTGCCGGTTCCATCTGCATCAGCGGTGGCGGAACGCCGTAGCTATGCTTCTTGTCATAGACGTATGACGATCCCCCAGGCATCTCGGACATTTGGCTTTGTGTGCTTTGTCTGTTGGCCTCCCTACGCTTCTTCCTTCTGACAATGAAGAAGATAGCGATGAGGGTGATGAGAATAAGACCACCAACGACTCCTCCCACAACACCACCGATCAGAGCACCTTTATTGGATCCAGAGCCAGAGCCACTGGGCTCCGTAGCTGTACCATTTCCAGAAGGAGTGTCATTTTTGTTTGGGATGACAAGTTCGTAAGGGGGATTGTAAGGCGCTGGAGCAGTCAGAGCCGGGTTCATCACATATTGCAGCCAGGTGTCGCTCCATTCGAGTGGAGATGTCTTGTAGGCACCACCATCGACAGTACCTCCAATCGCGTTGACTACTTGTGATGGAACTGGCGCTTGACGGTTCGCTCCTTCAGCATTGAAGATGCCAGTGTAGTTTTGTGAAACCAGGTCAAAAATCTCTGCGGGCATGTGTGAGGAGCAGCTCTTGACGTTGGTGCCGCCAGCTGTCTTGTTTGTCTGCATGCCTCCAATTATGAGCAGGTTCTCGCCTACCACATGGTAGGTGTGGCCTGCGATATTAATTAGCCTGACTCTGGTAATGAAACGTCGCAAGTCACTCACCGTACATGCCGTCAGTACGGGTATGCACCAGGACCCATTGGAAAGTTGGTAAGCTAAGGACCCAGATTTCTTCGGATGTGATATAAGTAGCATAATTCTCAACACCAGCAACCATGTAGATATTGTATGAGGAATTGTCCTTCGCGGGTACCACGACTGCACAGATATCTGACCGCCCACTTGGAATATCAGGGATGCCGAAGGTCTTCTGACGGAACCAATAGCCAGTTCCAATATCGTAAATATCGACAAAGGTATTTTGGATCTGTGATGATGTAAGTGACTACGAACAGCGAAGTAGAATTGTAGTATATACATTGTCATTGCCCGCGTTGGCTCCTTTCTTTGGTATGCCGTAAGGAGTTGGATCGACTGTGACCTGGCCACCAAGAAAGACAACGATTCCCTTGTCCCCAATGGGTACGTGCACCATTGCTCCATTCATGCGTGGCCCGAAAGGCTTGTTTTTATTATCGCCCAATGAGACAGGCACAGAGGTGTTTGTCAAGGTTGGCCTTGCAACTGCAGGGCTCGTGTCCAACACAAGCATTCCCTCTAAGACTATTATAGATAAGTATCAGAATAAACAGCTTTGTGTGATTATGATACATACACTTGAACTCGCTTGACTGATCATATGTGATGTAGTCATGATCTGATCGCTGCTGGACATAACCCTCAAACACGAAGCTCTTGTTCAAAGCCGGAGCATCACAGTAAGCGGCCGCACCTGGTCGATCGATTTTTGTTCCAACACCAGTGTAATTAAAATCTGTCAGCTTGGACCATCTCTCTAAATCGATATCAAACTCCCATATCGCGGATTCTGGGATATCATTCAGCTGCATGAAGCCTGGATCCGTGTCGCTATTGAAGGAGAACCATCCACCTAACTGATATATTTTTCGTGTGGCTGGCGAGTACCACAGACTGCCTTCAATCAGGCCGTTCGGCACATCGGGGCTCTTCAGAATGGAGGAATAGGGGAAGGTATCTTGGTTCGTGAAGTTCTGAGACAAGTCGAGAACGAGCAATTGATCATCTGCATCGGATCAGCGAGGCCTAAGTCTCATAGATACAAGACACACTCATTCCCGCAGTCCAATCTCCTATATCTGTAGTTGAAAATGTTCCGTTGTACTTTGGCATATAGGTATTACCGCCATCAATGTAAATCTTGCCATCAGCAAGAACGCCTTGGTGCAGTGTCAATACATGCACTTTCAGGAGAGCTCCATATCAACCCACTGGAATGTCTATATATGCGACAAAAATGTTGCGACAAGTCATGGTCACTGCTGTTGACTGTCGAGCCTGAGGTCGGCGTTGGTGCCACGAAGACGGATGAAGTTCGAGAAGGGCTTTGCCTTGCAAGTATGCTCGCGCTGCAAGCAGTACTCGCAAGAGCAAAACAGAAATACAAAGCCCGGAGGCCGATCATGACCAACGCAAGCAAAACGGGCCTCAGAAGTCATGGAGAATGAAGACAGGAAGAATTGGTCGACTCGAACGTCTTCGTACACGTACAACCGATATTATGTGAAGAGCCGCCGGAAGCCCCCATGGTTGCCAGACGCTTGCTTTGCAACCTATCCAAAATCGGGCATTACGGAACGCCTTGCATATGGTGAAAGCTTCTGGAAGCCGATAAGACGACTGAAATCCTTAGAAACTTGCGCCTTTCTGCGGGATCGTCCTTCGGGTAGAAGTTCATTGGACATGTTATTGAGGTGGTGTTGCGACTAGCTTGCGGTGTTGCCGGGCTGAGGTTGGAATCTGCAGTTGGCTTCTAATCCACCATTCACATTCGAGCAAATCGACACTTTCGAAAGAGGCTTGCTTTGGTTTCAGACCCCAAGTATGCAGCAATGGAGCGCACAAGAAGGCTGTGGCACCTAGAATGCAGTCTTATCAGTCATTGTCAGACTCATTAGGTGCAACGTTATGGGTTCCATCTCCGTCAGATTTCTCGTAGCTGGGAAAAAATGGCCAAATTGCGCGTGGCGACCTTATCGAAGACGGTTATAAGCCAATGTCAATTCGAGCCTCTGTCTAGCAATCAAGCAAAAACGTTTACGAGCAGTTGCCGTCTGGGATGGTTCACTTGAACGACCATGTGAGCGCCATGCACCCTCAAGTTGCATCCCTTAACGCCACACCGGGCAGATCTCGGTCGCGTAACTGACCCCCGGTGACCCAATAGCAGCCTTGTTCGCACCTATCATCCTATCCGAAAATGATTTGCCGACTTCCCGATCAGGTGGGTTTGTCCTTGAAGTGGTCGTTCTCACAAGGCTCCGACTCCAATTCCGACAGTAAATGGGAAGCATCGGCTAGAGCCTTACTTAAATAGTCTCAAGCTCCCATCAGAGTACAATTGTATCGAAGCAGCGAGAGCGATTTGCTGAATATCCTTGCACATTGACTGTTCCACGAAATTTGCAAGTTGTAAGATGAAAGGCACGTAGCACCATGCTAATGGGTACAGGGCTGAGGCGTGAGCGCGCCTCGCCCGGTGCCTTTGAATAGCTCGACAATTGAACTAGTATCTGACTAAGTGGTCCCAGGCTGGCTGGGTGTTGCCATGAAATCCACGATGCCTTCGTGCCCTAAGCGGCGGGTCCTGTATCTTGATTATGTCTCACATGCCACGCGGCATCTCCACTGAAGAGCTTGCGTCTTTTCAGCTACAGCACTCTGCACATACCTTGCCCTATTCGGATATAAGCTTGACTACACGGCGGGAAAGCTTCAGAATATCCAAGCGCCTTGAATAGTTAGGTATAATGAAAGACAAGTTAGTATCAGCGGAAAACTTAGGATCACAAGCTCAGAGCAAATATCATGGAACGAAGTATGTGTATATGTATATTTAAATTTGAAAGAGCAATAACTCGTAGCGGGGAGAACCCCTGTTCAGTAGGAACTTACCGATATAGCTTCAAGATAAAACAGAGCTGGCTCTAGAATTGGCGCAGCCCGTCCAAACTTACCTCTGCTCCTTTTAAAGCCATACCAGTCCTTCCGCTTTACTTTTAGCACGAAGCAGGCACGTTAGACACTCATCCTTACCTACCTCTGTGCAGAAACACAAGGGCTGAGTGCAGTATATATACTCACCAGACCCAAGCAGCGGAGCGGACTTACACTCACGCTCATCATCGGAGCTCGGCGGAATTGCGATTTCGTCGAGACAGATGCGCTTGCACTCCTCGCAGTCCCGAACAACGGCAGTCTTACCATGTCGAGAACAAGCTGCGAGCCGGAAGCTTGCTCGCGGCGGAGCAGTCTGCGGTGATTGACGGGATGGCACTGGCCTCGGTGATGCGGCGGAGTGAGATTGGGAGGAAAGGCTCAAAAACGGGGGTGCCTTCCGCCGACGCTCCGGGTTGATTTTGTCGACGTTGCCATCGATTGGAACCTTGACAAGTGATGGAGAGCTTGATTCATAATCCAAACGGAAACAAACCTCAATCGTGGTAGCATCTGAGCCTGCTGGTGTTGAGACACCTCGCTCTCGGTGGAGCTTCACAGAGTCTTTGGGATCCTGATGTGGTACGGGCACGGAGGGTGGCGGAGAAAGGAGCCTCGTCGACCGAGATTCTGGAATGACGGGAAGGCGGGTGAACGGGTCGAACAGCACTGGATATTCTTTCCCAGGTTTGGGATGTTGTGGGATATGGGCGAGAAGAGGTGCGTGAACCTCCGGTGTGCCAGCAACACCCGCCGGAATTCGAATCCAGTTCTGATCCCACACAGTCTGAGCCCACTCGAGTGTGGCCTTGCGCATCTTCACGGCAAAGGTATACTTGGCAGCATGCTCCGCGTCAGAAAAGGGCCAGCCCTCTTTTCTATACACTTGTATATCGGCAGGATCCGCTTTGTACTCGATCGCTTGCAAAAATGCACTCATGTCCTCCAGGGGCATGGGCCAGTCGAGAGTGTCCCGAATATCCGTCAGCGTATCGAACAAGACAGCACCACAGACGCTTGACTGCGGGACTGCACCGATTATCGAATAGTCGCGCTTGAATTTCCAGAACTTCAAGATGCAGTGAACATTTCGAATGTCGTAGCGGTAGTACTCCGTGCAAGCCGGACACCACCCGTACGCACCTTGAACTCGCTTCGGACCGGAGGATTTTCTTCTGGACAGGAACGCGCGAGCTTTCCCGACACCATGGGTTTGTGTCTTCTTCTCGACCGCATGTCCACACACCGTATAAGCTACCTTCATTACGTTGGAATCGAAGGCCATTGTGACGAGCCTTCCGTTGATGCCAAAGAAGTAAGCCTTGTAGATCGGTGTGCTTTCCGTACAGAGTCCTGACTCCGGATGTAGTCCAGATTGTCTGCTGGACACAGAGCTACCGTCAGTGGGATTGTTGGGTGTTTATATACCTAGGTAGGCATTCCGAAGCGGTGCACTTTTTGATTGCGAGTGCTTGATCAAAGAAAGCCAATGTTGGAACTCTATCCGCAAGACAGCCCGATAAGGCACAAAGCACGGCATTGTTGGCAAAGAAAGGCATTGTCTAAGAAGGCCATGATAAACAGTTACATTATTGAATTTTGATAGAAATGAAGATGAACAAAGACTGAGAGATCTGAAGTAGTGATCTAAGGGAGAGAAAAGTGAAGTGACAAAGGAAAAGGTGTCTCTGCTGCCCATTCCTAGACTTCCAGGTTGCTTGTAGAGCGAGCAGGGCGCCACGAACTGCCTACAATCCCAGTGACAACCCTAGCAGGGAGGTGCGTGCAATCAAGTAACGGAGACAGGGTAAAAAGCTCTCATGCGTGCCGACTGGGACCGAGAGAAAAGGCTGCCCTGCTTCCTGAGACCTCATTGCGACGTTGACCGTTCAATCTTGCTTCTTAGTTAGACGAGTAATTACCTTTTTAACTTTGGTGAGACAAGCGGGTACCAATTTCCTTCAACAGAATGGCAATCCCCAAGAACCATCAGGGTATTATCGCCGTTTAGTGTTTACAGTTGCAAGAAGCGACGTAGAAGGCTTGTAAAAAGATCGAGGAATCGATGATTTGACAATGCCATGAAGAGCAGCCGTAATGCAAGTCGCGAGCACATTGTGATCGACCCTTTCTTCTTTTAGCACTCACATCATACTGCCGTACCTTCCATGGGAGGGCAGGAGCGATTGTGTTGTTGGGCGTGGGGCGCACGTGATGCGCGGATGGAGAAAAGGAGACTGGAGAAGGATCTCAATGCCAAGTTTTTTCTCGCACAGAGCGGCCGGGATCATCAGCCGCAACAGCAAAGACCCTCTCGGACCCTCTCCTGATCAGCTTGATCCTGTCTCCCCCGCCCATTTGCAGTGTGTGCTGGAGACAAAACTGCCCGAGCTGCCCTATCCGCCCACAGGAACGGGCAATGATTTTCGCTGCCAATCGAGATCCTGGCATTGAGCGACACTGATAGCCAACAACAAGTCAATCGCTCGCAACAAGCCCCGATCCGATCTCGACCGTACGGTTCTCGGCTTCGTATCATCACTCACCAGCAATTCCATCAGTCGATTAATGAATCCTCGAAATGAAGCAAATAATGATGATGACACTTGCCCCAGTGCTCCAATGAGTTATTTCCAGCTGTGCCCGACGCTAGACCGGCGCCGTTTGCCAAGACGAAATTTCAGGGGTGTTTCCGTCTCCTCGCTGTGTAGGCCGGCGCGTCTGGATTTCTGGAAGCCGCTCGCCACGCATCCTCCCTTGATACCCTTGAGTACCTGCGGGGGCCGCCTGTCTCTGTTAACGTTACTGCGACCCGGTCGAGACACAAATTTCCGAGTCCCTGGGCGCAGGTCTTGGTTATGGCCTCACCTCTCAGGGCTCTCACCGCATATCATTTCGCAAGCGAATCTTGTCGTCCTAGTCAACACACAGACGAATTCATAGCCTTATGGGCTTGAATTCTTTTGATCTCAAGTATAAACTGACGGGCCATTCAGTTGCATCATGCATCGAGATACTCAAAACCTGCTGAAACTCCAGGCGCGACCGCTCGGCGTTCACCACACACTTGCGCTTAGTGCACATCCTCAAGTGCCCTAGCTCTGCCTGTCTACATCATTGACTAACACTAACAAGGCCCGGCTATGGTCCTGGAAATTAGGTCAACCAGCGGAAGTCGACTTGGCTATTGGCCCTGGATCTTGTGTGGCCTGGTTCTTCCAGACCACCTTGGCCAGACCGGGGTTAGGTGTATGCGGCGACAGCCAATTTCCACCTTGCCTGAACGGGCCAATTTCACGCTACTATTTTTGCTAAGCAAGTGTGCGGCGCAGAGACGGAGCTCACTACTCGCAGACCGGTGCAAAGGAGGGTTTGGACGAGCCGTGGGAGTGGCACCAAGGTTTAAGACACCGTGTTGCGGTCGTTCCCGCTCAAACGGCATTCCATTGTCCCTCGAGTTCAATTTGCACGTGCAACTCGGTGATACCAAATGGCCCTTGAGAATGCACTGCTTCTCCTGTGATAATCAAGAGACGATCACTTTTAATCGCGTTAAGCTTCTCAGAGCCACCGGGATTCTGTCAAAAGGACGCAAATCGGATGCGCGATCCGCCAAATAGGGCCGCACCCTGTCTCATGGCTGTCCCGCCGCATTGGCGCTTTCCAACAACACCCCGGCTTCGCCAATCAGCTTGCGTCGTTACCCCTATTATCCCGGTCAGCTTCATCGAACTATTAGGACACACCACACCCTTACCCATCTCACGCTAAACTTGTTCCTGAACGGACTACCTGCCATTTTAGACCATCACCCATGGCTTCTCCTCACAGCAGGTGGCTCTCCTCCAGGCAGAGAAGCACCCTCAGGCCATACAGGATGTCGAGGGAAATTGACCCAGGCTGGAGCCTGCACATGAGCAGGCATGACTGTGCGGCGATGTCTTGTTAGCTTGAAGAAACGGTAAGCCACCATCGTGACGGTTCCCCCATGACGCCTCCTACCAAGCCCATTGTGGTAGGGGCACTACTCTATGTAAGTAAGCCCAACGTCTCGTCACCATGTCTCCCACACTCTTTTTCCTTTCTTCTCTTATCGTCTTGTCAAGTCAACCCATCGACGGCGTGCTCTCTACAGCCGTGCAAACGATTGTTTGCGTCCTTTCGTTGATCTCACGATCTTCCCTCACACTCCTTTCGGCTTCGGCCATATATACATTCATTTTTTTATACCCTATATAACACCTATTTGTACAAAATGCATTTCCGGAAGGCTTTCATTGCTACGGCTCTTGCGGTTGCGCCAGTGTGGGCGGCCGGCAAGAGTGTTAATGTTTACTGGGGTCAAAATGGTATCGATACTTTGGAAAGCGCTTGCAACACCGACGGCTTCGAATACATCACCCTCGGCTTCATCAACTCCTCGCCCGAGAATGGCAATGGAACTGGTTATCCCGGAAGCAACTTTGGTGCTCACTGCTGGGCTGACGTGTATTCGAACAACGGAAAGACATCTCACCTGTACTCCGAGTGCAAGTCTATTCAGACTGGAATTTCAAAGTGCCAGGCCAACGGCAAGAAGGTTCTCCTCTCCATTGGTGGAGTGTACAATGCTACCACAAGCAACTATGCCGTTTCCAACGCCGCTAAGGGCGTCGAATTCGCCGACTTCATGTGGAATGCCTTTGGACCATACAATGCTTCATGGACAGGCCCCAGACCCTTTGACGACACTGACTCGGGCACTATCAACGTTGTTGACGGATATGACTTCGACATCGAGTACGCCTTTGCCGATGAGACTGGCTACGTTGCGATGATCAATCGACTCCGATCAAAGATCACTGCCGCCAAGCGCAGCGACATCATTACGGGAGCCCCTCAGTGCCCCCTCAACGACCCTTATGTTGATATGAAGTACATGCTTCAGAATGCCCAGTTTGATCTGCTGTTCATCCAGTTTTACAACAACCCATCGTGCAACGCTGGCAACACCGACTTCACCTTGAACTCCGGATTCAACTACGCCGCGTGGGAGGATTTCTTGAAGACTACCCCTAACAATGCCACGAAGCTTTTCATCGGTCTTCCGGGTAGCAGCAGTGCCGCCGGCAGTGGATACATCACTTTATCTGCCGCGAAGACTCTCCTGTGCCAGTACAAAGATTACCCTCAATTTGGTGGTGCCATGATTTGGGACCAGTACTATGGTGAGCTTAACACGGGCTTGGACTTGAAAACTTACTATGAGAGCATTCATGACATCCTCAACGGTGGATGTGGTGGCTCATCAACGACCACAACTCGTGCGACTACCACATCCTCGTCGTCCTCAGTCTGCACTACCGTGACCACTCCCGCCGCTGTTCAGTCTGGCATTGCTACCAACTGTGTCAAGTTTTACAAGGTTCAGACAGGAGACTACTGCCAAGCTATCGCCGATGAATTCAAGATCTCCCTCGCCAACTTCTACGCATGGAACCCGGCTGTTGGCAGCACCTGCGGCAATCTCTGGGCTGACGAGTACTACTGCGTTGCTGTTGGCGTTAACTCTTGCCCAGCTACAACCACTACACGATCTTCAAGCTCAACTTCATCACATGCCACCACAACTTCGGTTTCTAGCACTCGATCGTCATCTTCTAGCATCGTTTCCAGCACTAGCTCAACCCGAAGCAGCTCATCAAGCTCAACCGTCTCATCCACCAGCAGCCACGTCACCTCGAGCTCTTCCAGCTCCTCGTCGAGCAGCCATGTCACTTCCAGCTCGTCCTCTAGCTCTTCCAGTTCCTCGTCAAGCAGCCACATTACTTCCAGCTCGTCGTCTAGCTCAAGCTCTACCAGCTCATCCACAAGCAGCCACGCCACCTCGAGCTCTTCAATTTCCAGCTCCAGCTCCAGCTTGAGCTCAACGAGCTCCACTGCCAGCTCAACCAGCAGCTCATCTTCGTCAGCGTCCGCATCGTCATCCTCCAGCAGCAGCTCATCTTCATCTTCCAGCTCAATCAGCTCCACGGCCTCTGTTGATCCTACCACGTCGACATCCGCGTCTTTGAGCAGCAGCACTTCCGCATTTTCGAGCTCTAGCTCAAGCGACGTATACGCTACGACTTCAAGCACCATCTCAAGCTCATCAGTCTCTGCAACAACCACTGAGGCTTCCTCTACCAGCTCCGAAACTGATATTTGCGATGAGCCAACAGAGACCAGCTCGTACATCGTGACCAGCTCAACCATCAGCTCTTCAACATATGCCACAACTACCGAGAGCTCCTCCACTAGCTCAGAGACCGATATTTGCACCGAGCCGACAGACTTCTCAAGCAGCAGCTCAGAAATCGTTTCAAGCACATCCGCCTTTGAGCCAACATCATCTGTTGTCCCCACGACTACCCAGAGCTCCTCATCTAGCTCTGAGACAGAGACTGATATCTGCACTGAGCCAACTGACTACTCGAGCAGCAGCTCCGAGACTACGTCAAGCACATCTGTCGTTGAGCCAACGTCTTCTGCTGTGGCCACCACTACCCAAAGTTCCTCATCCAGCGAGGAGCCAGACTACTGCACCGAGTCAACAGACTATATTTCAAGCACATCTGTCGCTCTGCCAACATCTTCCGTAGTGTCCTCCACATCAGCTACCGAGGGTCTGAGCAGCTCTAGCCCGCTTCCTACGCTCTCAAGCTCGCTTAGTGCCACCAGCACACCGTATTCCAACGGGACAATCACTTCAACCACCCAAGGACCCTCCAGCAGCCTCCCCGTGTCCTCCACCGGGGGCGCAAGCTCCAGCTCTGTGGAGTGGACAACCAGCACGCTGTACTCGACAACAGTTTACACTATTACGTCGTGCGCGCCGACCGTGACAAACTGCCCTGGAAAGGGCCACGTTACGACCGAGGTTGTTGCGTACACCACGACCGTGTGCCCGGTCACTGAGAGCCCTGCCGGGCCGAAGACCACCAGTGCTCCCGCCCCTGTCTCTTACAGCACCAGCACTGTTTACACAACCAAGGTCTACACGATTACCTCATGCCCCGCTGCCGTGCCCGATTGCCCAGCCAAGGGTTCCGCTACCACGGAGGTTGTCCCGGTATCCACAACTCTCATCCCGATAGTTGAGGTTCCCGTGACCGTCGTTCCTGTCAATCCAACGACTTCTGCCAGCAGCCCTGAAGAGGAGTCCACCACCACTACTACTCAGAAGACATTCGTCTACAGCACAATCACGATCCCCAAGCCGAACCCGACCGGCATCGTGGTTAACCCAGCCACCAACGGCACTCTGCCGAGCTTTGTCAGCTACTCTACACCTACGCCTAGCACGACCTCGGAAGGCAGCGGCCCGACGAGTTCCGTTGTCACAGCAGGTGCAGGACATAGCGCTGCCGCCTTGGCCGTGCCGGCTCTGCTAGCTGCGCTTGTGTTGGCGCTGTGAGCTTGAGTGGGGAGAAGGGCTTATCGCATAGTGTTATCTGCATATTACTGGACATATTGCATCTTGTGGTCTTCGGGCGTTAGCAGAAGCTACATCATTTTATTTTATCAATTCTCAGATATGGTATGGAATGGCCTGCGGCTGATGGACAGTAGCCCGCCGACTCTGGGGAAGCCAAAAAAGGGGGCAGTCGCAGGACAGAGCTAGTGGGTGTCGCACCCTCAAGGAATCGCCTGCCGTATAAAATGTGTTAGTACAAACAGGGCGTCAGAGATATGTAAATTCATGATATGACTGTACAGAATATATCAGCTCCTGTGCCCGCTTTACCAAATGTAATTGTCCAAGATCTCGGCTCCATATGCTGAGGCCACTAGTTTTGGCCCGTTGGGGGGTCATTGTTACATTAAACAGATACCAGGTCTCCTCTAGGAAGCTCTGACAAGTGTGTGAGAAGTACCGTTTCTCATTATGCTCAAAGTCACTTCTTTGATTTATCTGTTGACTAATCCGAATACCTCGTCATGTCTAGGGATATTCTCAACCGTCTTAATTATCCCGATAGGGTTGGTCCTCTCGTGCATCCGGAGGCGGGTGTTCTAATACGGCCAGCTGTCAACAGCTGGTAAGATCCGAATCGGCGCTAGATTGTGGCTGACTGATGGCAACCGCTAAGGCTAAGCCCGACAAATTAGCGGGCGGTATGCTGAGTAACACTGGCAAAGCAGACTTACAGCGATATCCCTGCCCCGCAATCAAAGCTCTAGAAGATTGGTGGGGCCCAAAGTCAGCATGAGATAATCACAAGTCAGCGAGACAGAATCGTGCATGCAGCCAAAGGCCAATCGCCGAAAAAGAATTACCCACCGCGATTCAGACCTCCCAGATGGTATCTAGAGCGGCCCATCCCTAAGTAGACGCATAATCGCCGACAAATGCATCTGTAAGTTGCTGAATGACGATCGAGCTAAGGCAAGAATCTATCCAGCTAGGCAAGATCAAGCAAGTACTCCTCGAATCATCTATTTGCAATGCTCACTTGATTGTTTCGCGATCATTTGAATTGATTTCGTATTCCCTTCCTCGTCACTTCTCGACCTTTCCCGAGAAGCCATCCCCAAAGTCTATATATGAGGCGATTCATTCTCGCCTTGTCTGTTCTCGTTGTTTCAATTTCCTTCACCATCTACAACTCAAACACACTTCGAACAATAGCAGATACCTACTTACCCACCAACATCTTCAAGACACAACCAATCGTGGATTCCCACAGAGCAACACACATCAACAACAACACCACCGCAGAGAAAGAGTCTATGCTCAACTCCGTCAAGAACACCATGTCTAAGACACTGCACAATGCCAAGATCACTCCGCACCGCTCTGGTGCCCGAGGACACGGCGACCACGGCTGGCTAAACACCTACCACAGCTTCAGCTTTGCCGACTGGTACAATCCCAAATTCAACTCCTATGGCTCCCTGCGTGTCCTCAATGAGGATCGCGTAAAGTCGAACTCTGGCTTCCCTACACACCCGCACCGAGACTTCGAGATCTTCAGCTACATCCTGTCCGGCGAGCTGACCCACCGAGACAGCATGCTGCGGAAGGGTGCCGAGGGTGGGCAGTCTGATCGCTTCTACAGGATGCATAGGGGGGATGTCCAATTTACAACGGGTGGCACGGGCATAGCGCACTCCGAGTTCAACGAGCACAACAGTGACACAGTCCACTTCCTCCAGATCTGGGCCATCCCATGGAAGCGCGGCCTGACTCCAAGATATCACACACGGCACTTCGATGAGGAGGATAAGCGCAAGGGCTTCGTGCACATCCTCAGCCCCCTCAAGGCCGGCGAGGACGCCTCCGCCGCCGAGGAGAAGGAGGCCGAGCCCACCCTCCCGGGCACGATCCCCATCCACGCCGACTTCGTCATGAGCGCGGCCATCATCCCTCCCGAGGCCAAGTTCGAGTACAAGATCGGCGCGGACGCGGTCAAGGCCAACAAGCGCAAGGTGTACGTGCACGTCCCGATGACCAAGGGCGGCAACGCCAAGATCAGGCTCGACGGGCGGGAGGACGCCGTGCTGTCGGAGGGCGACGGCGCCTTTGTCGATAGCGTCAACGTCGGCGACAAGCTGTCGTTTGAGAGCGTTGGTAGCGCCGAGGCGGAGGTCGTTGTCTTAGACACTGCGTGAGCATGAGCATGCGCATGTGTCCAAGACAACCTCGTATTGATGCAATGCCTCATCTCTTGTTTGTAGATAGTTAGCTGTATATAGCACGCCGCAAGGCTTGACAGAAGCGATCAATCAAGTATAATCATGTATCAACGTTTTAGGAAGACATATCGTGCAGTAACTCCCATGCATGTTACCAAAGCGCAACATGTCGTATGGCGCGCCGTTTGTCCGCGGCTGCTTGCCGAGAACCAATGCTCCCAGCAGAGATCGCAAGTAAGTGAAAATAGCAAATAGATTGAACGTAGCCTGGTCGGTGTTGGATGGGCCTCAGCCAGTGCATGGTCGTAGTAGACATCTCTTTTGCGATATCCAGCCTCGGCTGTTGAGAGAGCTCGAACCCATAGCCAAAGACAGTGGCGGGCAACGTTTCGCAAGAACGGCATCATTTCTCACCTTCGCCGTATAATTCATAGAAGCTTCAGTGTAGAGGGAAAGACACAGTTGATAGGTATAGGAAGGCTTGTCTGCGTTGATGCCCGTCAGGCGCGCGTCTCAGAGTCGCGTCCCCAGCAAAATTTTCCGGCGCGTCGAGATGGACGGAGTACATACGGCGAAGCGAGTGAGCACAGCACTTCATCATGATGATTTACATATACAAACCTATCTACATGGTGGAGAGTGCCGTCACGAGCCTAATCTAGCTGCTACAAAATGGAGAGGGCCCCTTCTTCATCGCCATCCGCAGACAGCAGACAATGAAAGGGAGAAATCCTGCCAGGAGGAAAAATGGGCCAAAAATTCTCTCGCAGGCCGAAGCCCACGAGAAGCTGGTCGGTTTATAGTTTTCAACTAGCAAAAATCTCCACTCAGACGAATCTTCACGGTGAGAGATCAAACCCTTGCACTTGGATGGGGAAAGAAAAGAAGGAAAAGCAGGTAAAATCTCGCGGGGGGGCCGCCGCGTTAAATACCTGCGGATGGAGATGGTCCGTGCGAGCGTGCAAACTCCAAGGCAGATGCTGCACACCGCCCGGCAGTATGAGTCACCCCTGTCAATGAGTAAGTAAGTGATGACTCGATGGGGTAGGCGTTAGAAAGCTGGTTCCTGCCGAAGACTAACACCGAAATCAACAATCGTGCTTGCCACAAGATTTGCTTGAACCAAGTGTCTGTCACTTCAGCTATTCTACTTGAGCATTGTCTCGAAGAAAGAAGCTGAGGTCACAGGTTGGGTGAAGTCCACAGCATGAAGTTGCAATGGCGACACACAGCTGGTTTGGTTCGTGATGGTCTGCTCCTAGATTTGCAGAATTTCGGGGCATCAAGCCAATACAGATGTTCGCAAATACAGTGGGCAAACTCAGGCACTCAGAGTTCCCTAGGGAGCCTGCAGGCTGCCTTGTGAAGCAGCCTGGCAGCTGAGCCGCGCGGGGATCCAGCTTCTGCGCTGGTAACGTCGTACTTCCTCGAACCCGAGTTCTTCAGTGATGCTCACGCCATCAGAATAGTGAAGCAAAAAAGAGATATCCATGGATATATTCTCGCTATTGATGCAGAGATAGCCATTAGTTCTTAGCTTTGAAACTAGTCCTGGCTATCGCAGTCAAGCCGAAAAGGCAACTCCATTTCAACTTTCTTCTCGGTGTAGGGCCACTGAGTATTTCACTGATGATGATATTTCTACCTCAATAGCGAGGGAATGATTGCTCTGTCACTTTTGAGCTGCACACACATCGCGGTTTCGAAAGCATGGCCGAACTTGTTGGTGTCGTCGCTGCTGCAGGGCAGTTTCTCGAACAAGGCTTCAGAGTCATCCAGCTTGTGAAAAGGCTAAAGGATCAAGTCCAAAATGCTCCAACTAAAATCCAGGAAGAGAGTGAGAAACTCAGAGAAACTGACGACTTAGCCGCCAAGATCAAAGCTACCAAGAGCCTGCAAATCAACGAGGTTGAGAAAATTGTCAAGCGGAGTGCACTTTATACAAGCGAGTTGGCAACAATCTTGGCAAATCTGTTGCCACAGCCGGACGCCAACATTGGCGAGAGAACGTGGAAAGCGGTTGGTGGGTTGGCACAGGAAGCTGCTATCCACAAGCTTTTCAGCAAACTCGAAATTGAAAAGAACTCATTACAATCCTTGATGCACATGTAATGCTTTCCAACTCTTTGAGCAAATTGCTCTTTCCAGCCACGGCTAATCAGTCATAGTGTCTCGATTCAGCAGAATGCCGAGGGCTTTTCGTCGGTCAACACGAAATTGGAGAGTTTAAAAATAGCCATCGACCCATCACCCGAAGAGCAGAAATGTCTGCGAGATCTATTCGTTACGGATCCTGTGAGCGATCGTGAAGGCCTCATTACTGCCAAAGGCGAGATCGTGCCTGGTACCTGTGAATGGGTCGAGACCCACGTTAAGTACCAGTCCTGGTTAAGATCTGAAAGAGGCCTGCTTTGGATATCAGGTGGGCCTGGCAAAGGCAAGACAATGCTCTCTATTCATCTCTCGAAGCGACTCGAAGAGGCAACAAGACAACTTGAGAATCTAGGTCAGAAATGCCTAGTCACGTACTTCTTCTGCGACAATAAACAACAGACTCGTAACACTGCCACGTCGGTACTTCGCGGGCTTTTATACCTCATGTTGAAGCAGGATGCAAGTCTCATGTCCCCGTTGCTTGAAACTTGGAAAATCCAAGACCAAAGACTCTTCGAAGAAAGTGCTTTTGAATCATTATGGGGCGTCTTCACCAGGATCATCCAAGCGTCTTCCATGTCAACGTTATACGCAGTAATTGACGGATTGGACGAATGTGACCAAAAATCCCTTCAACTGTTACTGAAGAAGTTCCGTCAGTTGTATAGAAGCCCATCACCAGTAGGAAAGGTGAAGCTCCTTGTCATAAGTCGGGAATATCCGGATGACCTACTAGGTCTTCTTCATATATTTCCACACATTCGACTCGATCCAGACTCCACCGAGGAAGTGAACAACGGCATCAGACTCTATATCTCAACAAAGGTCAACGAGTTAGCTGAAATGCCTCATAAAAATTATTCCCAGGAACTTCGACAGCTCGTGAAGAGAGCACTGCTCGATCGCGCAGATGGAACGTATTTATGGGTCAGTTTTGTCATTCAGGATCTCGAGGCCAAAAGTGCTAGTGAAGTCGAAGAGTGCATTGAGGATCTTCCCAGAGGTCTCGATGAGATATACGAGCGCATGCTCATCCAGATACCTCCGAAGCACCGAGTCATCACCCGAAAGATCCTTCTGTGGTTACTATTCGCAAAGCGCGCGCTGTTTATTGAAGAACTTGCGTATGCAATCGGGGCTGAGGCAAGCCGCACAATGAAACTGTCTGATATTATGCGGGACTATATTAGGCAATGCGGGCATTTTGCGAACCTGGCTGATTACAAGGTCACATTGGTACATCAGAGCGCCAAAGACTTTCTCATTCAACGCCGGCCGGACCCTCGAGCAGCTCTATACTTTGATGTCATTGATTTGGAGCAAGCGCAAGCCGAATTGGCGGTATCTTGTCTTACCCACATCCAGCTTGCTCTCCAATCCGAATGTGCTGCGATCATTGACCTTGAGGACCTGAAAAGCTCTCAGAACTTCAGTTTCTCCGAATTATCCGATCGCTACCCATTCGTTAACTACGCCAGCATTTTTTGGTCTGTCCATTCAAGGGAATGTGGTCAAGGAGGTGTGAACTTGATCGAGAAGAACCCCGAATTCTTCGCTAATGAATCTCGAATACGTGAAAAGCTCACATATATTTATTCTGTCACAACAACTCTGAGATCAGATTGGTACATGCTCTTGCGCTCTTACAAAGGACACTGCCCATTAATGCATTTCGCTTGTTTAAGCGGGTTAGTTCCGTGGATTGAAAAACTGCTTCCCAATGGCGATGGGAAAAATCAGGCACTTCGCCGAAGATCCATCCTCGACCAGCAAGATGAGTTTTCTGGGAGAACTCCTTTGATTGCTGCGATCTTAGCGAACCATCTGCCCGTAGTCAGGGTTCTCGTGCAGCACGGAGCAACTGTGAACTTTGTCGATGGCATCGGGCGAACTCCTCTAAGTGAGGCAGTTCATTATAAGAGAAGCGAGATTGTGAGATTCCTCCTTGAGCATCATGCAGATCCAAATACTAGACTGTCTCATATTCCTATTATTGTCGAAGGGACTGCACTTCATATGGCGTGTATGAATGGGGATTTTGAATGTGTCGAGCTTCTGGTTAATTCAGGAGCAGTTTTTCTCCACAACGATGGAGACACTCGACTGTCAGGCCTACAATGCGCAATCAGAGGACGTGAGACTCGCATTCTCCGTCTACTCTTGAAAAACCTTTTCTTCCAGGGAATAGAGGGACCTCTTTGTAACGCCAAGGATAAATACCAAGTTATTTCTATTGCGTGCCATTCATATCAGGCGGATTTACTGATGCGGTGGCTAGTCGAGGAGCTGCATTGGGATCCCCGGCAAGCAGACTGCCACGGCAACACCATGCTCCATCTTGCTGCATCAGAAGGACATACTGCTACTCTACAGTATTTGATCGAAGAACAACATCTAAATCCCAACGAAACAAATAACTACGGAAAAACGGCACTGCACAAAGTAACGAAGCGTGGTATTGAACTTGCGCGCTATCTCATTGAAGAACAAAAAATAGACCCCAATACTAGAGACATGAGCGGGCGGACAGTGTTGCATGATTGTGCAGCACGGTATCCAGATATGAAACTCGTACGCTACCTCATCGACGAGCTTAGGATGAACCCTCTGCAAATGGACAATAATGGTATGACGATGTTACACCATGCCGTTCGTAAAAAGTTTGGCGGGGCCTATATTGTTCGATATTTGATTGAGAATCAGAAAATGGAGCCTTGTCAGGCAGACAATAATGGAGACACAGCATTGCACCATGCAGCAAAGTGCATGAATCTTGAGCTCATGGACTATCTACTTGGAGAAAGCAGGATGGATCCTAATAAAGAGAACAAGCATGGAGACACAGCGCTTTTCTCTGCCATGGATGGCAGTATGTCGTCAAAAGGTGGGCAGGCTAAACTTGTGGAATTCATTGAGGAATACCCTTTAGATCCTTCATATCGAAACAGTTCAGGAGAGACTGCATTGCATCGAGCTGCGCAGAATGGACTTCTCCAGATACTACAGCTTTTGATTGCAAAATATCATTTGAGTCCGCAAGTCACAAAAGACAACGGAGATACGCCACTACATGTCGCTGTTTATCACAGTCGTCTGGAAGTCATTACATACCTGCTTGACGAATGTGGTGTTGACGTAGACATACGTGGGCCCAGTGAGAGAACGTCGCTTCACTTGTTAGTGGATATAGGCTCTGGTCTGGTGTGGAACATGCACAGAAAGCGAATTGTACAGGTTCTACTTGACCATGGAGCTAATATCAACTTACCAGATAGCTCTGGTTTGACAGTCAAAGACTATGTCTTGAGAAATGGCGACCTCTACGACATCATGAAGCATTCAGAGAAGAGATCAAGATCAGTAAGTCAAGAGGCTGAGAGTCGGTCAAAGCACTGGAGGGTAAAAGGCAGAGCTTTCATGGGTGAGCTCACAAAAAAACTCAAGCTAGAGGGGCCCAATGCCGTTGCATCTTATAACTGATACGATGTATCAAGGCTAAAACTAGCGAGTGTTAAAGGTTATTTCTAATAGTCAAGGTAGCTAAAACGACGTCAAATAGGTTGATAGGGTGACGGATGAAGATGAAATACTGACCCTGGTATAAGACATGTGAACTACACCTACATATGCCCAATGGTTATCAGGTACTGCATTTGAGAGCAGCTGTAGTTAGTCACAAAACATATATCGTGCTCAAGTCAATTGACTCTTCATAGCCGCTTATGTCTTATATTAAGTCATGAGATATTCCGACCGCAAGGTAAGTTCTGTGCAATGACCAGTAGCATATTCTTCAAAGACTTTTCAATAATGAGAGGGAGATTCTTCAACAATGCGGCATGTGAAATTTAGGCCTGATCTCACTCGCCGGTTTGCATGAGGAGGATGAATTTAGTCCTGGCTCATATCTTGTGCTCTTATTAGCGCTTATTATACGAACCAGTCATTTTAGGAAAGTGGGCTGCTCGGACTTCACAAGAATGGTTGACTTTAGCGGCACTGGACAAAGGATTCCATTCAACTGATACACGAAGGATCGCTATAGCTCTTACGCCAAGTGTCCATAGGGCATGGAACGTCATTATCAATAAAACGTTCACTTCCCCCATGATTGCAAATCGACTGCAGCTGACAGGCGCTCAGTGATTCACGTCGCCATGTTGCTCTCGCCAGCTTCATTGTCTATATCGTGGCTTGCTGTTACCACAGCAATCCTGCCGCTGACAATCGCGCTGTATCGACTGTACTTTCATCCACTTTCCGGAGTCCCCGGTCCTAAATTGGCGGCTGTGACGCAAGTATGGCACGCGCAACAACTCCGAAGGGGAAAGCTGTTCGCATTGGAGCTGCACGCAAAATATGGCCCAGTAGTACGGATAGGTCCGAACGAGGTCATGTTCAATAGCAAGGAGGCACATGATATTATCTACAGTATGTGACGGAGCTCATCAAGTGAAGACCTTTGACTGATTCAGAACAGGGGCTGGTTCTCCATTCATCAAATCAGGCTGGTATTGTAAGTAGTTACTCACTGGTATCGTGAGTAATTGATGGCTTACAGTGCTAGGGATCACCAAAACGAACTGGGGCACAATGGATTGGCTAGGACGATGGCATCTACCAAATACTCTGAACTTTTTTTCCGAGAACAATCTCCCGCGAATGAAGATGCAAAGGCGGTATGTAGGCCAGATATACTCGCCCAATAATCTGAAGAAGCACGAGTCTGCCATCGACCGTGTGATTCAACGATATTCACTGAGGCTGAGAGGTCTGGAAGGGAAGGGAGTGGATCTGCTAGAATGGATCCATATACTGGTTATAGGTCAGTGAACGATGCTCACTGTGCATCATTGAGAAGTGATTAACGCAACATTAGAGTGTTTGTCGGAGATTACTATTTCAGATTCACCGAAAATGATTGAGGAAGGAAGCGACCGCCATGTAATGGACGACAGCTACGATATTTGGCGCCTTCACAGTGTATTAGGACACTTTCCAGTACTGGTCTACATCATGTACTTGAGCAAACTGCTTTATGGTCTCGTCCCGCTGTTTCTGGGGGTTCGGGTCAAGTCTCCTGCCAACATGATGAAGTTCTATGGTGTATGTGTCCTTCCATGATTTATCCCCAGGAGATCTAAGAACTGAAACATTTTGCAGTGGGTCATGACCGTCGTCAATCCTCGAGTAGAAGCTCTGGAGCATTCAGAGGACTACAAAGACCGAAGAGATCTTATGGATGATCTCATGTGTTTGCACAAGGAGAAGCCGGAGTTCAATCAACGTTATGCAGTCAACATGGTACAAACGAATTTCGGCGGCGGTCATGAAACAGTCTCATCTGCGATGGTCTCGACCGTTTTCTTTTTGACCCAGCACCCTCGCGTTATGAAGCGGGTATACGAGGAAGTAAGCGCACTTGGCGAAGCACCATCCATCGATGAGTGTGCGAATCTCAAGTACACGCAAGCATGCATTAAGGAAGCTATGCGCCTGGTCCCGGTCATCGCAATGAATCTCCCGCGTGTAAACCCCCAGGCGGGTTTTGAGGTGAACGGATACTATTTTCCGCCTGGAACAGTTGTTGGATGTAATCCATGGGCTTTGCACAGAAATACGAGTGTTTTCGGCGAGGATGCGGCAGAATTTCGACCGGAACGATGGCTCGATAGCAGCAGCGAGAAACTCAAAGCCATGGAACGGACAAACATATCATTTGGTGGTGACAGTCGAACATGTCCGGGGAGGAATCTCGCGGAGTTGATCCTTGGCAAAACAATACCAGTCCTGGTCAGAGATTTTGCTATTGAGACCTTTGTGTCTAAGGATATTGAGGATATGAAGTACTGTTTCATGTCTATTTTGACAGAAGTTGAAGCACGATTCGTCCCGAGGGTGGAGTGAATAGCGAATGCCCGGAGGCTGTCTACTAGATAAATTTCAGTTCTGGAAGAAGAAAGAAACCGTTTCGTCGATACATGAGGTTTTATGTACAATTCATACCTACGGAGGCTGATATTACTTTGACTCCAGTTACGAAATTCTAGCAACCTGGCTTGCCGTCTACCAAGTCCTTGTCCTTTGGCTCGGTCCGTGATAGGTATCACCGATTGCATAATAGCTTTGTATATAGTGTTTTAAGGGCGTTGAATCATGACTCAGCAAAGCTAGGGCTAAGAAGTTCATTGCCTTTAAAACTATAGACAGCCGTCTATCTAGAAGAGTACTATCGTTGATGCTGTGTGTTGTCTAATCTGGCGTTGGTGGCTTGAGGACTTACACCCACTCCGCCGCACTAAACGGCTATCCCCCACTACCACCCGCTTATACACCTTGGTACCTCTAACCCCGCAACACCAGATCATATCTCCTAACGATGGAACGCGTCGCTTTGCTAATTGAAGAACGCGATTCATTAGAACTCAACGCGCCTTGGTCGATATTCTCGGTGGGCATTTAAGGACCCAGTGCACAGGCATCTTGGATCACACCATATTTTTATCCTGGCTCTAGCCTCGCACTGTTCCTGATCCTAGGGCGTCGAAGTAAACAACACCGAGCCAAACATGTCGACCCAGACAACGACAACATCGTCTAGCTACGGCGATTGCGTGGCTTCGCTGCGCTCGTCCCTCACCTTCCTCGAGTCGTCAGTCAACACACTTGGAAACGGCGTGTCAGACTTTCCTCGTCTGGTTTCCGTGCTCAAGACAGTCCGCGTATGTTCTGGCCTTCTTCCGTAGCCAACCGCCCCATCATTCGCGCCATGCGCACGCTTGCTAAATCTAGACAGCATTATGAACTTATACCTCAACCAACACTTGCCGCCGCTGAGGCCTCACTCCGCGACGAGATAGGACCGTTTATCGAACTGCTCCTAGACCGTGCCGATCGACAGCTCGAGCGACAAGCGCGACGCATCGAGACATTGAAGGCGAGGAGCGACCTAAATGCTGGAAGACTGTCACAAGGACCGGCCAGCCCCTCGCCACGAAAGCACAGTAGATCAACATCCCGATCAGGTAGAAAGACACTGGACGGAGAGGCGGCGCTGAGAGCCAGAGCAGTCAAGCAGAGGAAAGAGGCTCTCCAATACAGCGTGGAGAGATTGGAGCTGGAGGTTGCACAGAAGGAGAGGGAACTACGTATACGCCTGGAGAAGACTTGAAATGGAAACTTCAGAAATCCTGTCAGACCTTCCTGTGCTCTACGGATGAAGCAACAGAGAAAACATGATACCCCTTAAGAGCAGACGCCGAGATGAATATGGAGCTTTCCGGTGAATGGAGTTTGAACCTCCATTTGCCTCTGCGGCCAGGGGATTAACGGTTCTATTGTCAGATGTATTGGACGCACAGCCGCTGGAGTAGAGTCCCAGGATGAGACCTTAGGTATGAGAGAGTTGCTTCGCCAGGGACCTCGCTAGACATGTATGTACCGCAGACTCCTAAAAAACTTCCAATGTGGCGGAATCCATAAAAATTAATTATGATTCTGAGCCAAGCAAGACTAGTACCATCCCGAACGCACTTCCATATCAGCAGGCTTACGTCGGAGTGTCACATTAAATGTCCACAGCTCTCTCCGGTCTTATACAGTGTATTCTGCTTGCCCTCAGACTTGACAATGAGAATGTATCCTCCGTGGTCGCTCGCATGAAGACATGGAAGGGTCGCCACGGAAAACGAGCGAAACAGCTGGGTCATGCAGAGAAAGACGTGAATCGGGATGAGATTGCCATATCTTTGACTATCTACGCCGACGAATATTGTATGAATTTATGTAATCCAGTATAATACCATATCTAGAGGAATAAAAAAGGGTTTATTACCTCGTAAGCGTTTGATTTTATACGCGGTGTCGTGTAGTAAACGGTGATGAGCGTCATACTCATAGAAGCTGTTAGTTCGAACAGCTGACTGGCAACTAAGTAGTCCAGGCAGGACGGCATTACAAAGCCTTTCAGCAGGGTCCTTCCTAAAATAAGAGACGTTATGTGCTCTGACTAGATAGCTTATATCTCCAATCTCGTGAGACCGGGCCCCTTGGGCCCGGCAGCTCATGAGAAACTCTCAACTGTGAAGCATGAGAGTCATGGATGTTACCGCGACACCATGCCCGAATTTGTTAGAGACAGGAGCTCCTTATGCCTTACATAAGCAGCCATGCCTGCCGGCATCTCCAAGCCTCAGTCCCACCCATATACGTCCACCCATGTCTCTCACCACCGACAGCCGCCCCAGCCGTCCACCGACTCATCTAGGCCTCAAGAGATCAAATAAGAAGCTCCTCCTCCAACAAATTCGGGTGTGGTGTAGCGGTAACATCCATGACTCTCATGCTTCACAGTTGAGAGTTTCTCATGAGCCCGGGGTTCGACTCCCCGCATCCGAGATGCCTACAAACCATCTAACACTCATCGTGGGTGAGCAGTACCACAGCCAGACAACTGGTCTGTAGTAGGGCCATATCCGTTTAATTTTTTTGCGCTTTTTTTATTATTACCTTTTATCTTTATATATATCACCCACTGGAAAAATTGGCAAGAGTTCTCCTGAGACCAAAGACAATTCTCATGGCCCTTTACATTCGTTTTATATGCCTAACAATTCTGCAGAGAGAAATGCATTCGATTGACCACCTGCAGGCCCTTAGGGCTTTGGTAGTGACTGCTTTCAAGTCCCACAATGCCCGAGTTGCCGCCTTTGGAGCCCCTGTGATCCCCCACACTGAGTATGGTCTTGTCCTGAGGGCTCACACTCACCATACTACGGATGACCGCAACCTTCTCAGGCAAGCGAATGACTCTCTTGCTATCAATGAATCAGTTTGAACTCTCAAGATTTAACTTCGAATGAACATATATAGTCACACTCAATGACCCCAAAGACAGGTGCTGCAACGGCCTAAGGAGAGCAGGAAGGCCAAATACTAGCTCGTCTCTGCTGGGATATCTCAGCCTGCACAGATGTATTGAGAGCTGGCCTTCTTTTTTTACGATGTCTATACTCTAATGCCATGGCACGTGTCGCTTCGGTCTCCATCGGTGTGAGTCGGTGGGAGAGTCAAAGTCTCTAACCCCTTCCACAGTCACCCTGATGGTTAATAGACGAGTCATATTGCCAAGTAGTCACGGTTTGGATAGACACAGAAAGAGTTCTTTTTCAATATCATTCAATTCAACCACCCCAGGTCTGATATTTATCTTGCCCAGAAATGCCCCTTTGATAGCCATGAATCGTAACCCCGTTCGAGACGGACGGTAAGACGTACCCTAAAGTACTGAAGTTTGGTTCACATACAGGATGTACACACATAATAAAATAAAGTAGAATAGAAAAAGGTTGGTGATGGTGAGTCCAGGGGGATAGAAAGAAAAAACAAACACATAGTCCCAGTGATCCGCCCGGTTTTACTCCAACAAATCCAAAGCACAGAGTCGGCGTTTCTAAAAATCCCCTGGCCAACGTAGCGCACCGCTCCCGTGGTCGTTCATCCATCAATCCGTTCGCACGAATGTGTAGACAGAAGTCGCCGTGAGGTCTTGCCCTAATCGCAAAGGGCCGCGCCACGCCGGCCTTTCCATGTGGGTATAGGTATAGGTAATAGCGAATAAGACCCACGAAGGGGTTGTTTCAGGCCAGCATCGGTCCGCATCTCCAAACTCCACGTTCAATCATCCGCACAAGCAATACTTTGATTACTTTGATTTCGGGATTCGCGCTGCTGCTCCTATAATAGGATGAGGTAGTTGCTGGGTGCGATGCCCGTCTCGCCGCTCTCTTTTCGTGCTTGCCACCACCGTCCGCTGACGTCGCTAACCTCAAGGATCTCGTGCTTGGAAAAGGAAATCTCGTTCGCATCATCCGGGTTTGCCTCGTAGCTATAGATAGCCTTGGCGCGGTATGGGTACTCGGTGGGAGGAACTATTTCCTCGTTGGTGGTTTGACCCGGTGCCTTAGCAGGCGGCTGGGCCGAGAAGGCTGGAGGGGGGGCAGCACTGTTGCGAGCGCCGCCAGCAGTAGACAGACCACCGACTGGAGAGGGGTTCTCGAAACCATTGAGCTGAGCCGATGTGTACATCTGAGGTGGCTGCACCGAGGTCGAGGTCTCAGGACGACCCTGGCCGTACCCGTTCATGGTGTGGCGGTTCATGTGGGAATCCTTAGCCAAGGCAAAGGAGTCAAGGTAAGCGCGAGGGACGGCTGAAGGTGCGGATCCGAAATAGAATATCCACACGATCTGTGATAAATCAGTCAGCATAGATTCGACCCTGCATTCTCGGGTATTGCATTGCACGCAGCAGTACAAGCGCTGCCGTGAACATGCAAATAAGGGAATCAACATACCGTAACCATGGAAAGGAGAATGAATCCAGCACCTGCGGCCTCCTTAGCACCGTTGGAGGAGTAGACTAGTCCATTGACGGATGAGGTCGATAGAACCAGTCCACAGGCAAGATATCCTACGACCGCAACATGGTAGGTCTGAGTGGTGTCCGAAGCCACGACGACGAAAACCCCGATGATCAGGAAAAAGTAGAAGATAACCGACCACCAGGAGTAGGTCGGGAAGGCGCTCCCAGTCTGGACCTGAGCGATAATCGAGGCAATGAAAGCGATGACCCACGCGAGCTAGATGATTGTCAGTACATCATTGCGAGAGGCATTCGAAGGTTGGGCTTGGCGCCGGAGGCGCTTGCTTACCGCTGAGATTGAAATAGTGGCCAAGGCAAAAGGGTCGCCGACAATGTTGCCGACGCTGATGCCTTTGCGGCGGTACTGCACTCTTGAATTCTCCATTTTGCGCAGTGATGGTGAGTGGAGAGAACCGTAGGAGGGCATAAGTGGCAGATTGTGTACCCTAGATAATGGTGTTGATTAAATGCTGGCGTGCAGCGATGCGGGCGTGGCAATTGAAGTCAAGAGGTAGCCCGGGTGTGCATGCGGGAGAAGGTGATCGCTGTGGCAGTGTGCAGACGTTCGCTGATTTGCCGGGCGGTGGTTGGTGAAATTGAAAGGAGCGGCTCTGGAGGTTGGCCCAAAGAAATGACTGTCGCAGATGTCGGCAGTCCGGTAGAGAGAAGAAGACCGGTGTCCAGCAGGAAGCCTCTTCCCCAGATGATATCTAATTGTTGAAGAAAATGAACGACAGTATTGAATTGCACGAAACAGAGACCCCTCGTAATGGCGGATCGGATTGATGATCAGGTACAGAAGCGGAGTTCCACTGAATGATGGAGCGGCGTCGACTGTAGAGTATTCTTTGTCGGAGTGATGGAGTCGGACGGCCTAGATCAATCCCTTGAATGATCAAAAAGACGAGTCGACTCGGGTAGGGCGCGCGTCGATGTTGGTTCGATAGCGTTTCCCTTGTGGTGAATTGAGGTCTTTATTCCAGACGCTCCCTAATAGACTGTCCTTCCAGGGCGGCTACCAGCGCAATTCCAATCGTCTCGATGCACGGTCGAGATGTGTGAACTCGTAGCAGAGATGGACGTAACGAGGCGAATTTCGGTATCGAGAATATCGAGAATTGAAGTTATCGTCGTCGTGTTGGCGGCGGGTTAGGTAAGATGGTAGAGAGAAGAGAAGGAGAAGGGGTAGTAGGAGAAATGGGTGGATGGATGAAGGGATAGGGTAGGTAGGTAGGTAAGGATGGTGGGAAGAGGAAACAGAAGACTGGTAAGGAAGGTGTGTGTGGTGGTGGTGTGTGTGGTGGTGGTGTGTGTGGTGGTGTGTGTGTGGTGGTGGTGTGTGTGTGAGTGCCTCTTCGGAAGGAAAGAGCACCGTGGGTATGTAAGAGATACACTACACAGGTAGGTATGTAGAAGGAAGGGGTGGCCCGGGTGGGTTGGTTTAGGTGGTGGCGTGTGCAGGTGCAAAAAAATGCAGGTGCAGGGCCACTCACTGGATGGTGTCGGTGTCGGGGAGGGAAGGAAAGAAGGAGGACAACGAGGAGGAGAAAGGAAAGAAGGGAAAAGCAGGCAAAGGTCGGCTGGACCGGACTGGGATGGGGGAATTGCTCTGGCTGGGGGGTCTTAAACCACCCGTGGACGGTGGACCACCTTGAAGGTCGGGGCGGGTGGCCTAGAGCGCGTGTGCAGTGTGCAGAGGGTAGGCGTGCTAAGGCATGTAAGGATACGGGGGGCAGGAAACTAACCTGTCGGTACCGTACCTAAGAAAAGTACCTCTCCCTAAGATTGATTGGCATTGGCACTGGCATTGGCATGCCATGCTTTCAAGGATGCTTCAACCTGTGCCTGCTCCCGAGGTCATGGTGCCTGCAGTGGCAGCTCGCCAGTGCGTGCGCAATCTTCCCTCACTAAGCCTGCTAGAGGACCCCCTTCGAGCCCCCTACCATACACTAATCCCGCTGCCGTTGTTCGTGGTGGCAGTGGAGGGCATTCCAGCGTCTCCACTCCTTTTGGAGCCGAACGTTGTCCCGGTCGTGTTTCCCAATGGTCTTCCCGCTGTGGCGCCTCCCGCAAATCGACGGCTGTCAGGTACGGGTGAGATACTTGCCGACAGCTACATGTACAGTCCATCTAACGGCGACCCAGAAAAATGCTAGCGACTTCAAGATTGGCACTGTCAAATCTTCCAATTGGCAATGCTCCATCCTGGTGGGCATTGGGAGATTCTCGGAGGTTGCTGAGATCCAGCTATTCCGGTGTCGTCAGCACGTCTCTAGACTCTCTCCTGTACGCAATCCCCGCCGTCAAGAGGCAGCAAGGCGCTGCCCCTGTCGAGCAGTCGGCCTCTATGACGAGAGTGAATGGCCTTGAAGCTCCATGTGTCACTTTGAAGCCACGCCGGAGCCTTGTGCAGGGCGGTATCACGACTTGGCCTCGGGTTCTCTGGAAGAGCAAGACTGACTGATCTCCCTTTTCCCACTAGGGCGGTTTGAGATGCGACAAGGATGCCCCAACGAGTGCCAAGGAGGGGGACTCGACAGCATCAGGCGCGTGGTGATAGGCTGAAAGTGCTAAAATGCTCCTACTCAGCCTGCTGCGTCGGCCTCTGCCAGTGGCTCTCTGGTGCAGAAATGCGTGCCTCCGCCTCCTATCACGCTTCATTCCGCAGCTTTGTGTGAGACCTGGGCGGGCGCTCTGAGGCCCGTGTGTCACGGTGTCGCTGTTCCTCGTCTCTACGTTGGAGAGGGGCGCGTTCAGCTCTTTGGCTTCTGGGCTTGCGATATGCAGGGATGAACATCTCAGGTTTCACAAACGGTGCAGCACAGAATGGGTGCGGGAGCCTTGGAGGTTCGACCGCACGGAAAGCACTCACAATGCTGACACAGGTGACCATATGTTACAGCCAAGGCAACAGAAATGTGCTGCACGTAACCAGAATCGATGTCTGAACGCACTATATCGGCCGCCACACAGACCTCCGTCGTTCTCTATCGCTTGAGGCTCTACTACGTACCGGCCATGTTCTCAGAGAATGCGTGTAGGTCATGATAATCCCATTCTAGATCGGAATGGCCCAGCTGCGTGCCATCGAGATATGCAGCCGATGTGACGCAGGGACCAGGAGGAATTGTTCGAAAAAGAGCCGATCCTTCTCCACCACCGATTCTTCACGCCGTTCTGGAGGCTGGAGCATTGGTGGAGTAAACCACTACCTGCCTTCCCACCCGAAGATCATAGTAGGAAACCTGCTTCAACAAGACATCACTTGGCATGGTCAAACCTCTTCGTCGAATATAGAGCTTGCCCGGGTTCTCATCTGTAGAGGCCACCGACCCGGTTGCCATACTGCCTGCCTCAACGATGTTGTACATACAGGTAATCTCTCGACTTCGTAACACAGCCCCTCCGGCGGCGGATTCAGTCTAGCGGAAGTCCTTCATCAACGTCTAGCGCACCCAGCCTGCGTTAGCTACAGCCGCGAAGAGCTCTGGCGGTTTCGCGGGACTGATAAGCTCCGTATGATCGTCCAAAATCTTTCCACATCGAAATCCAGCAAGGTTCCAGCTGGCGAGAGGTGCATGGCTCCTGGAATGTGTCTTCTCACGAGGCCAGCCTCATTCCAGTCACGACCTGTTAGCGTGTCTGGTCTTTAGACGACATGGCGCCAAGTCCTCTGCCAATGACCAAAAGTCAACTTCGAACTCAGCATAAACTGTCTCCTTCCCAAGTAACTTTTGAAAACATTTTGAAATACGCATATTGAGCTCTGACTATAGATGAGGAGACTATTGCCATTCAACAAATCCCAATCATGCGGCAAAAGCATCCGAGACTGCCTGTGATTCATATGGCCGTGGATCTCTAAGCCTGGGCACTACGACCTAGACTGACCGAGCCAACATTCCCCAGAATACCGGTGGCGCACTTTATGGTCTAGGATAGCTTGCATCGTGACTTCGACAATATCGTCATCGCTCTTCACGGACCAACGCGCTCTGGCGCCAAGTGGTGTCATTAGTCTCAACAAACATGCCTCATATATCCTGAGCTTACCGTGCTCCCGTGGTGTATTCAGCCACCTCCACGTATTCAACCCCTGTTCAAGTCGTGTCACGTTAGGTGGTTAGAAGCCAATTGGGCACTTTAAAGCACTCGCCACATGTGGCTGTGTATGATGTGGCTGATGTTCAATGTGCATCTTCGTGGTTCAACAACTCGGGACCATTCAACACTCCGAGTCTGGCCTTGCATTACATACGAAGAGAGTTCCAGACTCTGCAGATCCGTTATTCTTCTGATGTTGTTGCTCAGAGCCACCTGGGCTTCTGCTAGAAGGCACCAGGGGCGCACATCATGGTGACGGCTCATGCCTGCTCTACTCGCCCCTCTCACCAATAGTTCACTGAAATAGTAATTCTTTATAAGCAATGGGAAACAAAAATGATGTTGGTTGAAACATGTGGGCAAGCATGGGTATGATATCATGCTCGTCCTACAACGAGGGGTACACCTCCCGAAACCAATTGATCTCACAGCCTCGATGTTAGAAGCCCCACGAGTCGCATTGTCAGAGGTCCATTCGTCTCTCATGACAAAAACTTGTCAAGCATTTGCAACTCGAATAGAGGCTAGTAGATTAAATGGTCCTTGATGAAGAAGAACATCCGTAGGCGCGTAATCGATAGCTTGAAGATACCTAGTCACGTCACTCAATCGCTTACACTAGCTGGCTCAGAGGTACAAATCATTGCATCACGAAGAGCTCAACTGGGCCATAATCCCAGGACGTTTCGTCACAAATTTGAAGTCATTGACATCTAGCTCATTTATCCTGCCAGGCGAATCGGATCTTCTTTGCATGGCATGATGTAGGATAAAGTGCTATGAAACACGGAGTCGCACATCCCGTTCGTGATGCACGCCCAGGTGCGATGGCCCAGTGCGTATCTGAAGCACCAGATTCGGGCTCTCTGGCCACCCTAAACTAGTAGCACACGACTTGATCGAGCCTGGGACGCTCAGTTCATGATCAAAACGGATCTTGCATCTCTCATCCTTCCGAACTAGGGATGGGAAGTAATGGATAGGTCCGGGGAGAGGTCTCCGGCAGTGTTCCACCTTTAACTAACCATCGAAGTCCGATGCTGTGCAACCACCGGCTTGAAAGAGACCGCATCCTCCGTAGTAAAGTTTTAAAGCCGACCGAGGCCCCCGAAGACAGCTATTGCACCTGCCACAATGCTATTACTTGACTTTGCAAGACAGAGGGTTTCCAAGGGTTTCCCCTGGTATAACAACAGGTCCTTTGTAAGCTGACTGTCTTGCGCACCACAAAAATTCGATTGGTCAATAGACACCAACCGATTGTTTCATCAAGTGACATGTTCGGACCATATCCGCAGATACCGAAATGGGTGCAGCTTCCCGGCCGAATTCTCCATGGTCCGTCCTGCTTGAGGAGCTTGGTAGCATATTTGTAGCCCGAGGCCAGCTCTCAGATGCCATCGTTGCCGTCTCTGGCAGATAGAAATGGAGCACTCCTACAGATCAAGTGCTGATTTGGACTGACTGGAAGATGTTTGAGATGAGCAGATCATCGAACATCTCTCATCCTTGCTACTGTAGAGCTTGAGTTGTCTCATAGGAGCATTTCAAACTTCTTCAGCAGCTCTAGCGCGTAGTCCCTCGGCCCTCCGTACAGCACGCTCCACCTTCTCGACGCGGCCTTCAACATCTGCAATGAAGTTGCCGTAGCCAAGGACGCGGCTCTCGTACCATTCCCTGATCACGTTTTCGCTCCGTGCCCGCAGTTCGGCAATCTCATTTTCCTGCGCGAGTTGTGTAGCTTCGATGCCTTTCATACGTGGCAACAGCGCGATCAAGTCGGCACTTAGCTGTGGATCTGGTATGGGGGTGTCCGAGGTCACGGATGTAAGGGAGGATGCCGTACTCGGGAAAGAAGAGGCGAAGGACAGCACTGTTGAGCGGAGGGCTTCTGGGGTGAGTTGCGTCGGTGGTTCCTCAGGTTTCGGTGCTTGGAACAGCGATGGGTGTGTGCGATCTATAGTTATATTAGATTCTCCCTCTTAAGGGCTTCAAAGGTAGATTTGGTTGCCATACAGATTTTTAGAAGCTCGCCATAGACACGAATTCGTGAGAGCAGGTATGAGAAGCGTCGCTCCAAGTCACCGAGAGAGCTCGCCACGTCCTCATTAGCAGGCCGCGATGGGGCCGAAGTTGGCCCATAGAGTAAATGCTCAATGCGCAGAAGCCGTGCCTCGAGGAGAGCGATGGTGGATAGTGTCGTCTTATCGAGACTTTCTTCCATCTTCCGGTAGCTTGTCGAAGCTCCCAATGACTGCCAAATCTAGTAAATCGGTGTTATGCAAGTCTCTAAAGACGGCTCAAATTCGATAATGTATTGTGAGTAGAACTGGGCCGTCGACACAGTGATATGTCATCTGGGAAAGCGTGGAAGCACGCGATTGACGTGACGTAGGTAAGGGAGGCAGGAAGCTCAAGGTCGATAATAAGGCTGATGGTGTACCTGACCTAAGGTGACAGGTGACAAGCTCAATTTAGCACACGTTTTGCTGATTGGCTGCCCTGAAAGCCACAACCGGACAAGGGGGGGTCCTCATTAGAGGTGTGGCGCGCGCCTGAAAGGCAAACGTCACGAGCGACCGATTGGGAATAACGACATCTGTCATCCTCCTCATTCGACAGAGAAACTGGCATATTTGCTTGCTGGCTGCTACAACCTTTCGAATCCGAGCAGGTTCAACTGCTGACCCACCTCCTTGAGCACATTTGGGGCGGGCCGGAGTTCTCTCCATCTAGTGCGGGCCTCCGGCTTGACTGGGAACGGCTGGCGCAGACTATTCACACGCCGATTCCCGGCAACAATTTGCGACTCTTCCTCAGCTTCGATACTGCGCGCCTGGATACGATACAGGCGAAGAACCCCGTTCTACTCAAATTATTGATTTGAGAGCGACCGTGCTGCGACAGGCGCAGTTGACAGTTTTGCTGGGCTATGACGAATTATTCCACGATCTCGCATGGAAGCGCATCCAGCGTTGACACGGCTGGAGACATGGCTCGACAACGAAGAGTACGAAGCCAAAAGGAGGGAGGTGGTCAGGCGTCAATGTTGAGCAGCAACATCAACCTGCTCAATACCATCGTCGGCGCTGGAACTCTGGCTATGCCACTTGCGATGTCACATATGGGAGTTATGCTGGGAGTTATCATTATCCTCTGGTCTGGATTTACCTCCGCCTTTGGCCTGTACCTCCAAGCTCGATGTGCTCGATATCTCGACAGAGGCAACTCGTCATTCTTTGCTCTGTCACAGATCACATACCCAAACGCTGCTGTGGTGTTCGATGCAGCAATTGCTATAAAATGTTTCGGTGTTGGTGTCTCCTACCTCATCATTATTGGCGATTTGATGCCAGGTGTGATGAGAGGCTTCGACAGTCGTGTCGATGATGTGCCGTTTCTAGTCGATCGGCACTTCTGGATTACAGCATTCATGCTTGTCATCATTCCGCTTAGCTTCTTAAGAAGGCTTGACTCGTTGAAGTATACAAGTGTCGTGGCTCTTGTTTCGATCGGCTACCTCATCATCCTCGTGGTTTACCATTTCTTCGCGGATTCGCATCCAGACAGAGGTGCGGTACGTTTAATTGGCTGGGCAGGGCCAGTTACCTTCTTAAGCAGCTTTCCAGTGGTTGTCTTTGCATACACATGTCACCAGAATGTTGGTATTCACCTTCCCCATTCTTCAGATAACTATTTGCTAAGAGAAACATTAGATGTTCTCTATCCTTAACGAGATCAAGGATAACTCCCCTGCTAGCATCGTTGGAGTTATCTCTTCTAGCATCGGTTCAGCTGCGAGCATCTATATCCTAGTAGCCATAACTGGGTATCTTACATTCGGCGACACGGTTCTCGGCAACATTGTGATGATGTGTAAGCCTAGAAATAGCCAATTTCTTTTCATCATTTACTGACAGAGATCTTCAGACACCCCTTCTGTTGCCTCAACAATCGGCAAGGCCGCAATTGTTATTCTGGTGATGTTCAGTGTACCGCTTCAGGTTCATCCTTGCAGGGCTTCTCTGGATGCTGTTTTGCGATGGCGACCGAATTCACACAGGTCTCCAAATAATCATTCGTCATCTCCGAGCAACCGGTCTCTTCTGCCGTCTTCTGGGCCAACTGATAGCCATGGAGCGCCTGCCGTAGCGATGTCCGATCTACGATTTGCCCTGTTAACCACCGTCATCATAGTACTAAGCTATATGACTGCCCTGACTGTGAGCAGTCTCGATCGTGTGCTTGCATATGTCGGTAGCACAGGCTCAACTTCCATCTCCTTTATTCTACCTGGTCTATTCTATTATAAGATCAGTGACCCGGAGAGCATTCATCATCAACGCCTCACGAAGGAAAGCGACGACATTTCAGATGACGAGGACAACGAGGACGGGTTTGAACCAAGCGGCTCAGCGTTGTTCGAGAGTGTGGCTAGCATGCATTCTGTCGCGAGTGCTGCTAGCGGGGCAGGGTCAAGGGCGCCGTGGAGGTGGAGGCGGAAGTGGAGATGGGACCTCGAACATATCGAGCATGGCGTGTTGAGGAAGGCAGCCCTCTGCTTAGCCATCTACGGTATATGCGTAATGGCAGTGTGCCTTGTGATGAATACGTTCTTCGTCGCATCACATTAAGACTGAGACATCACAAAAAGGAGAAAGTTGACAAGTTCTATGACAGCGGATGAGCATATTTTTGGTTGCATAATACCTTCCTTGCATATATAGGAGTCGGACCCTTGGCATTGCTCTTGGATTTTGGGTCGAGAGATTGGTGTCTCGCCAAACGGTGCGAGTTTTGGATGCACATACGTCTTAGGATAGCTTAGGATAGCAGTCAGAAGACAATGAAAGTTCCTGCCAGATCCAGTTCGCCCGAAACACATGGAAAGTATATTAGACCATTGGGATCGTGCACCGGCAGCGTTGTATGGAAGATGCGAGTTCAAAATAATTGGATATCATTCCTTTGATCTCATGTAGTTGACTCTCGAAAGTGAAGAGCCAGAGATTCGTGACTCTTAATAGTCTATGGTACAATAATGTCGCAATCTATAACGCCGTCCTAATGCATTTTGTACACTTATCAAATACCAGTAAGCAACGATAGCGTCTCGTTAGACCTTCGCGGGGATGTGCGCGTCTTTCAGTGGCGGTGGAGCGTCAGCACTCGGTTGTGATGAATGACTTTGCCCGGGGCGATATTTGGGCGCAAGTATGCCGACCTGTCGATGAAGTTAGCATACGATAGAGAAATCCTTGGTTCGAGCTCGCAAACCATTGACAGCAACCTCCAGACCGTATCGGTTGGTTGCGCGCCCACGCCTATCCAGTACTTCGCCCTCGTCAAATCCAGCTTGATGTCTTTGTGTAGCTTGCCTGAATCGTCATAGAGGTCTTTCTTCGGGATAGGATCGTATGTGCCGATCACTTCGAGAGGCTTGCTGTTTCTCGCGGTTCTAAATTCGAGGATCGTCAGTCATGGAATTTCGCTAAAAGGGCTCGACAGAGAGCCGTACCGGGCGTGTGCAACTACGATGTTGTAAAATGGCGAGTTCTTTCGCCCGAAGCGAGCGAGTCGCAGTTTTACCACCATGGCGGAGATCAGGACAAGGGCACTCTGAATGGCGATGTTCTGAGGTGGCCTGCACAGGAGGTCGTTGATGCGCCAGTAGCTTCGCCCGTTCCAAAAATTTGTGGTGTTCAGGCCGGCAGTCACCTCAACCAATCACGGGCCTCAATTGCTTAGTCACACGCCCCAGCATGATATTTACAGGGCGAGAAGGGGTGTGATGTCACTCGGCTTCAGCCAAATAGCTTCACAATATCACGTCGATCTCGATTTCTGGCATTTTCTCCTCCTCTTTTCTCCTCTGGCCTTCAATTTCCCTAGGAACCCCATCGACTCCATCAAGCAGCACAATGGCGTTCAAGGTAATTGCCCATAAGACTGTTTTACGCTGTGCAACAACCACTGATCATCTACTACTACTAAGACACTCTCCGCGAAAGCCGCTGCAGCTCTAGATAAGGACCTCATGAGCACCGGCGCCTTCTCCATTGACCAGCTCATGGAGCTCGCAGGGCTTTCCGTATCTCAAGCTGGTAAGCTTATTTGAGCCATATTCACATCCCCGGCACGCCAAAATACGCATGTAATGAACCAATACCTCCTGTTAGTGTATCGGGTGCATCCACCAAACAAAGGCCGAAACATCCTTGTGGCATGCGGCCCGGGCAATAATGGTCAGTTCCCCCTTTCTCTCACCTTTATCGAGAGTGTAGCGTCTCATGTCATTTCCAGGCGGCGACGGGCTTGTGGCGGCTCGCCATTTACGGCATTATGGCTACCAGCCCACCGTGTACTATCCCAAGCGGAGCAAGAACGAGCTATACCAGGTATGTTTTTGTGATGAGAAATGGTTCTCTATCCTCTAGGGGAAATTCTGAGGCGAGTGCCTGTACATATTGGAGACTACTTGGGACCTCTCCAAGTCGTCGTCACGAGAGCAATAGGTCACAGCTTAGTTGATTTGGCCACACTTGATTAGTCGTATTTGGTTTTTTTTTTCTTCTTTCCTTTTTTGGGGCTGCTTCAAATTCGTCAAATTCGTTCTATTCTGAAGCATGCCGCTGGTTGAATGATGATGCTTTTCCGTATGGTGCTGTGCACAGCGTCTCGTGTACATTATGCTGCTCAAGCACACGCCCTCGCTCGTTCATCTTTCCCTCGACCAGTCGCTCATCGTATTCTTAGCGACTAGCCAAACAGCTGGAAGATCTCGAGATACCATTCGTCGAAGACTTCCCTGCAGCTCTCGACACCACGGACCACATCGTGGATGCTATCTTCGGTTCGTCGTGTCCCTCTCTTTGACTTCGTTTACCATCACCTAATGGTTCTTAGGCTTCAGTTTCTCCGGCGAAGTTCGCGAACCGTTCCCTGCTGTGATTAGAGCCCTGGAGGAGACCAAGCTTCCCGTCACAGCTGTCGACGCTCCATCTTCGTGGGATATCGAGGATGGTCCGCCAAAGTCTGGCCTGGGAAGCACATTCAATCCTACCGTCCTTGTCAGCTTAACAGCTCCGAAACCTCTCGTCAAGCACTTCAGGGGTCGGCACTTCATTGGTGGAAGGTGCGCACCGTCTTTCTTTTCTCGGCTGTCGTCGCAGACCGTGGCTCTAACTCTGTAGTAGATTTGTTTCGCCAGCTATCGCCAAGAAGTACGATTTCGATGTCCCTGAATACGAGGGAATCGACCAAGTCGTAGAGGTTGGTCCAAGTGGACAGAAGCTATGATCCTGCGTTGGTTTCCAGCAAACCGTTTGCTTGAGAGGCAGCAACCGGATGTTGTGGGCTTGTGGTGTGATTCAAATAACGGCACATCCTCCCGTGATACTGTTCGGACAAACAGGACTTGGACATAGGCCTTCTTCCATGGAACTTGTCTCTACCGTCTTGCCTCTTGGGCAGGCCAGTAATGGAGGATGATACTCGTGGCAGAACTCGACAAATATCAAATATTCTTTCCCGCAGACTGGGCAGTCGGCAGTGTGCTCAGTGCACATTAATTCCGTGGACCCCGGGTTCTCCAGCAAGGCTTGAAGAGTGTGGACGTGGCTGAAGTTGGGGATGCGCATCGTCGTTGGACGCCGATGTCTCTTTGGTTGTGGTCGTCCGCTGTGGTTGTGGTGTGGCTTGATATAAGGGATGATGTGGCTCTGCGTCCTGCAGTCCTCTCTCCTTAAAGATCGACTCTCTAAGGACCGATGACACAAGACAGCAGAGCCAATGGATGGAGTGATGTCAAACGGTCCTATATGGCAGCTGCCGGGTGCTGGCCTGTGGTTCGCCACCAGATCCCTGGGATGGATTAACGACAAGCCTCCCGCAACACCGTGTGGCAAAGCGGGCACATTGTGACACGTAAATGGACAGGGCTGAAATGGGTAAGGAATCAGCTATGTTGTCCGAAAATGAGAAGACCATTATTTTATTCCAGCGCGGTTATATTCGCTGCTGCCGTATTCCAACTCTCAGGGCTTTCTCCAGCCCCGTTTGGGGCACCTCGAACAGGCATATTGCCCGGAGCTTTTGCTCCTTGGCCCCTCCCATAGGCTCGCGCGCCAGGCGGCGCTTACGGCACCCTTACAGTTCGGGCATCAGAACCAGTACAGGTACAGCACGTTCTAGACCGTTTTGAAAAGGCTCCTCAGAAGCTCACCGTCCGGCACAAGTGCAGGCTGCTTCTCCAGGTGCAATTCCTATGCCATTCCGTAACGGTGACGATGCCGTTTTGTGCTTACCCATCCTGTGTTTTACAGGACCGGCCCCAGATCCGCATGCCAGTGCCTCGGCGTCGAAATCGCGAGCAAACTCGATACAGATACCCTAACCCAGTGGATGCTGCTAGGCCAGGCTTGACTTTTTACATACACTACGCTACACGTGTACCTAGGCACTGCTAGGTTACAGCACCGTTCATGGCCCCAATTTGGAAGAGACCAACAGCATCCACGCCCTGTCCAGGTGTGTCAGTTGCCCTTTCCACACAGACGGGAGGACGGGAATGTGTGTCGAGGCTGCCGTTTTTGACAGAGAGGCTCTCTTTTTTGGCTCGGGCAATGGCCCCGTACCGAGCCGTCACCCGCGCTGGCGTGCCTAGGGCGGGCCCTTGAACCTTCGAGAAACACCCAAAAGCATCGACAGCCCACCAGCAGAGTTTCTGGCGCCCCCACTATCACGACGACGCTTCGCTTCGATATATAAGAATCCTGTGTCCGGCAGTCATCACGTCGTCGTCAGTTCAGTTGCTTCGCTCAACCCAGCGAGCAATACAGTAGCTCCGCGAACGGAACCCCCAGAATGCGAGAGACTACTGTGCTTTTTCGGGCCGGCCTTCGCTAACTGCGCCATCTCCCGCACATGAGAGGATTTGACCCCACATAGACCGAGCAAAGGTCAACGGGCTCGAGTCCAGCATCAAGTGGGCGGAGAGTATTTCCTCTGGCTTTTGCCGGACTCCTGGCTCGCCTGTTCAAGCACATGATACAAATCACTCACTCATTTGACTCTTGATGCAGAAGATCTGCGCTGCCCCCGCGGCGCGCAAAGAGTGCAGATGACAGCCCGTACTTGAGCCATCTGGAATCCCACTGGCAGATCGCTGATGCTCGGATTCCCTTGACTAGCATTTCGTAGGCCCACTCACTGTGGCACCCCGAGTCTTCGTTTTGGTTTGTGGGCCACTACTCCTGCCCGATGTCCTATCTGATGGTCCTGGTGGGCGTGGCAGACAGAGTGTATGGAATATGACAGGCTGGCTGCTGGGAACCTGTGCAAGTTAATATGTGGCGTCCGCCAATGGCAGAAGCAATGCCAGTGGCTCAGTTGGCGTTGCACACATGCTAGCCCTGCTGCCGTGCCAGCCGACTTCCACAACCAGGGATAGCACATCACTGTGACAGTTTGATGATGGTTTTCAACCGGGATCGCCTTCACGTTCGGACGATCCCTGGTTCTTTCTGTGATGAGGAAGTCAGGAGGCAAAATAGACCTGTCCCCTCTCAGGTAAGCGTGCGGAATCATGGTTGTCATGGCCTGGCCGTATATGCCTGGCCGTATATGCCTGCCTAGCCGCAACACCAGGTCGAAAGGAACAGTCTCGGTGGAGGCCACTGCACCTACATCTGGTCTGTCATTCAGCATACCAAACCCGCTGTTCCGGGAAAGATCAGACACTCAGATGATGCAGGGATCTTCGCCGCAGAACTCCCAGGTGTCAAGCTACCGCGAGAAGTCATTTAATCTGCACAAGTAAATGCATCTTGAAAGATGCGGCTTCTGGCAGCACGTGCGGCAAGGTACCGCTCTGGTGACCACCCATCCTGCAGACGTGTGATATCACATAACGCGCGTCGACGTATTTGCCCCTGACGATGAACACTCCCCTGGTGTTTCGCCAGACTTAGACGATGATATGCCTGGTCAAAAAGCTACCTAATTGGGAGTTCAAAGGGCACCGCCACAATTGTCCACACTGACTTTGCCACCCTCGGTAGACTGCCGGCATTTCCGGTGCTCATCATTGGCTTCAGCCACAGCACTCGCCGAACAACCGAAGTCGACATGGCCACGGATCCTTGACCAGGGAATCAGAGCCCTGGTCCATGCTGCTGCTTCAGCCTCCTCCACATCTGATCGTCGACAACACGCCTTTCCGCGCGCTATCGTGACAGATTTTCGAGCCATATATTGATTTCTTTCGCCACTCCCATTCTACCGGATGCACTAAAGTGGTCACTCCAGATACGGTGGAGACGGGCTTCTGGACCGCTCTTCTCGTATGACTATTCAGCTGCCTTGGACTCCTGCACGGTACACTACGTGGTGATGACCTCAGTCCGGCAGAATTCTTTTTGCTCTTACTCCACAAGGCAGGAGGTTATCTGTCACCAAGTGACTGTCTTTTTTTTTAGCGCCGCCAATCTTGGCCCAGTTGGATACCTTTGCCCAATAGGACATGAGTTTGAGAATCATTGACAATGGCAATCTCAATGCACCGGTGGGCCAAGACACGCTGAAAAGGCAATCCCATGCAAAGGATGCATGAAACTAGAATCCCGGTTTTCTTTTTGGAAATGTCAAGTTGCCACGGATGCGGGCCTAAGTGGCCCTAACAACGCTACCAATCCCGTCTCCTCACCGACCTTTCACATGCTAGGCTGAAGAGCTTGCCGGTGGTCCAACCCGGGCACATTTCATGCTTACGCTCTCGGTGCATTTCAGGAACCAATGTTCATCCTAAAGCTTCGATTAACCCTTTCGCATGGTTGACTAACGTCGAAGTTGATATCCGAACAACGATGTGTCGACAAATCCTATCACTATGGACCGAGGCGTTTACTGCAATGGCGCATCGTCACACACTCGGCTCTATGATCCCGGACTGCAATTGTGAGAGACGAGATCATATCATCTGGATGACCTGGTGAATTGGCGGTATATCATTGCTGTCTGTCGCGGGTGCTTTGGCTTCTATTCATGGGAACACGCATGCCGGGCTTCTGGACAACCTATCTTCGGCGGTGTCGACCATACTTCAGTCAAGATAGTTTGTTCATTGATTCCCAGGCCTTCCAAACAAGCACCATGCCTGAGTAGCATGTTGCGGCCTAGACCTATTCTACACCAGACAACGATATCACCAACTTCTCTGTACATCCAGCGATGTCGGCAATTTCTATCATCTGTTGACACACCATGTATTAAATTACTTACCCAAATATGCCTAGTTGTCTTCTACCTTGCCATGGCAAGATGATATACCGTTTTCTAACCCTATTTCGAGACCGTCTGCGATACCGTCGAGAGTCCGGAACATTCGATGCTTTCACCTCCAAATTTAGGGTTCATGACCCGCTCCTGCGACGAAGGGTTCCATACGTGGCGATTTGCAGGCAAAAGGCACACGCAATAGTCAACCCTACGCAGAAGATGTTGCGTACTTGGTGGCCTGTGGTTGTGTTTAGTTGAATCGACCTCGCTCAAGGCTCTCGGTCTCGATAATCGAGCAAGCCATGCAGCAAAGTGGAGGAAACTCTCCGCAGGAGTGGCCATTTGAGCAGAGATTTGTACAAGACTGGGTTTTCGTTAAGCAGCGAAATGACTACTGGTACTGGGAAGGTGAGCGGTGCGCTGCATCTGGATTAAATTAGCCCCTATTCGCACTCCCGGAGCAAACACTCCGGGCGTGCATACTTACCTTAGATCTTCATAGCAGGAAATTCGAAGATCGGGCCGGGTGGCTGGTCGCAGCAGGCACTTAGTGCATGGCAAGATGATTACAGGTGTTTACGCTGATAAGCAGTTTGACTTTTGGAGACAAATCAACGTTTGCCTGGTCGGTTTACGTGGACATAGGCAATGGAGCTGCGTGGATGACTCTTGAAACCAGGCTCTTCTGACTCACAGTAAATCTGGGAGGCATTATGGCGTATTATCAATATGCGTCATGCTTTAGTGCATCAGCATTGGTGGCCGGTTCGGCCAGGAGGTTCGTCCGAGTGGTCTGGTACCAAATGCATATTCGGTATGTCGGGAGCAAAATTGCTGTCATTTATAGTGAGATGGCAAAGGCCGATATGTCAGTAGCTGTGCCATCCATTTCAGAGCTGTGGTATATGTCTGAGGCAGTAAACCGCAAGGTCACGCTCCTGATGAGCCGAGATAACGACCAGCTGGGTTTTGTCTACAAAGCTTCGAACAATACACCCTTGACCATAAATGACCCAGTCCTGAAAAATATTTCGAGTCTAAACGTCTCTCAATATCGGCCTTTAATATTCAAAGTCAGTAAGCTCTTCTTACGTTTTGAGTAACTTATCTTCTCGCAACTTGTGCCTTGTCCATGTTCCCGATCGAACCAATTTCATATGCCTCGCATCATTTCATCGCGATTTTTGATCCATGTCTACAATCAATGTGAAATACTCGATGATCATAACTTACACATATTATTGCTTACGCATTGCTGGAAGGCTTATTAAACAAGCAATTCCCAAAATCATGCAGCTTTTGAGCTATCACAACGACTTTTTCGAAGTCTTCTATGAGTTGAGTTTATCTCTGAGCATGTTATACTTAGCGTGAATAATCGAAAGTGATGACAAATAGAGTATATATATATACTATCGAGAACTATGTACATGAAAATAAACTATCTACATGAAGCAACAGACAAGAAATGTTCTCAATCTATACGAGTAAACTTGGGATCTTTCAGCGTTTTTAGGACACCCGGAGGATAGCATGCGAAGCCTTGTTAACCTAACTCAGATAACCTTAAGCCTTCCACTCGACTGCCTGTCTCTTCCACTTTGTCGAGTCAACATCAGCATAAGTGGTTCCGATAGCAACTTCGTCATACCACACCTGGCGGAAGTTCTGACTGCCGACCATTTTCCCGTCGTCGTACCAGCTATTGGCATATAGGCCGATGCGGAAGCTCATAGCACGATCGTCAGCAAAAGTGGTCACAGTGTTGTACTGCTCGAGAACCTTGACACCATCAAACCACAACTTATAATAGCCAGTGCTGCCAGACTCCCAGTCTGCCTGGATGATTACTGTATGCCATACTCCAGCCGTGACAGTGGCTAGGGGACCGTACTGGTGAAGTTCCGGACTGCAGACGGCACCGCCTTTGGTTCTGGAATAGAGTTGATTCTTGCGGATCCAGATCATGCTGCTGGGGATCCAATCGTCACACTTGTAGTCGCCATAGTCACCAATGAACTGGGCCAGATTATAGCCCTGGTCGTCAAACTCCCACGCCTCTGATAGACGGAAGGAGAACCCGTAAAACTTAGTTTCCCCGCGATGATAACCATTGTTGACGACAGCCTCAGCGTGATACCTTCCCCCGTAGTTATCGTATGTCTGCGTCATCTTGAGGGCGGTTGGTCCTTCAAGATACACATTGGTCACCTCATCACAAGTGCCAAGGTGCTCGACGTTGAAGGTGTCCCAGCCTGCTTTAGTGCCTGTGTTCTTGAACTGCTGGGTCGCGTATGCACCCAGACCAAGACTGAGGAGGATAATACCTGAGAACATTGTTAAGAGTTCAAAGTAATTATAAAAAAGTTGAAGCTTAAGCTTGTAGTAGTTTGTTTAAGATCGCGGTTGTCTTAATGTTGTTGGTCAATTCTGCCATCTCCGATGATGAGTGCAACCATTGGATATATATACTTAGGTGTCTTGTCCCTCTAACCCCTCATCAACATCAATTATTTTGTGTATTGGCTTGGCTGCAGCACCCACAACGAGTATCAGCCCGACAGTGGCCGTGCTTATTCCAAAACACGATATGTGGTGTTAACTTCAGGTACATGGATGGAATCAACATCTCATAAAAGGAAATATAGGCTATTGATTGATTCTCCTTTTACGATTTGTGGAAGAGTTTGGAAGATATCATGTGTCTACCAATGCCGTGGAGCTCGATGTATCGTTGAGAAGTTCTCGTGCCTCGGACCGATGATGCTGTGCGAGCCCCCTCTCGTACACCTCAGCCAATAGTAAGGAATTCAATGACAGTCGGCGGCAAGGCCGCCGTCAAGGTGCCTCAATTTTCTGTGCAGCTGAAGGGCTGAGGTGGCCCTTGTGGCAAGAGGAGGCTTCTCAAACATCGCCAATTGCGAGATAGCCACGCCACAAGTGAGCGGGCCGACTAAGAAATAACAGCACCTCAATCACACGTTGCGAGACTATATGGGGCAGTTCGGGCTCTCGTGGAGTGATACCCCAGATCTACCAGGAGACTACGCTGATGTCAGAACCTTGGTGTAACCCCCTCACCATTCAGGTGTCCCTAAGTTAAGCTTAGTTCTGGCCCCCAGATTACGACTTTCTACGGACAAATCAGCGGCTTCTCACAACAACCCAAAATAGAGGAGGATCATTTGACTTAGTGAAAGAGACTGCCATCATGCACGATCCCGTCCTTAGAACTACGTTTGCCGAGTTCGAACACCTATTTCATTATACTTATCCCTAAACGGCAGCTAGAATGTTCACCATCGGATTAGCAACCTTTCAATCAGTGATAACGTTACTTGGTGGGAGATGGGCCTTTCTCTTTCGGACTTCCACCCATACGAATTGCAAGGGATACGCTACCTCGAATCATCTTCAGCACCCACAATGGCAAATACGGCAGCGTAGTTCAGTTTGAACAGCATACACTATCGATATAAAGAACAATGAACCATTGACTAACGTTCAAAACCAAGCCTTTTTTTCATCTTGGCAAGTCGGAAAGATGTTAATCCTCGAATTGCAATCGGGCTCGAGGATGCCAGTTCTCACCATACACCGCATTTGTTTTTATCTATCTGTTTCAACCATACCCCTTGTCTATAGTCTAAAGTCTAAAGTCTATGGAGTCCATGATCGACATCAAATCATATCCATGAGGCGGAGCCACATGCAAGAACGGCCGTATTCCTAACTACGACTGTGCGCCAACCCCATATACTAATATGCATACAGAACGCTAGAATGTGACGAATATTTACGGATGCAACCAGTCATCAAATAAGAAAGAAATCAGAAAAGCAATGGCTAACATCCGTCCCTCTCTTCTGAGTGCCTTAACCCCGCATAGTAATGCTCGCAGGTGGGACAGACTTTGTTCATGCGCCAACCCTCAAATTTCAGATCTGTGCAGAGTGGACCGTCGATTCCGTGTCCACCATCAAGGCTCGAGACGCTTAGTGTAGAGTCCTCCATGTGCTCAAGTAAAGGCTCGTCAACTCTCAAATTGCGGCATGGCTGCCACGTCTTCTGTTCAGTACTCCAGACTGCACCCTGTTGGTGATAGTGTGGATGCTCTGCATCTGAATGAGGACATCCCGGTCGGGTGCAGCTACAGCAGTATTGGACTGACAAGCAGAAGCACATAGTATTTTGTACTGTTCTTGTGTTGTTGAATCTTTCTGGACTAGCAGTGATAAAGTGTGGTGTGGCGGGACCCAGTTGCGAGTAACGCTTTCAAGTTATCGCTGAAATGATCCCCACAGCTCCCGAAAAGTATAAGGAAATTCGTCAACGTATTAGAGATTTTGTTATGAGTTAAATGGAACCGGACTTCTGGTCGAGACCTATTTTCAGTGAGTGAGAGCCTTTATACCCTCTGAGGAGTGCTAGAATGTGCTTTTGCGTTGTCGCAGCGGTATTAGTAGTAGTGTCATGCGATTCGGGCCATAGCGGAACGGCTTGGCGCGGTTGAACAGCCACGAAACAACGTGATTGCATAGAATTTGCTATTCACAACCCACAATTGTCAGGCCGTCTATGGCGCCGCAGCGGCAAAAAAGGAAATCTTTTACCTGTATATATATCAATTGATTTGACAGTCATTTGGGCTACTAATTCGGCCCTTTGTGCTGGTTCGGATGTCATTTTGATTCTGATGTCTGTGGAGAAATCATAGAGAGGTTTTATGCTATGCGAGCCTGTTTAGCTTGTACAGAATATCATAGCAAGCCATTATATCATATCTGTCTATTAGATTGATTATCGTCGCTGATGAACTTGGTCCACATAAGATGCAAAATGGATTGTCTATGCGCCATATGCCCATTCCGAGCATATTGAGATCTATACACTGCGACGTTAGACGAATATTTTTCCAATGAGACAATTATTATCAGCTTTAATCTCATGTGTCTGAGTTTTAGGGTTGAATAATTAGATGGGTGTGAATATTCGAAAAGTTACTGAGCTACAAGGGAATTCTAAATTATAGACTTGTTTAGACCGTAGTTCATGAAGACATAACATCAGGCGCAACAATCCGCCATAGCTAGACAGCTGCAAGATCGGTCAGACGTTACTGAGAGCAGTGGAGCCATGCAAACAGCTGGGTTTTCTGTGCCGCAGCATGGACTGGCGAAGTGGACAGCGTTGCGGCACAGTGAATGAGCCACATCCTGCCATTTTAGTCATTGTTACTGAGGACTAAATTTGGAAGGAAACTTTGCAAGGTCTTTTGACAGCTGTCAAAGAAGACCAAGGGCGCTTTCACTATGTTGACCCGCCAATATTTTCATGTCTTGCCTGCCATCTTTACGTTTCCCGAGGGATAAAGACAGATATCCGTAACACTTGTCAAGATGTACCTCATTGTACACCTCTTCAGCATGCATTTGCTAGGTTTGCTTTCTACTTATCTGGCATTGTGTCCAATAGTCGACGATATAGACGTGTAGAACACAGGGTTTATGTGGGTCCTCAAGTAAACCACGTTTCTGCCGCAGTTCCGTGTTAAACTATTCGACAATGCCACAAAATGCTAAGGTCTGACATAATAGGCCTTCAATCCTTCAAGGTTCTCTAAGTCTTCATCCTTCGTGCCGTTCTAGGCTAGCATTGATCGCTTAGCTACGTACGCCGGCAAGGGTTTCCAAGTTTGCAGCATGATTTACCCAAATACCATGCTTCAGCTGCCAAAGCCTTGCTGCGTAGCCCACAGTCACTAAGCAGCTGAGAGCTTTAGTCATCTACGAAGCGGTTTAGTGCAGCAGGTGGATGCACGGTTGACAGCTCCTGCAATTTTGCTGGGACTATCATGAAAATGTATAGATATAAATTGAGTCGCCAAGACTCTACTTGCTTTGTTTACCATTCTCTGCCATTGTCTTGTATTAGCGACTTGTCTCCGATTACAGTGTTTTTCCTGTCCCTGTCACGGGATATCTTCCGCAAGCATGGGCTTCATGAAGGTTGCCTTGCTTTCTGCACTTGCTACCGCTTCTACGGCCAGTGTAGTTGAGAGGCGGCAGTCTTCAAGTGTCACTCTTTTCCCTCCTGTATCCGGAACACCAACCATCGCTTCTGCTTGCGAATCAGTCAGCTCTGTATGGGCTTCTTTTAGTGCGATAGGGGCAACTGCCACTGGTAGGCTGATCTAGTGGTGTCTCCCTGATGCCTGAAGAGAAGCTAACCGAGAGCCGCCAGCCCAGCCAACATATGTCACGAAACCTTCCTTAGCATTGGCTTGTTTACAGTCAGTTCCTGTGGATGTCGAGAATGACGTCGCTCTCATTGATTAGTTTGTCTTTTCCACCCTTGAAACATGTGCCACCGCTTATACAGACATCTAGTCTTCTTCCCTTTGTGTCATGGCAGAGTACACTCGCATATCTAAAGGATCCTCCTGAGGGTTATCTCCTACCCGGTGTCGATGTCATTGCTGGGATGGAGGAAATTCGTCAGAAAGTGCGGGACGGAGGTTACACGAACCAGTATGAATTTACGAGAGACCTTCGAGGAATCGTACGTACCCAGCGCCATATGATAACTCTTACGCTGCAACATACTAATTGAGGAATCTGATTATAGTTCCAAGCTGCAGCGGACGGACATTTTCTATACCAGCCCGCTCTAAATTCTATATTCAGCTTCTCTCGAGGTATCGCTTTAGCAGCTGTGTCTTCTGATGGTCTGGAGCTGCCAAAAGTTTACTGGATACAAGATATCCAGGGGTTCTCGTCAGTGCGTCCAGGGGTATCCGATATAGTGAGCATCGACGGGATCGACATCGAAACCTATTTGATCAATTCAGGGCCGGCTGTCACATGGCCTCAAGACCCTGACGCCGTGTATAACTCGCAGTTCTGGACAATACCCGGTGTGATTAGTGCTCAAGGCAATGGATTCTATGCAGGAAGCTATCCAAGTCTCCCAGACGCGAGTACCTATGAGTTTAGAAACGGAAGCACTTGGACGGTCGCGAACAGAGCACTGATTGATGTTTCATTCGCCGGCATCACCACTGGGGAAGAACTTCACTCCGTCTACGAATTAAATCAGACGACAAGCGCCAACAAGCGAAGTACAGCGATTAGCGACAGTCCTGCCTTGACGAAACGAGATTCTTCCTGTGTCGCCCAGGTTGGATACTACCCAACGCCAGTTGTTGTACATTGCCAGGGCTACGCGTCTGGATACTTCCTCGACGAGGATACCTGTGTCCTAGTCCTTTACTCATTTGAGGGGGACAACACGGTGAACGCCGACCAGCCCGATCTACTAGAGACACGAAACGTAAC